ATACAATCTATTTTTCACCTAATCATGTAAAAGTCAATTAAAACGTCACCTTTTCAAGAAAACATTTCCTGACTTCCCCTCCTCACATCTCCCACCAATTTCATATCCTTCCTCCCTTATTTCAATGCTCTTGTACAGACCTCTTTTCTAACAATACTTTACTGTATTTTAACTGTACTTTCAGTCTCTCTCAATAAGCAATGACCCCAGAATCTTTTATCTTCATAAAATGATTGGTACTTTGTGGCTGCTCATTACATGTTTGTTGAATAAATGAATGAAGCAGTATTTTTAGGTGGGGACTTTCAGTTCACATTAGAGTTTCTGAAACCAGCATTGATAGAACAGGTCAGAAGAGCTCACCTCCAAGGCACCTAGTACCCAGGTATTTAGGATTACTGTAGAGGCCCTTGAGAAACTGTCCAAACCAGAAATTATAAATCTGTGGTTCATGCATCCTTAAGATGGTCCTTATTGATTGGACCTGTCCAGATTGATCTGTCCTTATGAAAAGTGGAGAATCTCTGTTCTTTAACTAGGTTTTATCAGGCTTTTGAAGTTCTATCTGTTTCCTAAAAGTAGAAAGAAGGCTCTTGTATTATAATAAGGACAAGAGTACTTGAAGGATTATAAATACTGGCTGATTAGATAATCAAAATTTCAAAGAACTATAAATTATTATTTACATATATATAACCATTTAAAGTTCACAGCTCAAATGAATAGAAGAGGATATTCACCTTGTAATATTCACCTTGAACCATAAATTTAAAAAAATTTATGTATTTTATTCAAGTATAATTAACATACAGTGTTACATTAATTTAGGTTTACAATACAAAGATTCACTAATTCTATAATGAATAGAGATGAAGAAAAAGGATTATTATACATTATTCAGTGCTCATCACGATAAGTGGACTCTTAATCCCCTTCACCTATTTCACCCATCCTCCCAACTCACCTCCCCTCTGGCAACCACCAGTTTGTTCTCTGTATTTAAAAATCTGTTTTCTTTTGTGTTTTTTCTTTGTTCATTTATTTTGTTTCTTAAATTCCACATGTGAATGACATTATGGTATTTGTCTTTCTCTGACTGACTTATTTCACTTAGCATTATATCTTCTAGGTCCATCCATGTTGTTGCAAATTGTAGGACCTCAGTCTTTTATGGCTGAGTAGCATTTCATTGTGTAAATATATCACATCCATTCAGCTATGGATGGACATTCGTGTTGTTTCCATATCTTAGCTGTTGTAAATAATTCTCCAGTAAACATAGGCATATATTTATATCTAATCTATATTTTCAAATTAGTGTTTTTATTTATTTATTTTTTTAGCTAAATATCCAGTAGTGAAATTACTGGATCATAGGGTGATTCTATTTTTACATTTTTGATGAACCTCCATATTGTCTTCCACAGAGGCTTCATCAGCTTGCATTCTCACCAACAGTGCATGAGGGTTCCTTTTTTTCCACATCTTTGCCAACACTTGTTGTTTCTTCTCTTTTTGATTTTAGCCATTTGACAGGTGTGAAGTGATATCTCATTGTAGATTTGATTTGCATTCCCCTGATGATGAGTGATGACGACCATCTTTTCATGTGTCTGTTGGCCATCTGTATGTCTTCTGTAGAAAAATGTCTATTCTTGGTTTCTGCCTATTTTTAAATTGGAATATTTGGGGGTTTTTGGTATTGACTTGTATAAGTTCTTTAAATAGTTTGGATGTTAACCCCTTATTGAATGTGTCATTTGCAAATCTCTTCTCCCATTCAGTAGGTTGCCTTTTTTGTTTTGTTGTACAAAAGCTTTTTATTTTGATAAATAAAAATAGCACCTTGGTGGCATAGTTGGGTAAGCCTCTGACTCTTGATTTCAGCTCAGATCATGATCTCACAGTTCATGAGCCCCACATTGGGCTATGCGCTGTTAGTGCAGAGCCTGCTTGGGATTCTTTCTCCCTCTTTCTCTGCCCTTGCCCCACTTGCGCAATGTTTCTTCTCTGGAGGACCCCTGGATTTAAGATGGAATGCTCTACTAACCTTGGGAAAAAGGGAAAACTGTCTGCCAAAATGTTGGGGAAATATAAAGGAAATAATAAAATCCCTTAAAAACATTTAAAAACTATTGATCATATGGATCCAGGATCCTTTGTCCTAGAAAAGAAAATGTATATGGCATGTGCTTTCTATCAGTGCATGTATGTGTGTATTTGTACAAATCTCTGTTCATTTGAACAATTTTTGATCTTATTGTCTTTATATTTTTCTTCTTCCTCATATTATAGGAAAGGGCTCTTTAACTTGAATTTTTTTATTGATTTTTGATACTTTTGATATTGACTTGAAGTAGCCTTTTAAAGGCAGTACAGTTTAGCAGTTCACATTAATAATTTTGTTGGACTTGTGGAAGTCTCCTCACTTTGTTTGCTCTTGGAAGGAGTGCTGTCCCACAGGGCATAGTGACAGAGCTGAATTACAAAGAGATCATTTTCCTACTCATATTGTAGAAGGGAATCCAAAAACTGTTGATACTGTGCCTTGATTAATGTTTCAAAAAAGGTGAATTCTGGGAATGTCTTAAATAACTAAAAGAAAGCGCACTGGAGCCACAATGAGAACTGTTTTAGTAGATGATTTATCTTGAAATAAGTTATGAATGAACAGAGACAATGGGAGTATCCAGTTCTACCTACAAATTCAAGTAAAAAGAAAATGAGATGATGAGTATGAGATTCCATGTTGTGTCATAAAGATGGGGATTACATGCAAGCTTGTACTATACAAATTAAGCATTCCTTGGTTGTCACCTTGATCCTCCTGATTTCCCCACAATATGGGAGTCTGGGTGTCAGGAATAGGCTGCTATCTGTCCCTGGTAGTGTGATATAAGTGTGTGTAGTCAGGCCTCAACTGTGTACTCCCACTGTATTTTTCAAGGTCTATAAAATAAGACAGTTAGCCTCATTTCTCAAAAGAGAAAGAAACTTTTCCTCAGAAAAGTCCTAAATTTCTACTTTGAACATTTATTGCCAAACGCTGTGAATTCTATCACTTTGATGTCTCTGAAACCCATCTCCCCTCTCAGTCAGGACCACCACAGCCTTTACTCAGACTTTCATAACTTTTCATCTGGATTCCCTGCTGCGGATACTCCACATTGCTGCCAGTGTGATTTTTACTAACTAGATTGTGTTATCTTCTGTTTAAAATCCTGTAATGGCACTCCATCATTTTTAGGTAAACTTCAGATTCCTTAACCTCTCATGTAAGATTTATGGTCAGGTTCCTGATCATCTCTGCAACCTTATCTGTCATAACTCCATGTTCCAGCCAAACTGAATTATAACTTCTCGTTAAAATTATAATTGTAATTTCTCATGCTTCTGAGCTTTTATTTTGTTATCTCTTTTCCCTGGTATGTTTCCTTTCTAACTGCTTCATCCCTTGCTTTTTCCTAGTTAGGAAAACGTTCTAGTTAGTTTCCTAGTTAGTTTCCAAGTTCTAGACCTTGTACTGGTATCTTCTCTAGGGAGCCTTTCTTGATAATCTCTTCCTCCTTTCAGTGCCCCATCACAAGTATTTTAATATTTAATTACTAGCTCTCTCATTCCTGTTAGACTATTACCCACTTGAGGACACAGATCCCAGCTTATTCTATTTGTGTCCCTAGTATTTAGCACAATGTTTAGCATGCAGTAGGTGTTTGATAGGTGTATTAGGTGTATTTGTTGGATAAATAAGTCTCCTTTAAAAGATAAAAAGATCATCTTCTGTAGTAGAATAACCTCCCCATCTTTTGGCCTTATAGGATAGTCCCACTAAAAATCTTTGAAGTTATCTTGATCCTGTCCCTTTGTAAATTAAGGGCACAAATGATACCACCTTTATGTACTTGTTCTGTTATTTTGATGAAAAGCTGATTGCTGGTTCCATCTCAGGAAGTACAAGTTTCCTACTTCTGTTCTAGTATAAATTGGAGTCTAAGCAGAGAGATTTATTATTAGGCTAGATTGTATATTGAACTTCTGTTTACTTATAATCAATACACACTTATTGAGTATCTGTGATGTGTCAGGCTCTGGACTAGGTGCTGGATATTAAAGATAAAGATGATCTAGGTCTTTATCCTCAAAAAAATGATAGTCTCCTGAGCAAGTATATCAGAGTTTTTGAGTCATTGTGTGGATGAATTAAAGATGTAATAGCAGATAGTATTTGAGTTCTGACATATTTGGACAAATCACCAACAAATAAATGAACCGTTTCTTCTCTACTAATGAAGATACTTTCAGCAGGAGCTGGAGTTTGTGTGAGACATTACTTTATGGACTATTAACTGTTAGTTTGTAATTTTAATAGGATTTTCTTCCAAATTCCTTTGCTGTGTGTCCTTTCTGTTCTGAGGTGATTAACAACAGTACTGTAATATACTAGAATTATTATCCAGAAATCAAATAATGTATTTCAGATGTATACACACAAAAAATTCAGAGACCCTCTATTATAGATTCACACTTAGATGTGATATTCTTTGATTTGATGCTTGATATCTTCTTCCCCCTCTCTGTTCACTACTAGTTTTTAAGTAGTTATGGTTTTTTTTTTTTGTTTGTTTATTTATTTATTTTAAGAGAGAGGGAGAAAGATAGAATGCACATGCGAGAGGGGAAGTTCAGAGAGAAAGAGGGAGAGAGAGAATCCCAAGCAGGCTCTGCAGCATTAGCACAGAGCCCAGTATGGGGCTCAAACTCACAAACCCGTGAGATCATGACCTGAGCCAAAATGGAGTCAGACACTTAATTGACTGAGCCACCCAGGTGTCCTGTAAGTAGTTATTTTTATTAGGAAATATCATTCTTATGTTCCTTCCCATATTGGTGGACATACGAACCAGGAGAAATTCACCATGGCTCTCTGATGAGAGCACAGAGGAAATGTTAATTACATTCAGGAGTCGGCACACTGACAGTTACTCTTCTTTTTTTTACAGAGATGAACGAAATCAGTCCATCATCGTAAGTGGAGAGTCTGGGGCAGGAAAAACAGTTTCAGCTAAGTATGCCATGCGATACTTTGCAACTGTAAGTGGTTCTGCCAGTGAAGCCAATGTTGAGGAAAAGGTCTTGGCCTCCAACCCCATTATGGAGGTAAGACAGCAGCAGCCTTGTTACTATATTCTCTTAAGAAACATGCTCAAAAAATGGATTGAAACAGCACATGTAAGAAAGTCTGGGATGTCCTGGCCACTGAAAGTGGGAAAATACTTTTCTACATATTAGTAAGAAAAGATCTCAGGAAAGTAAAAAGTCTGTAAGGTAGACATTTGCATGAAGTCCAGCTGTGGAGGCATTTACTTTATTCCATAATTCTGCACTTTTAATCTACCTTTGAATTGTTTCCTCTAAATAGCTGGCAGTGGTATTTCATTTTCTAAATTTCTATGCTCCTAGTTATTTGACTCCTATCTATTGTTTCTTATAGTAGAAGTGTGTTCCTCATTTCCCTCTAATTCTGAGTTCATAGGATTCTCCATGCTTATGCATGAAGAATTTTATCATCCCTTTGCCCACATTGCATTTTCCATACTTAATACAACCTCTTAGCTGTTTCTATATCTTTCCCCCAAATTTGAACTGTAAGCTTAAGTCATGATCTTACAAACAGTTTTCTTCTTGTTTCTGTCAAGTACATCACAAAGCTGTAGGCTAGAAAAAGAAATTCAGTAGAATTTAGTAAATTCCTGAGAAAGGACAAACTACAAAAAGACGTCCTTTCAAAGGTGAAATATAGGGGCGCCTGGGTGGCTCAGTCGGTTAAGCGTCCGGCTTCGGCTCAGGTCATGATCTCGTGGTTTGTGGGTACAAGCCCCGCGTCAGGCTCTGTGCTGACAGCTATCTCAGAGCCTGGTGCCTGCTTTGGATTCTGTGACTCCCTCTCTCTCTGACCCTCCCGTGCTCATGCTGTCTCTCTCTCAAAAATAAATAAAACATAAATTTTTTTTTAAAAAAACAAAGGTGAAATATGTATACAAAGTGGAAATGCTTGTGTCAAAGAAAGTGGACCTGTTTGTGTGAGAATTTGGATATATCAGGATTTGTAATTAGAGAATTAGCTATCTATTAATATGATTTTATGAAAGTCAAACGTTTTTCTAAGTAGTCCCATTAACTGGAGAGAAGTATTTCTTGTTAATAATAGAAATTATTTTAGACAGGCATAAAACTTTCTCATTAAAAATTCAAGTCAGCATTGTTTATTCCTGTTTTTTTCCTTTGTCAAGCCTTATTTGTCACCCAAACACAGACGGAGTTTAAAACTGGCCTGGTGCACCTGTGGTACAAGTGGTTTTTGCAATAATCAGTCCAGAGGTAAACATGCCTGGTTTGCAGTGCCGTGTGTGACACTTCAGAACAGAACGCTGTGAGCCCTTGCCCACAGGGCTGTCCTCCAGAGCAGCATGTCTTCTGTTCTTGGGATTGAGAGGACAGGATATGCTGGGAAAGTTGTGGGGCTGCCTGGGCTATGTGCACTGTGGAAAGAGAACTGGAGAATCTTTCTGAAGTGGCACAGACTGGGGGAAACAGAAGTTTATGCCAAAAAGAATAGTAGAGATTTTAAGCAAATACTAAGATTTCAAAAGAATTTAAGCTAGAGATGTCAACTGTAGTTCTGGATGCCACAGTTAATATTGGGGAAATATAATCTGTAGAGCCAGTTTTGGGGTTTGGGTCAGAAAACAACAGGCCTTTGCTTTGCTTCCTACCATCAGTTTGACTATTTTTGGTTACAACGACAAACTCTCTGTATTTGGCAATAATTTAGCTCATTCTTTGTCCCAAATGTTAGAATATCCCAGTCTAAATTGTGATGGCATGAGGGAAGCCCACCTTTTCTAGGCCTGGACCGTATAATAATGTAAGTCTGGAATGAACCTTCTAGAATATGTCAAGTTGAATGACATATTTTATGACCTTGCTATAGTCTCATTCAAAAAATAGGACATTGGTTTTTCTACAATACATTTATCAGTTGTGTTAGTAGGAGAGATATTGGAATGGCCACAAATACTACTTTTTAATATGTAGTTATGAAGAATTTACCTTGTTTGCTAGACTGAAAAAAAATTATGCTTAGCTGTTTTCTATATTGTGTAGTTTTTCTAAAGGAATTTGGATTCAGAAAATTTGGCAAAGAGAGAACTAATTTTCAATAACTACAAATGAGGGCATCCCAATTTGAAAGATTAAAATGGAATCTGGGGCTTAAGAATGGTAACAGAGTTTGCAGTCATAGGAGGAAGACATAGATGAAATATTGAGTTTGTAACTTTAAACCTGCTTCTCAAGACTGTATATCAGAGTCCTTTACTGTGATGTCAAGAATGGCAGGTCTGGGTCTCCAGTGATCTGAAACCCCCAGGATAATGAGCATCCTACATTAACATCACAGCCCAGTGGCTAAGGAGATTTCCACATTATCATCTAGAAAGCAAGCTCCTCATCCTCAGCATAGGCTGTTTGGCAAAATATAAATGAGGCACAGATAAATGAGTCTTTTTTGCTCATTTTGTCATGTTTTCTTTTCCTCCAGTAAATTTTCATCCTAATCTTGGGGCATCCTGGGTCTTAATATTCTTTTACATCTTTAATAACCATAGTTGATGATTTTTTATCCTTTTAGTAAAGAGGAGGAACTCACTCAACACTTCACTGAAATCAATAAGTCCACAAAACTTCTCCTTAGTAGTTTCTTGCTAACTGAAATGAAAATAGCATTAAGGGAGCCTGTTGTAAATATAGTACTTAAAAGGCAGAGGGGGCTGGGGCACCTGGGTGGCTCAGTCAGTTAAGTGTATGACTTTGGCTCAGGTCATAATCTCACAGCTGCTTGGTTCGAGCCCTGCGACTGCCAGCTCAGAGCCTGGAGCCTGTTTCAGATTCTGTGTCTCCCTCTCTCTCTGACCCTCCCCTGCTCACACTGTCTGTCTGTCTGTCTGTCTGTCTCTCTCTCAGAAATAAATAAAAAAAAAAAAACATTTAAAAAAGGCAGAGGGAGCAATTAGAGGGAATGAAAAAGGTATTGTTTATAGAACCTTCTTTCCTTACCAGGTTCAGAGCTTAGCATCGTATAGTTTCAGTTTTGAAAAGGACCCTAGAGCTTATCTCTCCTAGTCATTTTACACTTGGAGACACTAGCATTCCTCAGAGGATTAAATGTTGGCAAGTTAGTAGTAGGGCCTGGTCTAATACCCAGATCTTCAGACTTCTATTTCATTTGTTTCTTCTACCATTCTTTGTTCTATGTTTAAATATGTTTTAGTCAAGGACATTGGGGAGGGGTTTGTTTCAACTCTGGCCTACTCACTGGTGCTTCTTATAGAGTGTAGTACTGTTTTGACAGCTTGGCTGCATGGACTCCCACTCTGAGTAGCTAGGAGAGAGATGGCATCTGGAAGGTGGGATAGAGTAAGGGAGGAAGGAGTGGCTACGGCCCTCCCTCCCCAGCTTCCTCAGTTGCTGGCAGGAAGGTGCTTGGGATAGTGCCTGTTAAGCACTCGGTGGCTGTAACAGCCACTGCCACAATTACTACATCTTCTTCCTCTGCTCTTTGACAGAGTAGTGAACAAAATGTGCAGTGAAAGAAAATCCTGCATTTATCATTAATTTCTTTTTCTAAATAAAATAAAAATAACTGGAATATAGGGAGACTTTTTGTTGTGCTTTTCATGCCATCAAGAAAGAGAATATCTAAGTAAATGTCTATATTGTTAAATTATCTTAGGCTACATTTGTTTGTCTTATTTTGCTTGGAAGATAGCTTTCCACCACCTCTTTCCATTTAAAATGTTAATCTGAAATGCAGCAGTGTTCTCACTGCCAAGCAAAATAGGACAATACTTGCCTTGTATTTCAGAGAGTGAAAATGTGCTTTATTTGATTGATCAGAGAATCTAATGTATTGATTTTTTGTGGCTATGTTATTACTGTTGTCATCGCTTATATTTGGAATGCTTTTTTAATACTCCAGAGCATTTCATGTCTTTCTTTTGCTATGGTTCTAATATATTAATTCTGATAGCCTCAGGTTTTGCACAAGAAAATGGTATTAATCTTATGTGAAATTGTTTATTAAACATTTAATATACGCATTGTGTGAACACTTGGTTTTCCTACTACACTTGTGTTTTTGCTTTTCCATGAAAGAAAACTTTATGGAAGCATGTTACTTAAGTCAGAAAGTAGTTCGTATGAGGGGCATCTGGGTGTCTCAATCACTTAAGCATCTGACTCTTGATTTCATCTTAAGTCATGATCTTCTTGGCTCAGGTCATTATCTCATAGTTGTGAGACTGAGCCCCACATCTGGCTCCTTGCTGAGCATGGATCCAACTTGAGATTCTCTGTCTTTTCCTCTGCCCCTCTCCTCCACTCTCAAAATAAATAAACAAACATTGAAAAAGGTAGTATGTATATTATCTTAATCTTTTAAGTTATATAAAAAATTAACAAAGTTACATTCTCTAAATTCTATAGCAGATATTTTGCAAGATAGATACAACTGTAAAATTCCAAGGGCAGATTTTACTGTGTCTGGTTTCTGAAAATAGCTTTGAATTGGGTGGGTAATTATTAATACTCTGCTAATAAACGGTCTAACCAGGCATTTGTTGTCACAGGATAGAATGATAGAAACTTCGAGCTAAAAAGACTCTAAACACCAGAGCAGCATCTCCATGAAAATACTAATTTTTCTTAACCAGGTTATTTACATTACACAGCCTAAGTTTTTCAGGAAATCCAAACCCTAGTGTATAACTATGAGGCCTTGCCTTGGCAGCCCCCATTCCCATCCGTTTCTTTCCTTGTTAACTTGAATCAGTGTGCTCTGATACCGCAAATGGTGTGAAAATCTCCAAGCTGCTGGGCTCAAGTTTGCTGTTCCTGAAAATAATTTGTGTGAGAATAACAAGACAAATATGAACTATTAGTGGGTATCTGTGTGGTTGCACAGTGGGCAAAGCATACCCTGGTACCTGCAGGGACAAAGTTGGTTCTGTTCTTAAAGGAATAAGTTAAAAAGGGCTGTGTTCTGTTCTGTCCTTTCTCTTCCTGAACAAACTCTGTAAGTATCATGTCATGAACTGTACTTCTAAAATAACTATTTTCCCCCTTGCTTCTTAGTCCATCGGAAATGCTAAGACAACCAGGAATGATAACAGCAGCCGTTTTGGGAAGTATATTGAAATTGGTTTTGATAAGAGATATCGAATCATTGGTGCCAATATGAGAACTTACCTTTTAGAGAAATCCAGAGTGGTATTCCAGGTAAGCCGGGCAGGAACCCATAAATATCTGTATTAGATTCTCAATAATTTCAGATTTCATTCTGGCTAGTGTGAATTTTATTTGCAGATAACTCTTGAGTTTATAACTTACAAGTCTTAATAACTTATGACAGTATTACTACAGACCACATTTGGACCACAGTATGTAAAATGGTACCTGTCAGAGGCAGGACAGTACCTATTAGACTAATAATTTCTGGGACTCGGCACTGGTTTCGGCTTAATGGTTTTGATTTTTCCTACAGATGCTGGTAGGAAAAGCTTATTTAAAAGAGATACTCTTAGTTTAGTCTTAACTCTCATATTTCCCAGTTGATAGGGAAGACATTGGGATATGCTTTCAGTGACTTACAGTTTGAACTCAGTTCCTTGTCCTTCTATCTTCCTTCCCCTCTCTTAGAATATGATATTATTTAGATAGAATAATGAAAGTTAAAAAATCTTCTTTACCAGGGGTACCTGGGTGGCTTAGTCAGTTGAGCATCTAGCTCTTGGTTTCAGCTCAGATCATGATCTCACAGTTTGTGAGTTCGAGCCCTGCATCAGACTCCATGCCGACAGTGTGGAACCTGCTTGGAATTCTCTCTCCCCCCCACCCCCTCTCTGCCTTTGTCTCTCTCTCAAAATAAATAAATTAATTTAGAAAATCTTCTTTGCCAGACATAAGCCCCTTTGGGCATCAAACCTGACCTTGAGGACACATTATTCTTTAGTCAACTGAATACACTACAGAATTCAAGCATTTGGTGGTAGAGTATAAGGATTCAGTTTTATTACAGTTGTATTTTTTTGAAGTATGTATGTAGTAAAAGGACTGTCAGGAAATACTAAGAAACGATGTTAGAATTGTACATGATTTATTTTCTATTTTGTAAAGTATTTTATTGATGTTAAAATATATAAACTAAAATGATATAGATGGTGTAGTACATTTGTGGATTTCTTACAAGCAGCCACAGTAGTGATCCAGCTGACATATGGCAAACATGGAATATACTTTTTCGTTTAAAGTGTTAGGGGCACCTGGGTGGCTCAGTCAGTTAAGTGTCCGACTTCGGCTCAGGTCATGATCTCATGTTTCGTGGGTTTGAGTCCCGTGTCGGACTCTGTGCTGACAGCCAGCTCAGAGCCTAGAGCCCATCTTCCAATTCTGTGACTCCCTCTCTCTCTGACCTCCCCTGCTCATGCCGTCTCTATGTCTCTCTCAAAAATAAAACATTAAAAAAATAAAATAAATAAATAAACTGTTTGGAAGCGGGGGCACCTGAGTGGGTCAGTCTAAGCATCCGATTTCAACTCAGGTCATGATCTCATGGTTTGGAGTTCAAGCCCTGCATCAGGCTCTGTGCTAATGCCCTGGAGCCTGGAGCCTGCCTCAGATTCTGTGTCTCCCTCTTTCTCTGCCCCTCCCTTGCTCACACTCTGTCTCTCTTTCTCTCAAAAATAAACATTAAAGAAAAAAATATTTTTAAGTAAAAAAAATTTAAAGTGTTAGGAAGGGGCGCCTGGATGGCTCAGTCAATAGAGCTCTGACTCTTGACTTCAGCTCAGGTCATGATCTCGCAGTTCATGGAATTGAGCCCACATCAAGCTCTACATTGACAGCATGGAGCCTGTTTGTGATTCTCTCTCCCCCTCTCTACTCTCCCCTGAGCTCACTCCCTTTCAAAATAAATAAACATTAAAAAGAAAATAAAGTGTTAGGAAGACTATGAATTTAAAAGGTACTGTGAGAAAATACGGAGTACAGATTTCCCTCACTATCCAAAAGTAGATTGTTCATATGAAAACTTTTGTAAGCTGACATGGTGTAAAGCAAGGAAAAAATACAATTAAGTTACGTGGAAAAGTTTTTGAGCATCCCTAGACCCCAAAAATTACCTCTCTTAGGCTTTTCTGATACCTTGGGACACATCTTGTTAATGGATGCACAAAATAAATCATGATGAAGCACCAATGCTCTCAAACACAGTTTGAGGTATGGCAGGTTGATGAGATGCTGAGTGTAGTTCCGGCCGAGGAGATGGGTGGGGCTGCCCTCGCTGCTCTGACAGTATGCTGCCTCTGTAATGGCTCACTGAAAACAAACACTAAACATTATTTTTGTGTTTCTGTAAAAAATCCTCTGTGGGTTTATTTTGGTTCACAGAACAGGTACTAATGTAGGCCTTTTGCAAAAGTGAGTGGTATAATGTGAACTTTAGAAAAGCAAAGGATACCTATTTTCGAAAAATATAGTTTTAGTTTTCCCCAAAGGCAATGATCTCTTAAAGTGATGGCATATATCAAGCTATTCTTTACTTCAAAAAGCATCATTATCAGATCATTTTTGTTGAATGGAACTAACAGATACATACATATATGCACATAGCTAATAAATCATAAAATTTAATAATCATAAACATGTATTAGGAAATTTGGTAAGGGATAACTTACTTCACTGAATTAAATATTAAAACTTTATTTTATGATTGAATTTTATGAGATTTAGGTTAAAATGCTATAATTGAAACTCTTCTTATTTCAAAGGCAGAAGAGGAGAGAAACTATCATATCTTCTATCAGCTTTGTGCTTCAGCAAATTTACCTGAATTTAAAATGCTGCGATTAGGTATGAATATAGTGTTAGATTTATTGTCCTGGTATTGCTTTCTATTAATTCCCAAGTTCATAAACTTATTTGTTAAAAAGGAAATTATCTCATACTGAAATATTTATGAATAAAATGATAACAAGTTTATAATTGGTTTCACGATAAGCTGGTGATGAGAAAGAGGTGAATGGCTGTGTAAATGAAGCAAGATTGTCCATGAACTGATAACCTGTTTAAGATGAGTGATGAGTACAGAGGGAATCAAACTCCGGACTCTGTACATTTAACTGTACTATCACTGTGTCAACTTTAGAGTTGACATAAAGGTAGAAGTCAAGGATTTTTCATAGATTGCAAATCTTTTATTTTCTTTAATTGCAGGAAATGCAAATAACTTTCATTACACAAAGCAAGGTGGCAGTCCTGTGATTGAAGGAGTCGATGATACCAAGGAGATGGCACATACCAGGCAGGCCTGCACTTTGCTAGGTAATGTAATTTTATTTTTGCGCTCTTATGAGCAGTAGCTCTCTGATTTAAGCAGCCTTTGCTTGAAATATGGGCTTTGCTTTGTATTAGGTAGTGAATGCTGTTGGGAGATTTAACTTTCCTTATAAAACACCTTTGGACAGCAAATGGGCACAAGATTTCTTTTTGGGGTGGTGGGAATTATTCTAAAAACAGATTGTAGTATTGGTTGCACAAGTAATCACTGAATTGCATACTTAAAACAGGTGAATTTTATGGTATGTAAATTATCCCTCAATAAAGCTGTTTAAAGAACAAATTGAGGGCATTAAAGTAAGTAGAACTAACTATAATTCTTTAAATTTTCACAAAATTTGAAACCTAAAGCTAAATGAAATGGTTTCCTGAACAAGCTTACATTTTGTAGGGTTTTTATTTTTGTTTTTCTGGGGTCTTTTGTGGCTGGGAAATGTGGCTGAGCTGGCATAATGACAAAACATTGTATTACATGTTGATTATTTTACTGTTTTAAAATGAGCTATCACTCGTTTCTGAGATTTAAAAAAATATGAGGTCTACATGTGAATAAATTAATCTTTGGAACTATAATGTACAACTTTTAATGGTGAATCATTTATTTAAAAAACCCCAAAATATAAATAACAAACATCATATGTTGGTGTTTTGAAGAATACTATGAGGTGAGTTGATTTGATTTAAAAGCATTGCTAATCATGAGAAAGAATGAAATCTGGCCATTTGTAGCAACATGGACGGAACTTGAGGGTGTTATGCTGAGTGAAATAAGTCAGGCAGAGCAGGACATATACTATATGTTTGCACGTATAGGAGGATTGAGAGGAACTTAATGGAGGATCATGGGGGAGAAAAGGGGAAATAGTTGGGGAAAGGGAGAGAGGCAAACCATGAGAGACTCTTGAATGCTGAGAACAAACTGAGGACTGATAGGGGTGGAGGAGAGGGGAAGGGGGGTGATGGGCACGGAGGAGGGCACTTGTTGGGATGAGCACTGGATGTTATATGGAAACCAATTTGACAATAAACTATTTTTAAAAAAGGAGAAAAACACTTACAAAAATAAAAGCATTGATAATCAGAGTATGGTCCAGAACCATGATGAAGCTTTCAAAAATTCAGAAACTCAAACCTTATCTCAGACTAATGAATCAGAATCTGCACATTAACAAGATCCATTGGTGATTTATATGCATACTGAAGTTTGAAAAATACTGCTTTACTTCTGTGGCTCAATATATTTGCAGATAGAAAATGGCAAATTTGTAAAAGCCATAATGTAGGTGATGGTAAAAACATTCATTATGAGATCAATTCTCACTTACCTCATATATGATTATGTATTTGGAAATAATTTTACCACTTTCACTTCCATATAATTATATCTAATGTTTAGGAAATTCTTTCCTTATTGAAAAATGAAGCCAGGTCGGAGAGAAAGCCAAGGGCTGTACAGCTTTCTCATCCTGTCCCGTCCTTCAGTTCCTGCTCTGGTGCTGCATTTAGATACTCCCTCATCAGGCTGGGGGACAGCACTGGCCTCAACTTCTAATCTTGAGATTTCTTTTTTTTTTTTCTTGAGATTTCTTTGACTTACACTTGGTCTGTAATTAGAAATAACTAAATAATAGGAATCAAAACAGCCTTATTGGGCTGCAAATTGCATTTGGAATAGAGGAAATACAGAAAGTAATAATGTTAATAAAATACCTAAATCCAGGGTATGATGGTGATAATTTGTTGGGCACTTACCACGTGTCCCATATGTGTTAAGATGCTACACGACTCATGCATTTTCTCATTTAATGTTCACAGACACCCTTTGAGATATTCACTGCTATTCCCATATCTCAAGTGAGAAAACAGAAACACAGAAGGGTGATGTTCCTGCCCATGTGGGATGGCAGGTCAGGAGCAAAGCCAGGCATTGAGCCCAGTTTTTACTCCACAACCTATGCTCTCAACCATGATGCTGAACTGTTTTTATGTTAATGTCAATAAAGGTGAAAGTGTTACTAACCACGATATGTTACCATCTGCACAACTGGCAATATTTAAGAGTTAAAAATAGGCTTAAAATTGTCTACTGTAATGGTTTCTAATCACTTGTTCATTTACTCTGTTATTTCAGGAATTAGCGAGTCTTATCAGATGGGAATTTTCCGAATACTTGCTGGCATCCTTCACTTAGGCAATGTTGCATTTACATCTCGGGATTCAGACAGCTGCACAATACCTGTAAGTTCAGAATATGCTTAGTGTGATAGCAGTTCATTTGTGTTTCAGTTTTGTTGATTCTTTATGGAAGCAGTATATTTGAAGTATCTCTCTTAATATTATCAGAGAGATAATTATTAGAGGAATAAATTATCCCAAGTAGAATCTTGAACTGAAAGTAAAGAAATAGGGATGCTAATCCCTGGTGCACAGTGATTGTGTTTGTTAGGGGTAGGAGGAGAGAGAACTTGGATACATGTCTGGTCCATGTGCACAGAGGTGGGAAGTATTGGATGTGAAAGTGGATTGGGGACATCTAGGGAGAAGGGTTTATTTGGCCCTTAGCACAAGTACCAATAATTGAAAACTTTGTGTCTTCAGCTGTGGAATTGTAATACGGTTTAAAAGTTATTTAAGGGGGTGCCTGGGTGGCTCAGTCGGTTGGGTGTCCGACGTCGGCTCAGGTCATGATCTCATGGTTCTTGGGTTCAAGCCCTGCATCAGGCTTTGTGCTGACAGCTCAGAGCCTGGAGCCTGCTTTGGATTCTGTGTCTCCCCCTCTCTCTGCCCCTCCCTGCTCATGCTGTGTCTCTCTCTGTCTCTCAAAAAATAAACATTAAAAAAATTTTTTTTAAGTTCTTGAGGAAACTATAGTAGTGGTTACTCCTGGGAAATTGAACTAAATGGCTGGTGGACAGGGTGTCTTCATGAGAATTTGCATATTTTCCCCACATAGTGATAACTGAACCCAAGAATTAAAACCCAATTCCATACGTGGAAACAGTTGTTTAAATTGTAACAAAATCTGAGAGTCTCTCCTCATTGGGCATTTATGATTTGCAGTATTTTGATTAAACATCTCACACACACACACACACACACACACACACACAATTTTTAGGTATTTATAATTTTATTGAAATAGAGGAAGTTTTGATATAATTAATTCTTTTTCCATTCTGCTTCCTCAAGATTGTGATAGGAAACTATCTTAAGATTTATGTTTCACTGTTTAGATACCGAAGTTGATTTTAGCAAATCTACGTGTAGGTTACTTCATGTAATTTAGACTTTAGTTTTGAAATACATGTCTTAGTGTCTCTGCCCACATCCAATCCCAGCTTTACTACTTACTCATGCTATGTTTTTTGGTGAGTTTCTTAGCTTCTCTGACCCTCAGTTGCCTCATGTATAAAATGAGCCATTCATTTCCAGCAATTGTTGACTAGGTGCTTTGATTGATCTTTATACTGGATAGATTATATGTATATTTTTAAAAGATTTTATTTTTAAGTGGTCTGTACACCCATTGTGGGGCTTAAACTCACAACCCCTACCCAGATCAGGGGTTGCAGCCAGAATAAATTATATTTTTTAAAAAATTTAATAAAGATGTAAAAACTACTCAGATCCCAGAAATTAAGTGAAAATAGTAACTATGAGAAAGGAGAACCCTCAAGTTAGGACTCACCTTCAGGCATTTGCTGAACCCAGTGACCTTGAGCTTTTGTTTTCTTAGCCAAGTGGAATACAGAAGACAAAACACCAAGACTAGGACTCATATAAACAGAGGCACCCCTGCCTAAAGCTGAGACCCTAAATGGGAACCAGTAATAAACTTCCCTACCACCTATTCCAAGAGTACAAAGAGTTAATCTGGCTTCAGCGAGCCTTGGGGCTAAGTGGAGGAGGAGAAAATAGTTGCCTAAAGATTTACAACAATGAACTCACCCTAACACTTCTTCTCAGACTTATTTTGTAGTTCCTAGATGGTCCCAGAAAGCTAAATACAGAAAACTTAGCTTAAATCAGTCCTTGATTGGTGGTGCCTTAGATGTCTGACAGAAGCACATGGAAGTGTGCTTTGGATGATCCGCCTTGAAACCAGGCCTTAGTGGAGTCCCATGAGAAAAGCTACAAGAAATATTGGGTCACAGTCAAAAATCACAAGTTCCACAAGGAAACAATAGAAGGAGCTAGGTGAAACAACAGATAAGAGTCAAACCTATTCAGAATGCTGAAAGTAATTAATAGCAATTTGACACAACACAACTGAGGAGAGAACTGATGAGCTGGAAGAGAGATGTAAAGAAATTATCTAGAGTTTATGACAGGACTCAGAGATGGAGCATGAGATGGAGATAGAATATTAAAATCTAATCCAATGAGAATTCCTAGAGGAAAAAAGAATGAGGCAGACATAAAATTTAAAGAAATAATTACTAACAAGTTTCAGAAATTGTGAAAATGACACTAAACCTCCGATTTGGAAAGTCTAAAAAAATCCCAATTAGAATAAATAAAAAGAAATCCACCCCTAGGCACTCCATGATGATACCAAAGGCATAGAGAAAAATCTTATTTAAAAATTTTTCAATGTTTATTTATTTTTGAGAGAGAGAGTGCACAAGTGCGCACGAGTGAGCAGGGGAGGGGCAGAGAGAGATCATCACCGGTGCCAAAGTCTGATGCTTAACTGACTGAGCCACCCAGGCACCCAGAGAAAAATCTTTTTTTTTTTTTTTAATGTTTTATTATTTCTAGGAAAGAAAGAGACAGCGTGAGCAGGGAAGGGTCAGAGAGAGAGGGAGTCACAGACTGAAACAGGCTCCAGGCTCTGAGCTGGCAGTCAGCACAGAGCCCGATGCGGGGCTCGAACCCACGAACCGCGAGATCATGACCTAAGTGAAAGTCAGACGCTTAACCGACTAAGCCACCCAGGCGCCCCCACCCGGAGAAAAATCTTAAAACAGGAAGAATTTCTTACTTTTGAAGAAATAACAGTTAAACATGTAGCTTACTTGTTAACTACAGCAATAGATGCCAGAAAACAGTGGTAGTATCTTCAGTGTTCTAGAGTAACTATGAACTTAATTTGTATATCCAGTAAAAATATCTTTCCAGAATGAGGAAAAAATAGAAGTGTTTTCAGACAAATAGAAATTGGGATATTTTGTCACCAAGTGGCCCTCACTAAAGGAAATATCGAAGGACTTGGTTTAGGCAGAAGGGAAGTGATCCCAGGTAGAAGATCTAAAGTTAGAGAATAAATGATGGATCAATAAACTAGAAAAGTATGTGCAAATGTAGATAAAATTTCATTAATTAAACGCAATAATAATAATAATGAATAGTGTATTGGTCTGGAAAAGACAGAACTCTCCACAAAATACTTTGTAGTTACAAAAGGAACAATAGCTATCTTCACCGTGGAGATACTTGGCAGACATTTCCCTAATCTCCTGACCACAGTTGACAAGACCAGTAATGAGACCAATCAACATCATTTAACTTATTTTTTAATTGCTTTTGTTGTTGTTGTCATCATTTGCTTTTAAAAAGCCTTTAAAGATACTTCTCTATTTCTCTGGTTTGTAGTTTATAGTGACCGTGTTTTTAAGTTTTTAATGTTAATTCCAGTACAGTTACCATACAGTGTAATACTAGTTTCATGTGTACAGTATAGTGATTCAGAACTTCCGTATGACACCCAGTACTCATCACAAGTGCACTCCTTGATCCCCATCACCTATTTCACCCATCCCCCCACCTACCTCCTCTCTGATAATCAGTTCTTGATTGATATCAAGTTCTTAACTTAATAGTTAAGAGCCTATTTCTTGGCTTGTTTCTGTCCTTTTTTCCTTTGTTTATTTGTTTTGTTTCCTAAATTCTACATATGAATGAAATCATACGATATTTGTCTTTCTCTGACTGCCTTATTTTGCTTAGCATTATACTCTCTAGCTCCATCCATGTTGTTGCAAATAGCAAGATTTCATTCTTATCATGGCTGAATAATATTCGTGTGTGTGTGTGTGTGTGTGTGTGTGTGTGTGTGTGTGTGGCACATCTTTATCCATTCATTAGTCAGTGGACACTTGGGCTGTTTCCATACTTTGGGTATTGTAAATAATACTACAATAAACATGGGAGTGCATGTACCCCTTGAAATTAGCGTATTGCTAATTGCAACTGAAATTGCAATACTCAGTAGTGCAATTGCTGGATAATAGGGTAGTTATATTTTTAACTTTTTGAGGAACCTCAGTACTGTTCCCTAGTGGCTGCACCAGTTTGCATTCCTACCGGCAAGGCATGAGGGTTCATTTTTCTCCACATCCTTGCCAGCACTTGTTGTTTCTTCTGTTTTTGATTTATAGCCATTCTGACGGGTATGAGGTGATATCTCATTATAGTTTTGATTTGCATTTCCCTATTTATGAGTGATAGTGAGCATAGTTTCATGTGTCTGTTGGCAGTCTGGATGTTTTCTTTGGAGAAATGTCTGTTTAATATCATTTAACTTCTGATATGGTGCACTGAGAGGGCAACATCACTTCTCTGGTATTCCTGCCAAGAAGGCATGACCCAAATCTAATCATGAGGCATCATCATACAGGATCCACATGGAGGGACATACTATTCAAAAATCCCAAGGTTGCAAAAGAAAAACAAAAAAAGAAAAAAGACCTGTTCACATTAAAGGAGGCTAGTGAAACATGGCAACCAAATTCAGTGTATGAACTCAGAATGAATCATAGACGATAAAAATATGTCCCCCACCTCTGTGCAGAGATTGATTAGATCAATTGGGGGGAAAAAAGAATTAGATCTATAGGTTAGATAGAGTTCTATCATTGCTAATTTTCGTATTTTGTTCATGACACCATAGTTATATAAGATAGTATCTTCAGTTTTTAGGAAATGCACACTGAAATATTTAAGACTAAAATGACATCATGTTGGGGCGCCCGGGTGGCTTAGTCGGTTAAGCGTCCGACTTTCGCTTAGGTCATGATCTCGCGGTTCGTGGGTTCAAGCCCTGCATCGGCCTCTGTGCTGATTGCCAGCTCAGAGCCTGGAGCCTGTTTCGGTCTGTGACTCCCTCTCTCTCTGACCCTCCCCTGCTCGCACTGTCTCTCTCTCTCTCTCTCTCTCCTAGAAATAAATAAAACATTTAAAAAAAAATAAAAAAATAAAATGACATCATGTTTGCAACTTGTTCTCAATGGCTCTGAAAAATTAATTTATATGTATATAAAAGTGATACAAACAAATCTGGTAAAATGTTAATATTTAGGGAATTTGGGTGAAGGGAATTCTTCGTACCACTAGTGTAACTTTTTTGTTAGTCTGAAATTAGTTCATAACAAAAAGTTAAAAAAATAAAATGCATCACCAGCCCCTGATCCCCTAAAAACATCTAGACTACTAGATAACAACTGGATACCTGGTTTAAGAATTCAGCTATATACTTTTGAAATGAGCATTCCTAAAACATAAAGGTACAGAAAGTTTGAAAATAAAAAGTTTGGAAAAGACACACCATAATAACTGGGGGGATATGGCAGAGCCTCTGTCAATATTGGACAAAATAGACTTTGTCCAAGAGCAATCTAGAGATTAAAATAGAGTACTGTGTAATGATAGAGATTTTGTTCAACAGCAACATGTAATTGTTCCAACCTTTCATGTACTTAAAGGGACAGCCTAAAATATATAAAGCAAAAATCAACGGAAACCATAAGAAGAAATAGACAAATTTATCCTAGTGGTAGATTATTGACTTCTCTCAATTATTAGAGAAGACAAAGATAAGAGACAGATGAAGAAAGCAAAAAATTAGTAAACTTACAGAAAATTTGAACAGAACAGTTTATAGCCTTGATATAATAGTATGGTAAAGAATATGTTTAGACAGTACTGATCCACTTCTAAATGATGTCAAATCATTCATATTTATATGAATGAAATTAGCTGCTTATTTGAACGAGCTGTGGCATGCTGTTGGTAATGGTATTAATTTGTATATAAATTGATCCTTTGGGAAGAAGGGAGATCAAAGGTGGAAGGGACTGCTTCAGTGGGAAGGGTCAGAAGGTGAGAGTGTCAGGACACCCAGGTTGTAGTAACAACACTGTTATAAATTGGCCACGTGATGTTTTTGACAAGCTGTCCTCTTGGATTTCATTTCAAGGATAGCAGTGTTCATCCTGCCTATTCCCCAGGAATGTCATCAGATTCAATTGAAACATGCTAGTGAAGATGTTAAAAAATATAATGCACTCATGAGGATTAAATTAAACAAGTATTTATTGAATGTCCACTCAGTGCAAGGCCTATGGAAGACATTGTAGGGGATAGGGATGTGTAAGTCAAAAAAGAGATTCTAATCTAAGAAGTCATACAAGTTACGTGTTTCAAACCCTTCAGTAGCTTCCCTTTGCTCTCAGGATAAAGACCAGCCCTGGTGTCGCCTCTGCCTGTCTCTCTGGTTTCATCTCCATTTTCTTCCTTACTCAGCTTCAGTCCCTCATATTGCTGGTTTCTCTCCCACCACAGGACTTGTATACCAGCTGTTCCCTCAGCTTGAAGACCCTTTCTTCCCCCTTTCACCAAGTCACTGCCTACCCATCCTTCAGATCTCAACTCTGTTCCTTAAGGCAACGGGCCCCTGCCTCTTGAATAGGCACACTCCTCTTACATGGAATCATAGTATAGTGCCCTTGTGCTTCGCAGTGATTTTATGTTTTAGGGAGCGATCATTTGATTAATATCCATATCCCCTAGTGACTGGAGATAGGGGCCATGTCAGGTTTTATTTACTGGCATACTGTAGGCACTCAGTAAATATTTGTTGACAGGCTGACAGATCTTCTGATCAACTTACTGAATGAAGGTACCTGAAGACAGTTATAAACAAATACCGTGAAGAGACAAGGGAAGAGATAGTTTGTGAAATGAGCCCTAAAAGACTATAAATGCTGCCTAGATGCTGGTTTGATGGATGGTTATAATTATTATCACTGATCAGCTTCAAGTGATCTGGGCATTCATTATAACAAAGATATTGCTGTTTTTGTTTTGTTTCATTTTGTTTGTTTTTCCTTCATTTTAGTGTTTTCTAGTAAATTCTGTTGGAAATAACCCAGTCTCTTTTGTCAGCCCAAGCATGAACCTCTCAGCATCTTCTCTGACCTTATGGGTGTGGACTATGAAGAGATGTGTCACTGGCTCTGCCATCGGAAACTGGCTACCGCCACAGAGACATACATCAAACCCATCTCCAAGCTGCAGGCCACGAATGCCCGCGATGCTTTGGCCAAGCACATTTATGCCAAGCTCTTTAACTGGATTGTAGATCATGTCAATCAGGCCCTCCATTCTGCTGTTAAACAGCACTCTTTTATTGGAGTGCTGGACATATATGGGTAAGTATATTTGGCTTAGTGGTCTGCCACAGAGCATTGCTTTCCAGAGATTACCTAGTAACTCTAAGTGGGTATTAGATTTTGTCTCCTACTGGGAAGGAGAAAAGAAAATTAGAAGAACATTTCTAAAAATCTTATTTCATTTGGTAATTTGCCTTTTCTGAGTACCCTCTTTTAACTGTTAAAACCTTTCCTGTACACTTGTGCTTTTTGATGCCTAATATTTTTATTATAATGTTCAGTTTTGCAAAAGAACCTAGGAGATCTCTATTCCCAGTTCCCCTTTATGTGAGTGTGAATCTGTAAAGTGACAAAAGCAATCACTTTATCATAATGCCAATTGTTCCCCATTTGGGGATGAGTTAGCCCTCAAAAACTCAAACTGTTGAACATTTCTCCATGCTGGACCCTTTAAAAAAATCTCTCTGCTGCATGGCTGATGCCTGTCTGCTGGGTACAGAGCCCACGTTACTGGCTTAGAAACCTTTATCTTCACTGATGTGGAAAGAAAGTTTCACAATGTGGGAAAATTTCCCATTTCTTTCTTGCTAATGTGTACATTTTGAATATTTAAAAAAAAACTATTTGTTTTTCTCCTCTTCACATAATATTTTTGGTTTTACAGATTTGAAACATTTGAAATAAATAGTTTTGAACAGTTTTGCATAAATTATGCAAATGAAAAACTACAACAACAATTCAATATGGTAAGAATTTTCTTTTTTAACTAATATTCTACTATAAATTATTCTTTTGAATTTTACTCTGTGTTTAAAGTCTGGTTTCTGAAGTGAAATTATAAATTATACTTATTATCTGGGGTTTAGAACAACTGAACTGCTGTTTAATAAATAAGTGCAACATCAGAAACGTGTTTATGGCCCAGATAGGACTCAAGGTGATCTTCATATTACAGTTTGGGTATAGTGAAAACTATAAATTGAATGAGGTAATGCAGGAAGTGTGTCAGCAGTAACATAGGCACCATGAAGTTCTGAGCCCAGTATTTCTTTCAGTGTGTGGTTCCTATGGAGTTAGGACTGTCTTAACTATCTTAATTCTTATTTGCTGTAGCAGCAAAATTCCAGAATAAAAAATCAGAACACCTTCTCTTTTCTACATATTTTTTACATATTCTGTTTTACATATTCTCTTTTTAACAGAATGTCTCTGAGACATTCACCAAGACAATGGCAATGGGAATATTTTGAGAGTGGCTCTTGTGGAGTAGTAATATCAAATATCTTCAAGTATTATGGTATTGGGGGATTTCATGGTATTTAAAAACGAGGGGCAGTAGATTATAATAGTGAAGAGCACAGACCCTCAAACTAAACTGCTTGCATTGGAATCCCATTCTATATTGATTCTTCAGGGGACCTTGGGCAGGTTAATTGACCTTTCTGGGCTTTAGTCTTCTCATATGTATAGTGGGGATAATGACCACACCTACTATCATATGGTTGTATAGATTAAATGAGTTAAAATATGTAAAGTGCTCAGCAGATGTAAGGTACACTTCTAAGAGCAAGGTTAGGGATGGTTTTTAGTATGGATGAAAGAGGATATTAAAAATGAGCCACCTATAGGCATTGAAGATGGAAAAGAAGAGAGTTGAAAGACAGGAAAAGAGCCTTTAGTATCCTTATTTTATAAAGAGAGAGGTCAAGGGATATGCTCTATAATTGATGAGAACAGAAAATAGAAGCTTAAAGGTATTGTTTTAAATTCCAAAATTAATAAAAATCAAAAGATCTAAAAGTAGTAATATTCAGAGGACAGGAGAGGAGCAGTGGAGAGGTGATATATATGATTTTGTCCTCATTTGTCTCATCAAGAAATAAGTAAATGATGTTTCCAATGAATAAATCAAAAAGAAGTGGATAAACGTATTCTTTAGAGGTTAAGTATCAGAAGAAATAGCTCAAGTGTTGTCGAGTCACTCAGTTCTGTGTCAGGTGCACTAAAGAATTAGAGACCTGAGACCAGAATGGAGAGGTAGAGTTTATTGAGTAGCTAAGTATAGTACACTTTGAAGAGAGAAAGTGGGCCACTGCCAGAGCAACAGTGGCAAAGGCCCCAAAAAGCTCTAGCTGCATCCTTTTAAGTCTGCTTTGTGTACATGTAAATTTGGCTTTGATTGACATTTTTTTTTTTTACAAATAGTTTATTGTCAAATTAGTTTCCAAATAACACTCAGTGCTCATCCCCACAAGTGTCTTCCTCCATGCCCATCCCCCCTCCCCCCCACATCCATCAGTCCTCAGTTTTTGTCAGCATTCAAGAGTCTCTCATGGTTTGCCTCTCTCCCTTTCCCCCACCATTTCCGCCCTTCTTCTCCCCCTTGTTCCTCCGTCAAGTTCCTCCTAATCCTCCTATACGTGCAAACATATGATATTTGTCCTTCTCTGCCTGACTTTATTTCACTCAGCATAACACCCTCAAGGTCCATCCATGTTGCTACACATGGCCAGATTTCATTGTTTCTCATTGCCATGTAGTATTCCATGTTATAGATAAACCACATCTTCTTGATCCATTCATCTGTTGATGGACACTTGGGCTCTTTCCATGTTTTAGCTATTGTGGAGAGTGCTGCTATGAACATTGGGGTACATGTGCTCCTATGCCTCAGCATTTCTGGATCCCTTGGGTAAATTCCTAGCAGTGCTATTGCTGGGTCATAGGGGAGTTCTATTGTTAGTTTCCTTAGGAATCTCCACACTGTTTTCCAGAGGGGCTGTACCAGTTTACATTCCCACCAACAGTGTAGGAGGGTGCCCGTTTCTCCACATCCTCGCCAGCATCTAGAGTTCTCTGATTTGCTCATTTTAGCCACTCTGATTGGCGTGAGGTGGTATCTCAGTGTGGTTTTGATTTGTATTTCCCTGATGAGGAGGGACACTGAGCATCGTTTCATGTGTCTGTTAGCCATCTGGATGTCCTCTTTGGAGAAGTGTCTGTTCACATCTTCTGCCCATTTCTTCACTGGGTTGTTTGTTTTTCGGGCGTGTAGTTTGGTGAGTTCCTTATAGATTCTGGATATTAACCCTTTATCTGATATGTCATTTGCAACTATCTTTTCCCATTCCGTTGGTTGCCTATTAGTTTTCTGGGTTGTTTCCTTGGCTATGCAGAAGCTTTTAATCTTGATGAGGTCCCAATCATTTATTTTTGCTCTTGATTCCCTTGCTTTTGGGGATGTGTCAAGTAAGAAGTTGCTGCGGTGGAGATCAAGGAGGTTGTTTCCTGCTTTCTCCTCTAGGGTGTTGATAGTTTCCTGTCTCACATTCAGGTCCTTTATCCATTTTGAGTTTATTTTTGTGCATGGTGTGAGAAAATGATCTAGTTTCATTCTTCTGCATGTTGCTGTCCAGTTCTCCCAACACCATCTGTTAAAAAGGCTGTCTTTTTTCCATTGGATATTCTTTCCTGCTTTGTCAAAGATCAGTTGGCTGTCTACTTTTGGGTCCACTTCTGAGTTCTCAATTCTGTTCCATTGGTCTATGTGTCTGTTTTTGTGCCAATACCATACTGCCTTGATGATGACAGCTTTGTAGTAGAGGCTAAAGTCTGGGATGGTGATACCTCCCGTTTTGGTTTTATTTTTCAGGATTACTTTGGCTATTCGGGGTCTTTTGTGGTTCCATACAAATTTTTGGATAGTTCTAGTTTTGAGAAGTATGCTGGTGCAATTTTGATTGGAATTGCAATGAATGTGTAGAGTGCTTTAGGTAGTAATGACATCTTAACTATATTTATTCTTCCTATCCATGAGCATGGAATGTTTTTCCATTTCTTTGTGTCTTCTTCAATTTCCTTCATAAGTTTTCTATAGTTTTCATCATACAGATCTCTTGTATCCTTGGTTAGGTTTATTCCGAGGTATTTTATGGTTTTTTGTGCAGTTGTGAATGGGATCAGTTTCTTGATTTTTTGTTGCTTCATTGTTGGTGTATAAAAATGCAACCGATTTCTGTACGTTGATTTTGTACCCTGCAACTTGGCTGAATTCTTGGATCAGTTCTAGTAGGCTTCTGGTGGAGTCTGTCGGGTGTTCTATGTAGAGTATTTGATTGACATTTTTGATGGACACCTGGTGATTATATAACATTCTGGCATCTGTGCCTGTGCCTACCCATGGTGCCTTCGGTTATAATTATATTTATTTCTGTATTATAAATTTATTAGTTTCTAATGGGCTTTGTTGTGACTCTGTTTAATCTAAGAGCAAGTTGCATCTTTTGTGTGCATGTTCAGCTCTTGAAAGTCCTCTTGTGGCTCTTGGGCCAGCTCTGTGGCTAGGACTTTCCTGTTCTGTTACCCCTGAGGTGGCTCTAGAGCTCTGGCCAGCAGCTGCTTTATTTCTCCTTGCTCTTGCCTGCCTAACTGCTTAACAAATAGAGTTAAAAATGGTTTCCTCCAGAGACTGAGACTGGGGATGGGAGAAGGGATTGTTGCTTGTCATCATCAGACCTTTAGGATGTTTGATTTTTTAAAAATATTGCATATACTCTGATAAAAATTTGTACTATCTTCTTTAGCAAATTAGACTACTTTGCACAAGGAAATAATGCAGAAGTGATCTTCAAACCTTAGGCTTATGTCTATGTCCATAAGAATATAATTGGTATATTTTTCATCGTGCATAAGGAACATTAGTAAAAACCTATCAGAGACTGATTATCTTTTCTCAAGGTTTTTCTGGGTTTCTTAATACTTTTTTTTTTTTTTTTACATTTATTAATGCTTTAATCATAGCCACAGCCGCTGCTTTTTTCTAGTAATTTTCGGCACAAGGTGACTAGAAACATAAAGAACCAACACCAGCCTTCATTACTGGCTAGTTTGTCTATTTCTCAAGGATGTCTTGTCTCTGCCTGTGTGTTTCTGATTCTCTTATTGCTCTTTCTCTTTCCCTCTGTCCTTATTGATCTGTTTCTCCTTCTTTTCTGTCTCTGTTTCTCTCCCCCTCTCTGTCTCTGTCACACACACACACACACACACACACACACACACACACACACATCCCCTCTGCACAGCTTTTCTCTGCACAGCTGTTCTATTCCCTCTTACTATCAGATGGCATATTCTTCCCTTCTGTATAGATTTCCTCACTCATTTCACGCTTCCTGTGAATCTACCAGTGGTTGCATTGCTCCTCTCATCCCCTTAACTTGCTTAGTTCCCATTCATCTGGACTTCTTTTAGCCTCAGCTTACACTGTTAATTGCCTGTTTCCCAATTCTTATAGCTGAGAAAGAGAGTCTGATTAACTTCATTCATTTCTTCTTTAGAGATCTCTAGCAATTGACCAGCTGTGCTAGGAATGCGGGGTCTCACAGTGAAAAACTTGGCTGCCTTGGTCCATTTCTTCAGCAGGGATTATGGGTGGGGCAGTTGCTGTGAGAAACACATGTTTGCCATCTTTAGTGCTTGGAGACATTATATTTTGACCACAGATCTCTCACCATTTTGAACCTCATGCCCACATTATCTTTTTGACAACTGAGTATCAAAAATGTTTGAGGTCTCATGGACTTTTCCAAATTAGGCATAGAGATATGGAAGAGAAACAAGCTCTATTTAAAATCTGGAGCACTGTCATTGTGGAGACTGCATATAAATTATTGAATTAGAAAAAGATATGGCTCATTGCTTTGGGAAATATTGGTACCATCAGTCAGGGTATCCTACAGACACATAGTGCCCAGTTTGCCTTCTCATTCATCAAAAGAGCAGAAGAAATTTACTTTGCGATTAGCATGACATAAATATTCCTTTGAGAATTTTTTTTTTAATTACTAAAGCTTGTTGCAGCTGGTAAATGCTGCAGGTGAGCCAGGAAGGGCATCATAGCAAGTATAGAATAAAGTGAGAAAGTTCCAGGTGCATAAGGAGAATATGTATCAGAAATCTGAGTGACACCTAAGTTTCATGGGGTTTTGGGTCCTAGAAAATATGTTGTCGTCTCTGGTCACAGCCACAGAGGGCTATTTCCAGAAAAAGCAGCAAGATGTGTGAGAGAACAAGGGACACAAAAGAGACAAAGGAAAGCAGAAACTCTTAGAAGGAATGAGTCGAGGTCATTAACATCTTAGAAAGACTAAAAGTTGCAGGTTGCTGCATTGGGCAGCCTGAAGCAAGAACTGTACTTGTGGTTGGCTTGCCCTTTTGCCTAGACTAACTTAACTACCGTTCATCTGCAGAGCTCATGTCACACAGCAGCTTTTCCTCAGGGAAGCCTTCCCTCCCCGCTCCTCTGTCCTACCCCCCGCCCTGTGTCCAAACTAGATGAGGACTTCTGCTCCCTTAGTTTGAATTATTTTCCTTTGTAACAAACACTACAGTTTGTGATCCCTTGTGATTATTTGATTTCTGTCTGTTTTTCCACTAGTCTCCAAACTCTGTGACAGCAGAACCCGTGTCTACTTTGTTAATGGTGTGTGGTAACTGGCACATAGTAGAAGGTCAATACATATTTTTGCCTGAATGAGTGAATGGAGATAAGTAATAGTGAGATTGGTGGCTGATGCATTTAGCAGAAACAGCAGTCATTGCTACTTGTTGCAGCAGTGGATGTAGAATTTAGAAAAGTGAGCTGTAGATTCCTTGATGTGAAAAATAATGGAGGCAGACACAAAAGATTGTTGGCTAATTCTGAGGTACATGAACTTCAATATCACCATCCCTTAAGAGCATTACTTCCCATGCTGCAAGCATCGCCCAGTGTGGTTCAGTAGTCTGAGGGGCATCTGCTCTGCATGATTGTTCAAGGCCAGTTAAGGCATTGTCAGCAGCATAGCAATAATTTGAGGCCAAAAAGTATAATGTGCAGTAGATGTACACAAATAAAAAGAATTAAAAAGACTGCTACATTTGTCAGCTATTTAACACATCCACGTATCTAGATTTTCTTGTTTACCAAGTATCCTATGTAGCTGAAATTTACTGTCTCTGGTTTTTATTTGCTTCTTATTATTGTTCTCTTTGTGTAAATCATGTATCTTCCATGAAATTATTGCTGCTGGAAGCCATGGACTATCTCAAATTATTGCCTCTTAGAGTGTTTTCTATAAATGTTTTTTCTTGACTAACATTATAATGATTCAGTAACGCCAGTTTTTCTTTTTAATTTCAGCATGTCTTCAAATTAGAGCAAGAAGAATATATGAAGGAACAAATTCCATGGACACTCATAGATTTTTATGATAATCAGCCTTGCATTAATCTTATAGAATCTAAACTAGGCATTCTAGATTTGCTGGATGAGGAATGCAAGGTAAGTACGGTTTTCTGATGTACCTAGTCTATCAAAAGAGGTATGTCAAGGTGAGAAGGTAAGTGAGTTTAAGCAGAGATTCATTAGTGTACCATGAGGTGCCGCCGTGGCAACAAGAAGGGCGGGAGAGTCAGCCTAGCTTGCATTCTGAAAGGTCACTAGGCCCAAAGCTTTCTAAATACAATTGAAACTTGGAAAATTTGCTTTCTCTTTTCAGCTGCTTCTAAGTTATGTGAAAAACTAACATTAGACATAACTACTACCCATTGTTAGCCACTTCTTTATCAATATGCTTATATTTGGTGTTTTTTGTTCAGTGGTATGACATATTTAAAGAAATGCAAGAAATTGTACAAAAGATATTCTGAATAATAATCCTAAATATCTGTGATTTAAAATTGACTGCTTATTCTTTATTCCTGATAGATCTGGTAGAAAGGGAGTTTTAGCTCTAATTTTCATAGACACAGCATATTGGGAAAATGATGGAGCTCCAGCTACACTACTAACTGAGTCATCTTAGACAAATAACCTATCCTTTCTCTTAACTCCTCTACAGTTTGTATGCCATAAGTTACAACTTACTATAGATTAATGCTCCTAAGCATCCAGATTTCCTACAACATTAAGAATGAATATGATGCTCAGTTGAATTTCACTTGAAATTTAAAAAATGCAAATCAAAACAAAAATGGGATACTGCTTTTTACCTATCAGATAGAGGTGAATTTAAATTTGATAATACCTTTCACTTGATAATAGCAAATGAATGTTTATTACATCTATACTCTTGAGGAAGGGCACGAGTTAATACAACATATTTTTGAGGAAAGTTGACAATATTTATCAAAACTATAAGCACACACCTTTTGACTCAGCAGTGGGACTGTTGGGAGTTCACCCTGTGAGTGTACTTAAACAAGTATTGAAGGTATATATGTGAGAGAAGTAATGGTGACCAGTTGATAGTAACAAAAAATGAGTAACAAGCTGATGGCCATAAATACAAGAATGCTATTATTAAGGAGAAAAAAATACAATACCTTTCTGAATTATGTAAATATTTTACTCTGTGCAGATTTTACCTTTATTTAAGAACTTAAAAAAAATACATGATATGGGGCACACGGCAGGCTCAGTCGGTAGAGCACGTAACTTGATCTCAGGGTCATGAGTTCAAGCCCCACCTTGGGCATATAGCTTACTTAAAAAAATCATAGTAGTTTATCTTTTATTTGTGAGGCTTTTGCTGTGTTAAAAACAGAGTATTTACTTGATGCTTGCTGGCATAGGCAGATGAAGTTGCCCAAAGATTGGGCTGAATCACCCATGAGAAGGTCGCAATCACTGCTTTTCATTAGTAATTGATTTTTGACATCTAAATGAAAAATGTGGAAGGAATGAGTTCCTAATTGAATATAAAAGTTATTAGAAAAGCTGAAAAATGGTCTCTTGGTTAATGCATGAGAAGAATCTCGTAACAATATTCACCTTGGTTGTTGTTGTTATTATTGTTGTTGTTTTTCTTATCTTCCCTAAATGTAGATGCCTAAAGGCACAGATGACACTTGGGCCCAGAAATTGTACAACACACATTTGAACAAGTGTACACTCTTTGAAAAGCCCCGTCTGTCAAACAAAGCTTTCATCATCCAACATTTTGCTGACAAAGTAAGGAAGCTTTATTATCTTTTTTCTTTCTGAATACTCAAGTTCAAAGAGGAAAAAAAAATCAGTAGTTAAACAGTATCAATTTTTTCTTTGCTGAAGTTTGCATTCTTTAGGGCCTTCTAGGAAAAGTGTTGCTTTGTTAGTTTTCCCTTCCTTCACCTTATATGGAATTATATCATGAAATAAATATGAGTCTACAATCCTCTATAATTCTGAAACCCAAGAAATGGAAAATTAAAAAATCTTTTCATAATTTATTTCTTGGCTAACCCTGATCTTTGACCTGAACTAACATGAGGTTACATATAGTCTTTATTTATCCCAGTGAGGCTGGATATTTACACACTTCATTGTAGAAATGTTAATGTGCCTGGTTACAGATTGCTGCCTCAGATTGCTGAAAAGTTTGGAGGGGTCAGAATAGAGACTGTGGACTTGTGTCACCCTCCCTATTTGAGTCATTTGGTCCTTGTTAATAGGGCATGCAGATTTGCTGCTTCACGAGTTCAGTAGTGTACTTAGAAAATCAGAAGCCATGAGACCAATTTATATTTCAAGGAAGTGTAAATAGGCATTGGGGGTAAGCTTCTTGGGGTCTCTTTCAGGAATTGAAGACCTTCTGAATCTCCTTAATCCTAGCTGGAGACCCAAGAATGTGACTTTAGGTCACCTAAGGACTTCGTAGTATTGGCTGGGGAGCAATTTGAGTGGTAGATGCCTGAAGTCCTTGGAGTTTTGGAAGCAGGAACAGTCCATTCTCGAGTAGTTCCACTTAACCAATCATGTCTTATTTACCCAGCCTCCACCTCAGCTCTCAGTCAGACTGCCATTTTCCTTCTGAGCTCTTTCCCAATTTAATCTCTTTTTTTTTCCCAGGAGGACTACTCCTCCTGGATGGCGATCTCACTCATAGGAGAATACATTAGGTTAGCCTTGGAGGAGCTCTCTCAGTCAGCATGGGAAAGGAGAGTCAACTTTGAGAGTCTGCTTACCTATCATTTGGGAAGATTTTTAGACCACAATGAATCAGTGCTACCATTGTTCCCTAGGAAAAACAATATTTGAGGAGTTTTACTCTAGACTTCACATACTTCTTCCCAAGAACGGTACTGGTTTCTTAGAATAAAACTGATTCCAGTTTGCTGAGAGCCAGTCATATAGCCTAAGCCTAAAAAAATAGTTTTATTGTTGATGATAATAATATTTGTTCAAAAGTTCCGTTAAGGAGATTTTTGCATGTGTTTTCAGGTAGAATACCAGTGTGAAGGCTTTCTGGAAAAGAATAAAGACACTGTTTTTGAAGAACAAATTAAAGTTTTGAAATCAAGCAAGGTAACTATGTATAGACTTTCTCCAACCAGGATATATTCTTAAAGTGTTAATTAATAAGACATTAGTTTTTTATTTTTTTTAAAGTTTAAGGTTTATTTTTAAATTTATTTTGAGAGAGAGAGAGAGTGAGTGGGGGGCAGGAGGAGGGGGTAATTGCAGAGAGTGAAGGAGACAGAATTTCAAGCAGGCTTCATGCTATTAGTGCAGAACCTGATGTGGGGCTCAGACTCACAAACCATGACATCATGACCTGAGCTGAAGTCAAGACTTGGATGCTTAACTGACTGAATCACTTAGGCACTCTGAAACATTAGCTTTTTAACAATAATGATGATTTTTGTAATAGAATCAGCTTTACTTTAGTTTTTAATTTATCAAGTACATAACACTTAGTGTCTGTCAGGTCTTGTTTTAAATATCTTAGAAATGTTAACTCATGTAATTTTTATAATGAGGTGATGTTATCAACACTCTCATTTTACAGATGAGGGAACTGAGGCACAGAAATTTCATAGCTAGTGAGTTTCAAGTCAAATTAAAATCCAGGCTGTCTGGCTCAGAGTCTATGCTCTTAACCATTACGCATTATTGTCTTTCAGTTGCACGTGGAATTGCTGTCCCTGCAGTGGTTCTAGACTCTCTTAGGCCTTTGTGAGAGACTGTGCCCTAGAAACATGGCCTTAAGCACTCTATCCAGAGGGAGATTGATCTTTGGATCTTGGAATACAGTTCCAAGTGTGGCCCAGAGTACTTCTAAATTATTTTTTGTATGCATATATACAGAATGATTATAAATCATTTCTGTTGATGAATAGTGATGAAAACTAGGGAATTCTAGTATTACTACTCTGCTTAGGTAATTTAGCTTAAATGGAACATTCACAGGTTCTTATTCCCCAGGCACCTGTAATCAGTTCTATCTTCATTCTAACTTTTCTGTTTGGCTAGCAAATCCTTAATTATCAGAAGGTAGCCATGCGTTCTTAGGGGTCGTTTAGAGTGACTCCAGTCTATGTAGCATTATTGCACTTGGAGTTGGGAGATGGTGTATGGTATACATAGCTTGGGTTTTCAAATCAAAACTATTAGGAACTCTTATTTTTCCCCTTGGGAACACAGCTTCAACACTGTAATACAAGATGGTGATACAACATGTTTTCCTCTTTATAACCAACCAAGCTAGAATGTATTGCTGTATTTTGTAAAGCAAAGGATACATTCATAACATTGATACGTTTTGTATAACAATTTGTTTTATACATCATGAGTTATTTCTTAAATTATCCTTATGGTTAATATGCACATTAGGAGCAAATAAAATTTTATGATTTTGTTTTTTAATGAATGAACTCTCCTAAGAAAAATATTTCTTTGGCAGATATGCTTAAGTCATTAGACAAATAGTTGGTAGTGGCAATTATAATTTTAAGGATTATTTTATATGGAATGTGGCACTCTTTAAAAGATCTATACATATATCAAGATGTTCCTGTGGATTAATTTGAAGTCTCTTTTATTCTATAAAATTTCTCCCAACCGTATCGACTAATACCATGTATCCACTTGTTAAGTGCCAGATCTTTTTTTTTTTTTTTTGGAGAGCGCATGTGGGGAAAGGGTTGGGGAGGCAGGGACAGAGGATCCAGTAGGCTAAGAGCAGTGAGCCTGTTGTGGGACTTAAACTCACGAACCATGAGATCATGACCTGAGCTGAAGTGGGATGCTCAACTGACTGAGCTACCCAGGTGCCCCATGCCAGATCTTTTGATAGTCTTTCATAGTGCTAACCTGGTACAACACAAAATTGATTACAGGAATTATGCAATCAAGTTATCAGTCCCTTGAAAACAAATATAAAAGGTTACAGGACAACAACAGGGCTTTTACCTTTTTTCTTTATAATCTCTGTTATTTTCTAAAAATTATTAATTCATGATTATTTTTTAATCTTACAATATTAAAAAACTAGTTCATGACACCTTGCCGAGATCTCCAGTGATGTTTTTCTTTAGCTGGCATTTACCATTTGAGTTAATAGGTAGACAATTGAAGCATGATGATAAAACATTTTGTTGAGCTAAGGTAATAAGATAGGACTTTCAATTAGTATTTTGCTCATAAAATAATTATAAAGAGCAGTAATATGTTTATAGTGGCCATTTCCTGTAGATTGGGATTTCAGGTGTTAGTGGAGTGGTTTTGATTTTGTTTCCCCCAAACATGATCATAGAATAATTGCTTGTTTTTTTCCTCCTATATTTTTGTAGCATTTGTGTCATCTTCCTCTCGTCTTTAGCCCCCAACACAGATATTGATTATATTTGGAATGGGACTCTGTAATGGGTTACTTAAGGAGGGCAATCACTGTGGATTCCAAGTCTTCACAGTGTTTCTGTGAAAGTTTACATTTGAATTTATTTAGAGTGTAACTTTCTTTTATTGTTTCTGACTCAGTTTAAGATGCTACCAGAACTATTTCAAGATGATGAGAAGGCCATCAGTCCAACCTCAGCCACCTCGTCAGGGCGTACGCCCCTCACCCGCACTCCTGCAAAGCCAACCAAAGGCAGACCAGGCCAGACAGCCAAAGAGCACAAGAAAACAGTGGGGCACCAGGTGAGTTCCAGGAGCTGCCACTATAGGACCCCATCCCCTCAAGCTCAGCTGAAGCCTCAGGTCTTCTTCTGTTGCCCCCCTCTCTACCACCCCCTCTTGCTGCCAGGAGGTGAAAAGAGGCTAGAGCTTTTACTGTGAGAACATGTAAAATCACCCCCTCCTTCTCCTCTCCACCCAGCTTTAGACCTGTGACTGCTTAAGCCTTTCCCCAAATAATTTTCTCTAGGTCTTCATTCTGGTAGTGCATATCATCCCTCACAGACCACTGCTGCCTTTCGTTTGTCTTCTGGTTGTTTCCTCTCTGGATTTGTACAGAGCACCAGCTCCCTCCTCACTGCAAGAGCAGAGCCCTCTCCTTTCTTTGATGTCCTTGGCTCTGTGGGGTATAGGAGATATTACTCACATATGTAGTGCCTGGACAAGGCTGGGTGCTCAGGATGGGAGGCTAGTCAGCTTGTTTTCCTGTGTGGGGGACCTTGTGCCAGGTAAAATAAGAAACAGGGACTGACCCAGGACCACAGCCTCCAGGCTTGACCCTATGTCCCTAATGGTAACCCCAAACTGGCTGTACTCCCCCATCCTCCCACTTATTTCCTGTGCTCTTGTAAGTCACCCACTACTTTTTTAGTCTCTTGCAGCAGAATTTCCACTATACATAATTAAATGGATTTAATATTCTTAAAGAAAGTTTATATTTTTAGTCAAAATTCTGAGTTCCCAACAGAAAGCTACAGAAGCATGTATTCAAAGATTGGGATAGGGGTGAACTCTGATGGAAATGATGGACTTTGGGTGACTATGATTTGTCAAAGCAGGTTCATCAATTGTAACAAATGTACCACTCTGATGAGGACACTGATTATGGGGGAGGCTTGTGTGTGGGGTTAGGAGATACATGGAAGATGCCTATATCTTTTTATTTTTTGTTTTTTAAAAAATTTTTAAGTCTTTATTTTGAGAGACAGAGACAGAGAGTGAGCAGGGGAGGAGCATAAAGAGGGAGACACAGAATCTGAAGCAGGTCTCGGGCTCTGAGCTATCAGCACAGAGCCTGACGTGGGGCTCGAACCCACAGACTGTGAGATCATGACCTGGGCCGAAGTTGGATGCTTAACCGACTAAGCCACCCAGGCGCCCTTATTTTTATTTTATTTTATTTTTTAAGAGAGGGAGAGTGCAAGTGAGTGAAGGGCAGAGAAGGAGAGAAAGAAAATCCCGTGAGGGGCAGAGGGAGAGAGAGTTAGGGCTCACCTAAAGCAGGGCTTGTGCTCACCTGAAGTGGGGCTCACCCCAAACGGGGCTCTCCTGAAGTGGGGCATGAGCTCACTCAATACGGGACTCGAACTTCAAACTGTGAGATAATGACCTGACCCAAAGTCAGATGCTTAACTGACTGAGCTACCCAGGCACCCGGATCCTTGTATCTTCTATTTAATTTTGCTATGAACCTAAAACTGCTCTAAGAAAATAACTATAAAAAAAGGAGTGGCAGGGAAAATGGTGGGAGGAGAACAAATGTATGTTTAGTAGAATAAGCATATATAAATGGCAGAGTTTAAGCAAATCTTAACCTAAAGCCCTGCATTCCTAAATAGTAACACTCTCCTTTTGAGTTCATAGGTGGCAAAATCATCTCCCATGGTGCCATTAAAATTTTTTTAATTGTTTTATATCATCATTGATTTTCACAAAACCTTGATGCCCCTTTCTGTTCTGTTTTTCATGCAGTTCCGAAACTCCCTTCACCTGCTTATGGAGACCCTCAATGCCACTACCCCTCACTATGTGCGCTGTATTAAACCTAATGACTTCAAGTTCCCATTCACGTAAGTATTTCCCAACTACTGAATTAAAATGTGTTCAGCTCCCATAAGGATTCCCATACCACCGAAGGTAAAAAATATTTGGGTCAATTTTTCTTTATTGTTTTAGTTTTTATTTCCCTTTGAAATGTGATAACAAGTTAGTGGTAAATTAGCAGCTGGCCTTTTGACGATTTTGAAAGTTGAGGTCAACCAAGCATTCCTAGTTCTATTTTCTGTTTTGAATTTACTTTAGTTCAGGATCTTTCTGGGCCTTTGTTAATTTGGGCATTAGTTAATGCCAGAGCTGAATGGGATACAGCTGCTTTGGTGAAGGTTCACAGTTCTCTCTGCTACTTTTCAACTGTTGACACCATCAGAGAATGTCTGCTATTGCCAAATGTCTCATCCTACACAAATACTATGTATGAGGGAGAAGGTTTTTTTTTCCAAAATGGAAATATTTCTCTTTTTTTTATTTTAATTTTTATTAATTTAATTTATTTATTTTTACAAATAGTTTATTGTCAAATTGGTTTCCATATAACACCCAGTGCTCATCCTCACAAGTGCCCTCCTCCATGCCCATCTCCCCCCTCCCCCCCACATCCATCATTCCTCAGTTTGTTTCTCAGCATTCAAGAGTCTCTCATGGTTTGCCTCTCTCCCTTTCCCCCACCATTTCCCCCCTTCTTCTCCCCCATGGTCCAAAATATTTCTCTTAATATTAAAAATAATGCATGTGCATTGCAGAGACAGGTTTTAAGAAATATAAAATAGGATAAAAACAATTGAAAAAACATTCATTATACCCTGAGAGATAACTGGTATTAACTCACATAGGTCCTTCTTGTATAAACATACTATCATTTATTTAAATTATTCCCTGTTGATGACCATTTAAGTTATTCCAGCAATGCTATGAGAAATATATTTTACCAAACATTCTTGTATATTTACCTGATTACTTTCTTAGGATAATATATTTCTAGAAGTGGAACTTGTGGGTCAAAAGTTAGGCACATTTACCAGAGGTTGTAAAAATTCCCCCTCTCCCCATAGCATATGAGTGCTCAGTTTCCTCCATCCTGCCAATCCTGTCCTCTGAGATTCTGCCTGAGATGCAGAACAGTTCTGAAAGATGCCACGAAGTCCTTTCTGGAGGAAATGGGAGGCAGGAAAAGCTGCCACAGCCAGGACCACTCTCCTGGACAAACCTAGGGGCCATTACTTTCTATCAGCCAACCCCACCCCCACCACCAACAGAAGGTTTGACAGGACAGCACAGCAGGAGGCTCACATAGAGCCCTCAGGGCTTAGCTGGGGGAGCACGGAGAGTGATCACCCAGCAGGAAGCAGGCCTCCCTGTGTCCTCTTCTACTGTCAGCTAAATGGTAACATGCCATTTGTCTAGAGAGTAAAATAAACATAACATAGATAAGATATAACACAAAATAAAAATATCTCTCATTGATGTGGACACTATAAATGTACACATGAAATTGAATAGAAATTTTAGAACACCAATATATTTTTTAAAATAATTGAATGGGGCATATTTAATTTGTTCTTCTTAGAGAAATCTCCAGACCTGGCCAGTCTTTACTCCAGGCAGCTGTATAGGGTGAGCTAAAGAATTAAGAGAACAGCTCATCAGGCCAAGCCATTTTAATGACTATGGGCAAAGTAGAGAGGGCTTTGGGTTTTTTTAAAAATATGCTCAGTGGTATTCTTATGGGTTTGTGGTAGGAGCTACAAATAATGCTTACAGCTCTTTATCTTTCCTGCTAATGGTCTCCTCCCACTGTCACACAGAGTTTTTTCCATGTTGATCACTGCTCTAACTTTTGAATGTTTTCTAATATATTCATTTGACCCTTTAGAAAAGAATTTATTCTCTGGACTGAGGAGAGTACTTTGTGGCTATAGCCAGGCTTCTTGTATGTTACTGATGCTCACTGTTACATGTAGGTTTGATGAGAAGAGGGCAGTGCAGCAACTGCGAGCATGTGGTGTCCTGGAAACCATCCGCATCAGTGCAGCAGGCTTCCCCTCACGGTGAGCATGACAGTTTTCAAATATAAGGGATCCTGTGGGAGAGACTCTTACCTCTTTAAATAAGCTGATGTGAGTTTCTTTATGTAGGTGGACTTACCAAGAATTTTTCAGCCGCTACCGTGTCCTAATGAAGCAAAAGGATGTGCTGAGTGACAGAAAGCAAACATGCAAGAATGTTTTAGAGAAACTGATAGTGGTAAGAAAGATTTTCACTTACCTTTATCTGAACAGATATTGGCCAAAGACCTTGTAATTGTAATGTTTGAAAGCCCTTGGAAGTACCACTAATCCAGATTATTTAGGGGTGAGAGGGTGGGGGGCACGCTGTCTTAGAGATCAAGGCTCACTGTGTTTAGGATGCTAGGCCTAGTGAGGGTGATGGTCGACTATCAGGAAACAGGACAAGGCCTGGTAAAAGTTTACCTTGTACTTACTTCTGGAAGACATTAGCCAGATATTGTGTAATTAAGAAAACACTAAGTCTTATCCTAAGAGAACATAGTCTGTCTTGGAAAGGTAAGTATAATATGCCTAGTGTCTATCAGATACTAAAGAAATCAGAGGAAGGCAAAGCACATCCCACATGTGCAATGGGAATGAGGAACAGTTTCATGGAAGATGTGTGTTTTGAGTCAGGCCCTGAAGAATTGGTAAGATTGTATAAAAGTAGAAGGATATTCTACTAGGGAGCAAGGTGTGAAGAAGTAGGAAAGCATAGAATTTGCTCAGAAAACAGTAAATTCTTTTTTTTTTGTTTTGTCTTTTGTTATGTAAGATTGGTATATGGGACAGTAAGGGAATGCTTAAGAAATGCAGGTTGGTGTTTGAAAAATCTTGCATGCCAAGCTGGGGAGTTCTCAAATTTCAGAATACATCAGAGTCACCTGGAGGGCTTATTAAAATACAGATTGCTCGGCCACATCTAGCAGAATTTTTGATTTAGTGGATCTGGAATGGGACCAATAATACGTATTTCTAACAAGTTCCCAGGTGATGCTGATGCTGGTCTGAGGACTCCATTTTGAGAACCAGTGATCTAATTCATGAAGAGTTTAAGATTCATGAGAGATTTTTAAAAAAATATTTTGCTTGTTTGATACTGGTTTGGATGGATTACCTAACTTTGAGGCAGTTAGTCCTAATTACTAACTATTAGCTAAATGTAATATCTCTTCCTTGGTAATAATAACTTTTTTTTTTTTAAGAGCTAAGGCCACTTTCTTAGTAATGCATAAAAAGAATCATCCTTTTTGAGTTTGGACCAACTCCTTTCTAACTTGGGTTCAAAAGGGAACAGAGGGCAGAAAGTAGGGACAGTCCTCCCCCTGGCCACCCAGACCATGCCAGGCCTGGTTCAGGGTTCTACAGGGTGGTTTGACAGAGGAGGCTACAATTTAGAGGAGAGCACGGGTGAGGTAGAGGAAGCTGAGATGAGACACAGGGAGAGAGAGAGAGAGAGAGAAAGGAACTACCTCCTTTCTAGCTGTTTAGGTCTCCAGCTGGGCTTTCTTTGTAAACTTTGGTGATTTAAATTGAAATAATCTTACATGTTTTACCTATATGTGGAGATTTCTGATTTTGCGGGTTCATGTGCAGGATAGATAGGAGCTACCTATTTACGCTGAAAAGTGGTTTTCTCTGGTTTCCCTTAGAATTTCAGATCATGATAGTGATTATTATAAATAAATTCCACTCTTCTTTTGATATGAACATGGTTAATAACCTGCTTTCTTCAAGATAAGGTAGATCAGAATGCAATAGACCAAAACTAGCATGCATGTCTTGTTATCCAAAGTCAATGAGCAACATAAGTGATTATGTTTTTGTAAAAGGAGTTGTGAAATTTGTAGGATTTTAGATACATGTATAGGATTATGTTTGTTTATTTTTAGCTACTGTTGGATAAAAGCAGCAGATAACTGTTGAAAACTTAACTCTTGATATGAATATGCAAAGTTTTTTGTTGTTTGATTCTTATTTTGTGTGCATGGCTTCCTGCCTTCTTCTTTATGCTGGTGTTTTTGTCCCTTCAGCTTTCTCATGGAACATACAGCCTGATGTAATCCTTACAGCCTGAGTCAGTCAGAGGGAGTGTCAGCATCTCCATTTCCTTGAGATATTTAAAATGCAAACACGCAAATAATAGCTGCCTATAACTCACAACCAAGTTTTTGGCCTCAGATAATAATTCCAGGTAGAATGATTCTGGAAAATAATTCTTAAACTGCAGTTTTCCTTAAAATCCCTCTATTTGCTCAGCTTACATAGGATAAAAAATCTGGCTCCATTAGTGAATTGTGATGTAGCCCAAGTTTTAGCTACTAGATTCATCCCTTTACTGATTCTGCTTTTAGACATATTTTTTTCTCTTTTAGAAGTTCATTTATATGGTCATCATTCCTACTTCTGAGTATACAATTTCTTCCAAAAAATAGGACAAGGACAAATACCAGTTTGGTAAGACAAAGATCTTTTTCCGTGCTGGTCAAGTGGCCTATCTAGAAAAATTGAGGGCAGACAAGCTGAGGGCTGCCTGCATCCGGATCCAGAAGACCATCCGAGGGTGGCTGCTACGGAAGAAGTACCTGCGCATGCGGAGGGCAGCCATCACTGTGCAGAGATACGTGCGGGGCTACCAGGCCCGATGGTAGGTCTCTCCGCAGTCCGTCCCCCCTGGTTCAGGGCCCCTGAGATTGGAGAGCTCATCTGATTCATTGTCCAACTGAGGACAGTTTTGAGTGGTCTTCCTATTTGAGAAGGCAATGCCTCACCTTTTCTTACTTTCAAAAAAAACCAAACAGGTTTACCCACAAGACAGTTAAATAGAATAAAATTTCACTCACCCTTATGAATGATGTAGATTTATCTTCAAGAAAATTATAAATTACTGCCTACTCATGTCCTCCGTATTTTTTATATTTTGTACTTTTATGTGGGCTTGAAGAAATCATCTTTAAATTAAAAGTCATGAATATGTGCTGGTTAATAATGATTCCATTGAGGAGTTTTGGGGAGCAATTAACTGAGGAGATCTGGAGGATAATGAGACTTCAATGTGATTACATATGAGGATAATTTTAATTTAGGACTATCAGTAGGAATGAATTAATGATGAAGAATTTATGCCCAAATAGATAGATTAGGGATAAATAGACACATTAGCAAAGGCAGTTAGTTCTAAGAGCTGGTGGTAAGTAATTACGGGATTACTGTGGCCAGCCACTTGACTATGTAAAAGGGATAATATGCACTGTTTTAGAAAGAGTGAACCTTTTTAGGCTTTACTTTCTTTATTGTAGTATCAGGTATTTTGGAACATCCTACTTTTCTGGGTTAGAGAATGCTCAGATCAGATAATGAGTGCAAAAATATTTAGGGGATCTATAAATTGCTATACAAATAGAAGTGATTTAACATGTACGTTATTAGAATAATAACAGTGGAGGTACTGTTTATTATGCTGAAGATACTGGTGCTTTAAGTCTCTACAAAACGTATTCCTGGGTTTGTCTGATCACTGACAACATGCCACTCTTTTCTTTGGCCAGCTATGCCAAGTTCCTGCGCAGAACCAAGGCAGCAACCATTATTCAGAAGAACTGGCGCATGTACATAATCCGCAGGAGATACAAGATGAAACGAACAGCCACTATCGTTCTTCAGTCTTACTTGCGAGGCTACTTGGCCAGAAATAGGTATCACAAGGTGAGGCATTGTTTCCAATTTTGTTTATTCATTCCATGAACAGTAATCAAATTCCATATCTGTACAAAATATCACAGGGTTCCTATGGGCGTAGGATCTGAATGCAGACAACCAACAATTGACATATATTTTTAAATATTAAGTAAGAACATATATTTATTAATAGGATAGTGCAAAAATTACCTCCATTATCCTCTTTTATCTATGTAATTTGAAAAAAGTTAAGTATATTAGTTTCCTATGGCTGTGGTAATAAATTATCCACAACTTGGTGCCTTACAAAAACAGAAATTTACTCTCTCAGAGTTCTGAGGCCAAAAGGCTAAAATTGGTATTAGTAGCCCAAAAACCAAGATGTCAGCAGGGCTGTACTTCCTCCAGAAGCTCTAAGAGAGAATCTGTCTCTTACCTCTTCCAGATTCTGCCAGGTGGCTGCCGGTGTCCCTGATGTTTGTAGCTATGTCACTTTAGCCTCTGCCTCCATCCACACGTCATCTTCTCTGTGTGTCTAACTTGGCTTCTTTTGTCTGTCTCTTATGAGAATGCTCATAATGGATTTGAAGGCCACCCGGATAATTCACAATAATCCCCCTATCTCAGAATCCTTAACGTAACCACCTCTGCAAAGACCCTTTTCCCAAATAAGGTAGCATTTCCAGGTTCCAGGGATAAGGGTCTGATGTGCTTGGGGGCCTTTATTCAGCCAATTATGATGAGCTGTGAATAGGTAGAATATATGACAAATGGGTATAAGATAGTTCCAAGAATGAAACAATCTTAGAAGAATTTAACATGGTGAAGAGGAAATAAATTACATTAATGTGGTTACAGTTGTATTGATAAGAGTGTGATGCTCCAAATGTTTTTGACAAATAATCTTTATTGCTAGCAATAATCTACATGACTATAGATCATGCATCACCAGATTAATCTTAATCATCACCTCTACAATATATGATCCAATTGATGGGAGATTACTCTTATTTTGGTAAGGCTTTGAGTCTGTTCTTTAGGATATACTCTTAATAAGACAGAAATGCAGTCTGGATCTTAGAGCTCTGTAGGCATCATCATTAGAAGGAGCATCAGTAGAGTGTTTTGAGAGACATGTCTCTGGTCACAGGCAGTACATGAGCATGACCTAGGTCCTATTTGTGTGTTTATATTGCTTTCTTATTTTGAAATAGTTGTAGAAAATAAGGAGAAATGGGAGGTTGATGAGGCTCAAATGAGCATATTCTATAGCTATGTTTTGAAGAAAATCTGAAGACAGCTGCTCTAGGTCCTTTTCTCTACCCACATCTTCTGGTGCTCTTTTTCTACTAGTATGAGCTTTCAGGGAGGGGAAAATCCTGATTAAACTTGGCCTTTTTGATACAACAAACTGGTTGCCTTCCCGTTTTCCTCAGGAACATGTGAACCGGGTTTTGGGGCCATTGGATTGGCAGAGGCAGGCTCTGGCCAGGTCAACTCCCACTGTGATTGGATGCAGCAGGGGTGGCACATTAGAGGCTAGCTCATGTTTAGGCCAGTAGTACCCCTTTTGTGCTTCTTCTAGCAGTGTTCAGTCCAAGCTTCCCCTTCATGGGATTTGGGGATCTTAAAGGGAGAGCAGGTGGTATTTAATTTCTCTGACTTACTGTGGACATGAGATCATTGAGATCTTTCATTGAGAGTGGAAGCTTTAATTGTAGACTGTTTCCATTTGATTAAAATTTCAGAAATGGACCGATGTCTGAAGTAATGTGGAGAGAAGGAAATGGAGTAGTAAAATCGGCATTAATAGCTTTGCTACTGTGTGCTGTTGAGTTTTAAATCTGAAAGCCTCCAGTTTCCATCACTGAGTCTTACCCAGTTGGTCACTAGTCATCCGGATGAGACTAGGAGCTCCCTCGGGATTGTGATGTTCAGTGAGAGCTCACTATGCTCGCTTCACTCCAGCGTGATGCACAGTGACTGTACTGAGGGAAACCTGCAGGCTCCCTTGGCATTAGGAGAACAGCCAAAAAGGGCGGCCTTCATTTGCCAAAGAGGCCGTTAAGGTCTCCTAAATACCTATGATTTTTTTGTATCTGGTTGTTTAAAACTTAACCACCTATATCTTAAATGTATTCTTTAGAGTGTTAAATTTTTTTCATTGTTAAATAACTAAAAACAGGAGCTATTTTTTTAGTGATTTTATTAAGGTATTCTCTATTTGAATAGTTTCAGAGATTTTTACATATAAAAAGTTTCATAAGAGATACATTATGTACATTTGTAATAATTGCTAATAAGTAATCAGGTACATACATTTAAACATCATTTATATCACCTAAGAGTTACCTCATTAAACCATAGACTTAGAAGGACCCCAAGGTTTGGCTAGTTTAACATTTCTTAAATTTAAGAATTTTTTCCCTATCACTTCTGGTAATTGTTTATAAATTCCCTACTTGATTGTTACTGAAAAATTCATTTCATAAGGCAACTTTTTTGTTAAAAGTTGTTTATAAATTTAGGGGAATATAATATTTTTAGAAAATACAATATAAAATCAAAATTAAGATGAGTTTACCTCACTTCATCTTTTACTTTTCTTTTGAAACTCCATCCCTACTACCTTTGAATTTCGTAGGTGGATTCCTGGTACATTTGAAATAGCAATGCTAGAACCTCACAAAATGGTATTTCTCAAATATGGCAAACAAGAGTTTGTTTGTTTGTTTCTAGGGGAAAAAGTCAATAAATCCGTAATAAACTTTGCCAACTAGTGTTGGCTTATACAGTCAGCTTTCTGGTCATACCTCATCTCTTCAAGCACAGACTTAATGAATGGTCATATGGTATTAGCAGTAAGGGTTGGGGGTACGTGGGTGTCCAGTCTTTCATTTTAATACTACAGGGTTCTATTCCTTTTATAGGGATCACTTATTGCTAACAGAAGTCGTATACCATTAAGAAACCTAATGTGTTTTTTTCTTTCTTTTTAAAATTGTTCTCCTTTTAGTATTCTGGTATCTTTAATTTACACAGCATCCATGTGTATACTCTGCTTATTTTCATACATATTTGTATAATGCAAACATAACACAGACTTTTTTTTTTTTTTTTACAAATAGTTTATTGTCAAATTAGTTTCCACATAACACTCAGTGCTCATCCCCAAAGTGCCCTCCTCCATGCGCCTCCCCCCCCCCCCACATCCATCAGTCCTCAGTTTTTGTCAGCATTCAAGAGTCTCTCATGGTTTGCCTCTCTCCCTTTCCCTCACCATTTCCCCCCTTCTTCTCTCCCTTGGTCCTCCGTCAAGTTCCTCCTAATCCTCCTATACGTGCAAACATATGATATTTGTCCTTCTCTGCCTGACTTATTTCGCTCAGCATAACACCCTCAAGGTCCATCCATGTTGCTACACATGGCCAGACTTTTATATATGATTCTTAAATCACCTTTTTTTTTTAAATTTGTTTATTTTGAGAGAGAGAGGGAGAGCACATGTGCACGTGAGCAAGGAAGGGGCAAAGAGAGAGAGAGAGAGAAAGAATCCCAAGTAGCCTCTGCATTATCAGTGCAGAGCCCAGCAGAGGCCTCAGTCCCACCAGCTGTGAGATCATGACCTGAGTTGAAAAAGTTTGACACTTTACTGACTGAACCACCCAGCACCCCGAGTCTACTTTTTAAGTTGCCTTTTAAAATAATTTTGTGCCTCCATGTATTTGTGCTGTGTACAATCCATATGGTATATTGTTGGTTCAGATTTAGTATCTTTCCCTTTAGGCAGTTTATGAATTGCAGATAATGTTGAGCCTTGAGTCTAGTCCAGGATCTGACATTACCTGTACTTACCTCTTCTGTGCAGATGCTCCGTGAGCACAAAGCAGTTATCATTCAGAAGTGGGTCCGCGGCTGGCTGGCTCGCACCTACTACAAGAGGAGCATGCATGCCATCATCTACCTCCAGTGCTGCTTCCGGCGGATGATGGCCAAGCGTGAGCTAAAGAAGCTCAAGATCGAGGCCCGCTCCGTGGAGCGCTATAAGAAGCTCCACATCGGCATGGAGAACAAGATCATGCAGCTACAGCGCAAAGTTGATGAGCAGGTGTGTTTTATTATTTAAAAAAAATTATTTTTCTTAATGTTTATTTTATTTTTGAAAGAGAAAGAGCATGAGCAAGAGAGGGACAGAGAGAGAGGGAGACTCTGAAGCAGGCTCCAGGCTCTGAGCTGTCAGCACAGAGCCCAGCGCAGAGCCCAGCACAGGTTTTGAACTTATGAACCATGAGATTCTGACCTGAGCTGAAGTTGGATGCTCAATCGATTGAGCCACCCACGCTTCCAGGCAGGTGTGTTTTAAACAGGAGCCCTGAGAGAACTCTGAAGAACCCCACTGGGATTATTTTCAGCAGTGTCTCACCTGACTTGACTTTTCAATCACAGCAAAAAAGGTAAAATAATAATGACAATAAGGAGTATGGAAATAGTGACAAGCTTATAGGTAAAATTATGATTGCAAGAACTAAGGGAGGAAATTATTTTCAGAACACAGCCAGATTTATTAGCACTCCAAACCTTTATGTCCAAGAGTCCTATTATACTTTATACTTTCTAAATCTCATTTGTCATTATAATTCATTTGCATAAAGTATAATGTTTCGTTTACAGATGAGTTGTTTAGCATTGAGATGGCAAAAGAAGCAGGAAGTTATCTGTGCTTCTGGGAAACTTACAGTCTATTGCAGAGATAAAATTTGATTTCTTAGAGATAGTTACTAAGTAATACTTAGCACATACAAATAATACAGTGGTAATTGGTAATATATAAATACTGAGGAGGGCAAAAGAAATAAACCCCACAAAACCCCCAAAAAACAGAATAAAGCAGAATTCATCAGTAAGGTTTTCTTAGTGGGAGGAGTTTTAAGTTAATAAAGAGATTTGTAAGAAACTTGTGATTTTGAGGTCATTTTATCATTTTTAAGAGTCACTTGACTAGCATATGGCTTTTACAGAACACTGATTTGTTTTCAAAAGCAAGTATAGATGTTTCTATTTCTGGATTAAGAATCAGGAAATTAAGAATTTACTGTGGTAACTTACCTTGTGACTGTGAGAAAATGACATCCATGCTACAGAATTAACTGTGCCTATTCTTTTCTCTCATTGTATAACTAAGAGGGCCTTACTTGTAAGGGTTGCAGTTAGATACTCTATCTATGTTATGATGATACAGCATGAATATGATCAATAAATAAGGATATCTCAGAATACATTTGATGATGTATATGTTTACTTATTGTTACTTATGTATGTGTTTAAAAGAACAAAGACTACAAATGCCTCATGGAGAAACTGACCAATCTGGAAGGAATATATACCTCTGAGACTGAGAAACTACGAAGTGACTTAGAGCGTCTTCAACTAAGTGAGGAGGAAGCTAAGATTGCTACTGGACGGGTCCTCAGTCTGCAGGAAGAAATTGCCAAGCTCCGGAAGGACCTGGAACAAACTCAGTCGGAGAAGAAATCCATTGAGGAGCGTGCAGATAGATACAAACAGGAAACTGAGCAGGTAGGAACTAGATATCATATCCCTGTCGACTCCTTTCACAGAGGAAATGTGCTGTCATTATGACCTGGCCCATGTGGCTCAGTGCTGGTTTCACTTGAAGGTGAAATGCAAATGTCAGTTTGCTTACTATTCTTTATTAGTATTTTCCAAGCATTTCTCCCACATGATGCATGAGTGATTGTAGGTCTTTTAGTAGAACCTTTGACCCTAATAAGATCAGAGCAAAGAAGAGAATTAATGGCCAGTTACCTACTCTCACTCTTTTTCTTTAAATGCAAAGGTCTGGATGAATTGTAGACTCCTTTTTCTTCAAAAGAGTTAATATGATTAAGAAGCCAATCAGTGAAATGTCACTAGGTGATAGTAGAGATCTTTATGGAAACCTGCATCAAGGCTGTATTAGAAGTCCGACAGGGAGAAATCCAAATGTCTGCACACTGATTGTAGCCAAGAGCTGCTGTGCAGATAGAACAATAACAAGAATGCTTACAGATTGGTGCTTCTGCATTACACATTTATATTAACTTATATCAAAACTTTATTAAATACAGAAAACATTAAGGTTCTCAAGCAGCAATACAATGTATTGTTGAAACAAAATAAAAGTACCTCAGCATAAAGCTTATTTGAAAAAAGTGATAGATATTTATAAATTCCCCTAGTATTACCATTTTTAAATGAAAACAGTTTTGACTGTTGGCAAGACTCCCAGTTTCCTATGCTTTTTCTGTATGGACTTCTGAATATTAACACAGCCTATGCAGTAAGAACCTCAGAAAGAGCTTCAGTGTAATTCAGATAGGATAGTGTAGCTAGTAAAACTGCAGTCTTACCATGGTGTTCAGGGTCTTAATAAAATACTTCCTCCTATGTCTCTAGCACATCTGAGTTCTGTGTACAGAAACAGCAATGCCATTAATATAGGTTATTTTGACATGGCAAGCTTATTCTACCAGAATTCAAATATACATTCAAAGGGATATTCTTCAAGTTTAAGAGCTCCTTTATTTTCATTTCCTGAGCCCACAGAAGCTTTTCAGATTACTCTGAGTCCATAGAGTTTTTAGGCTTGGTAGGGGTATTCTCTTTTCTTCTTCAGAGTCAAGTTTATACCTCTCTAGTCTGAAAGAATAGCACATATGGACAGATTCAGATCTTTCCTTCCTTTTTATTTCATTACCTCCTGCTTTTCCCAGAGATACCTATATGCACTACCATTAACTCTTAAATTTGTTTAATGTTTGTTTGTTTGTTTATTTATTTATTTATTTATTTTTTGGGGGAGAGAGAGAGAGACAGAACATGAGCAGGGAAGGGGCAGAGAGAGACACACACACACACACACACACTCACACACACACATACACACCCAGAATCTGAAGCAGGCTCCATGCCCTCAGTTGTCAGCATAGAGCCCGATGCGGGGCTTGAACTCATGTCCTGTGAGATCATGACCTGACAGGCCCCCCAATAGTCCCTGTCATTAATTCTTTTGAGTAGAGTGTAGCAATAGGGAAGAATGAAAAAATTTCACTGTGGCAGCCAGCTTTGTGGTTAGAAAAGCTACATTCCCAGCCAGGCTGATCAAGGAGCCTAGAAGGTACATTATACCTGTGGTTTTTACCCAGGATTGTGTGTCAGAGTGTACTTGAGAGATTTTAGAAAGATACCTGCCCATGCTCTAGAGGTGTGGGCTAGACACGTATATTTCAAAGAAGCAGCATAGTTTACTGGTTGCACACCCCTGATAGAGCAACTTCTTTCACAAAGGAACTCTGGCCTTTCTACTGAGAGCAGATGTTAAGGCCGTATCAGTTTGGAGGGAAGAGACCGAGCCCTCAGAGGGAATACCTTCTGGACTGACTTCTGCTGTGGCATAGTGTTCTTCTCTAACCTCCCTGGTCTTTAGGAATCCTTCCTTAATCACAGAGCCCTCTTTGTCTCTGAACTCCTGATAGCTTCCTCTTTATTATTAAAGCTGTTGATTTAACATGTGATTCTTGATCTCAGCATCATGAGTTTGAGCCCCACATTGAACATAGAGCTTACTTTAAGAATGAATGAATGAAAAGCTATCACTTTAAGAGTTCCTTAAATTTATGCTTAGAAAAAGGAATTCAAATTTCACTCATCACAAACACATTTATTTCAAAGATGAACTGAGTAAATTATAAACTTTGCCAAGTTAACCTTTGGTTTTGATTTTTGCTTCATGGGAATCCTTATCCAACCGGGAACTAGAAAGTGAAAGGTCATTGTGTTTTGTTTATGTGTGTGAGTGTCAAAATATACATATACATAACATAAAATTCACCCCTTTAACCATTTTTAAGTGTAATGTTTTGTGGCATTAAGTACTTTCACACTGTTGTAAGGCCAATGCTTAAACATGGAATAAAAGGACCAGCTTGCAACCTTGTAAAACTCTTAAAAGGAGATGAAAGGGAAATTCTCTTTCTCAAGACAGACAGCAGGGAGCTTCAGAAGGAATTCAGTGAATTCAAGAACCAAAATGCCCTTCATATCTTTCTGAACCTCCTTAATCTCTCTTAATACCTGAATCATGAGTACGCGTAAGCTTTGTGTTAGGCTGTTGAAATGAGAAGGCATTATCATTCTTTCAAGAGCAAATACTTCCTAGGTGCCAGGCAGTTGCTAAATGCTCAAGGTACAAAGTAAAATAACAGTAGTTATTGCCATCCTCCAGGAATTTCTAGTCTATTAAGGAAGTAAAAGTAAATCATTTATAAGGGCTGTAATGAGGCACATACAGGTCCTGTAGGAGAGACACCTATTTGGATGGAGTTTGTAGGAAGGCTCTCGGGAACGGGTAATGCTTGAACCAAGTTTGCAAGATGACTAGATGGAACTAGGCAAAGAAATGGGACACAGAGATGTGGAAGTAAGGAGGGACTCTGTGTGGTCTTTATATTCAGTACTGGGTGTCCTCTGTCTACTGCAGCCATCTGAATTCATTGTTTTATTTTAAAGCTGGTATCAAATCTGAAGGAAGAAAATACTTTGCTGAAGCAGGAGAAAGAGGCCCTCAATCATCTTATCGTGGAGCAGGCTAAGGAGATGACAGGTAAGGCTTGCATGGCCGTAACCTACAGTACTCCAGCCAGCCTCAGACCAAAGTTGTCTGAATTACAACTTTGCTTAAAGCTTAAATGTTTTAAAAAGTCAAGATTGTCATCAGTCAATTCAGGAAGTCCCAAGAGGCAAGCACAGTAAGTATTTTGATTGATGTAGTTGGTGAACTTGTAAATGTGTTCTTTCTATGTACAAATGTGAATTCATGTATAGTCCCTATCATCTGTAACTAAAAAAATTAATTGTTCTGCCTTTGTGATCTGTTAGTATGACTCATAGGATTCTGTTGAATTAGGAAGGAATTGTGAGCTAATATGCATATGTGTGTCTGTGTATTTATTTTTTGCTAAACCAATAGATATTATTCTCCCAAGATAAATTACCTTTTTTCCACCAAAAAGGAAAAAAAAGCAACTTTATAAATTTTTTGACTAGAAAATTAACTAGATATGGACATTTATTCCATTTCTCATTTGTGAAATAGGTAAGAATTATGATAATTTACACGGAGTCCACATGTATATAAACATGGGTTAAGAAGATGTAGATCTAAGTTATAGTAATTGGTGGTGGAGACACGGAGAAAGAAATGGATTGGAGTAAGGATACAGTATATGAAAGAATCACCAGAATGTTATCCTTTTTGATGTAATATTCAAAAAAGAAAAATTTTGTAAAGTTTTGAGATGAGCTATGATACCAGTAATGATGTGTTATTTCCAATGAGGAAAATGAGGGGGGAAAGTACCTGCTTATGAGTAAAATTAATGAGATCAATTGTTAGAATGTTAAATTTTGGATATCAGCTAGGACCTCTATACAGAGATGTCCTAAAAACAAACTGAGATCAAAGATTAGAGACCGAAAGAAATAGGCCTTATGGTACCCATTAAAGCTAAGATGGTAAGAGAGACCTCTGTGCTTTTTCCCCTACCACCTCCTCCCTACTAAAGGGACTTAGTAGGGCTTTACTAAAGTAAAGGAAAGAGAAGAAGTCTGGAATTAAGCCCTATAGGATGTCCACAGGTAAAAAATAAGGTGAAGAAAAGAAACCACAAAGGAAAATTGACAGGGAAGATTGAAACAGTCACTGAAGATATGGAAAGAAGGCTGCTAGGATGCAGAATGTAATGGAAAGATCCAGAATGATGAGACTACTTCTGGGAAATTGTAAAATGTTATTTGAAATTGGATGGGAAGAAGAAAGAAAGAACATTGGATTTGCCTAGGGAAACTTTCTTGGTAGCCTCAGGCAGCTTCTCCAAACTGGTGAGAGCAAGACAATTCATAGAATGTCACAGGGAAAAGAGATTCTTTCACTCATTCATTTACACATTAGTAGAGTCCTACATTAGGGAAGCACTGTAGTGGGCACCAGGAAACAGTTGAAACAAGGTGCGTGCAGCCCTTGCCCTTATGATGGAGCTCATGGGGAAAGAAATGGTGAAGCCATTGAAGCAAGCAGGGTGGATTAAGGTCTAGTCACAAAACATGAAGATAAAGTGGGCCATATAAATATTAGAAAGCTTAATATTTATAAATGTGACTGGCTGGCTCATTGAGTTAAAACATACAGCTGAGATGTGTGCCTTTTTTACTTTGCTTTATCTTCAGTCAGGGGCTCATCTCCAGTCTCCAGATGACATCCCAGGCAAATGCAAGCTGCTGGCAACAGGGAGACCAGAAAGGGGTGGTAATCGGAAAGGTTAGGGTGCGCATGCCTCCCCCACCCCAGCACACAGGAGAAGTAACAACACAGCTGACCAGACATGGGGATCTTATCTGGTTAGAATTGGGAGAGTAATAGGACAGTGGGGGTTCATTGTGCAGAAAGTGTAGGGGACTGAGGTGAGCAGAGAGTTGACTGTAGCATAGGACAGCTGCGTTCCTTTAGAGTTCACCATTCCCTCAGAGATTTGAGGAGTATCTCTGACTTTTTGACAGAGTACACTAATTTGGACAACAGAATTTTATGGTAGCCTGAAACAGAATATTAAAATAAAAAATAAATACAGTACTTTAGTTACTAGACAATGACTAGTAGAAGTTTATCAAGGATGTGTTATCACCAGTGAATGAACTAGTACATAGAAGAATTCAGTAAATGATTGTTGTTATTAACAAACAATTTCATTTTTTTATCATGGTATTTTCTCTTTCCCTACATTCACTAAGATACTCTTCATAGATCATGGTGGTAAAAGAAAAACTCTTTGCAGAGAACCTGGGATTCCGTGTAAATGTTTGTACTCTTGAGTTTTGTAGAGCCACCTTTGTTATACTTTTCTTTCTTCTTTCTTTCAGAGACTATGGAGAAGAAGTTAGTGGAAGAAACAAAACAACTGGAACTCGATCTTAATGATGAAAGGCTGAGATATCAGAACCTTCTGAATGAGTTCAGTCGCTTAGAAGAACGATATGATGACCTCAAGGAAGAGATGACTCTGATGGTGGTGAGTCAAACACTTGATATTTTTTTTTTTTAATTTTTTTTTTTAATGTTTTATTTATTTCTAGGAGAGAGAGAGAGACAGCGTGAGCAGGGGAGGGTCAGAGAGAGAGGGAGTCACAGACTGAAACAGGCTCCAGGCTCTGAGCTGGCAGTCAGCACAGAGCCCGACGCGGGGCTCGAACCCACGAACCGCGAGATCATGACCTAAGCGAAAGTCGGACGCTTAACCGACTAAGCCACCCAGGCGCCCCCTGATATTTTTTTTTTTAATGAAAAACTTAAGCACCTAGCATAGTGTAATGAAGCCCCATGTACTTCATGTACTCATTACCCAGTTCCAAAATGGCCAACACACTTCTACCCCTGCTCTATCCTGTCCCATCCAGTGGATTGAGTTGTTGTAGAGCAGATCCCACAAATCCTATAACTTTATTCATAAATACTTTCTAAAGTCAAACACTTTAAAGACTGGCCTATAGGTTAGTATGAAGTCATATATAGCTGGACTTTATTTTATGTATTGGATGACTTAATGTTAAATTTGCTTATAAATCAAATATTTATATAATTGAGTATTTCCTCTACTGGTTTTTGTTACAATTTCAAAGATATATTCCCACAAAAGGAAAGTTCAGCCTCTATTTGTAAAAAATTATTTTATCTATTTCAAGAACTCTTCTGCATCTACCAATGTATCTTTTATACTTTTAATAGTTCCACACAGCCTCTCTGTTCTACTCACCTTGCTGTCAGGAAACAAAGAGTTCCCTAGCTCTTTTGTTCCCTGTAGGTGCCCGCCTTGAAGGTAACCTCATGGTACAAATGGCTAGAAATGCTCTGAAATCTCTCATAAAAAAACAATGTAATTCGATATCTATGTCAGAGAATGTTTGCTTCAAATTTTGCCTCTCTCTGGATCCTTTGACAATGTTTTTTAAACGTTAACATTTAAAAAGCAAAATAAAGGAGATTATGTAACACACACAAAAACTGAAATAAATGTATCACCTTGAAGATGAGAAAATCTAGTCTCCAAGAGGTTAAAAACCTAAAAAATGCCAGTTGGACTGTTATTTCAAACCTTGCTACTCTATCCTGATTTGAACATGACAAAGAGAAATTACAAATAGGAGTAGGTCACCATTATCCTTATCACTGACAAATCAGAAGGAGCCTCATTAAATCTTGTCTTCCTCCATCTCCCTACTGCAATCACTCCTCCTTCACATTCTTCTATCCTTAGCTTTCCCTAGAATTCTTTTCCTCTTAGAATATCATATTCCCCAGAGTTCCATTCTTGGGTTTTTTTTTATCCTATTTTCTAGATCACCGTGCCAACATTTATGGTTAATTTGTGCTTTGGTTATGGCTGGCACTAAGTTTTGTGTCCCATGAGGTGTTCCTGAAGCCACGAGTGACAGGATGTTAAGAAATGGCACTGGGAAAAGAAATGATTGAAGTCAGATAAATTTGAGAACTACGTTTATCTCTGTTGAAGGAGAGATAAACAATTTTTTTTCTCCCTCAGCATTTCTGGAATTCTTTAATACTGCATGCCTTGTGAACCTCAGAAAATAAAATGAGACAAGTATATGCCATGTATACATCACTTTCTGAGCACATTCCCAGAAATGTCTAAAAAAAAGACCCTCTAGTAATGGCCATCCTCCAGCAACTTAGCAGGGCTTTACCTTCCTGCTGAGCAAGTCTCCGCCTGCTAGCCATTCTGTTTCCAGAAGTGCTGTGGAAAAAGAAAGACGTAATCAAGCTCCAGGGGCAGTTTAGCTGCATGATTTCTGATTTCTCAGCTTATAACCCTCTTTGTTGTACACTGATGACTCACTGTCCTTCTTTTTGGGTAACAAAATGGTCAGAAGGAGGGAAAAGGAAAAAAGTAGAGGAAGGAAGATAAGAGTCTACTTTCTTCCTACTCAGCTCTTCATCAGATCCCCTTTCCTAGCTCTAGGCATAGTGAAGACCACAGTTGTGGTATAAAGTATTTGCCAAGAATTGCAGAGAATAAAATAATGGACTTTACAATTTAGGAATAAATAAATAATAGCAATATCTTATTTTAATGTTTAGGTAGGAGCTGGCAACTAACAGTTGGTGCTTGGCTAATATATCATTGACACTGTTCTGCAGATGCAGCTCTCACGACCACAATGCTTAGGAAGCATTTGTGGTAAATAGACTCCTCAAATGGATGGCAGGAAGCTTTAGGGAGGAGGAATTGATAGATTGCTTCAGTGCTTCAGGGAATCTATGTGATACATGGGCCATAGTTAATGGCACTGATTACCAGTGATTACTAGATTTCTTGGCCCTGGTACCAAGAAGTGTTGTAGGATTTTTCTCCAGGAACATTCTGCTCCATTGTGGAGCAGAAGGAAGAAAACACTAAATCCAGGGCCAAGGAAATTCAAGCAGACAGTGAAAAGATAATAAAGCGGTGGAGTACAGGCTTGTGAAGTGTTTGAAACTGAATTCATTCCAAGTCAGGAGGGAGTACTGCATGTCAACAATGGGGTCATTAATCTTGACAATGGGAGTAAGACAGGTTCAGGAAAAGAAGGAATTATTGGAGAAATGACAGATAAGAAGAGGAGGTATAAGATGCAGATCTTGAAGGAGCACTTGATGATCAAGTAGTGTGTTTGTCCTTATAACTGAATAGCATATGGACCGAAAACTTGGGAAACGAAAGGACATGCATGAGGGAGTTATTGCCATTACTGCGGAGTCCTAACAATTATGGCAACATCAGTTAACATTAATTAAATCCTTGTTACATGCCAAACACTATGCCCTTTACTTTCACTTTCTTATTTAATCCTCATATAAACCCTCTTAGGTAGATAATATTATTATATTAATATATAACATCATTATGTTATTATAATAATTATTTACTTTTTCCTAATAATGAAAATGAGGCCTGGAGAAGTTGGGGTAAAGAACAAGAAAATGGCAGACCTGGAATTCCTACCCAGCTCTCTCCTGTAGACCCAGAGCATTTAACCACTGTCCTCTATCCGAAGTTACATTAAATAGCAGATACAGCGTTGCTTCTATTCATACCTTAAGGTATTTGTTGTTTGGTAACACATACATGAGGGAAAATAGAGGCCTAACTCATCTTTAAATAAACTTATTAAAAATCTTTGTCTAAGCATTTATATGGATCTACCTGTTTTTCTTAATAACACAACCAATTAATTAATAAACAAAATCCCATACAACAGCTGCCTGGGGCTAGGAACTTTAAGGTTGCCTGTGTATGTAAATAGAGAGAAGATCTGGGGCGCCTGGGTGGCTTAGTCGGTTAAGCGTCCGACTTTCGCTTGGGTCATGATCTCGCGGTTCGTGGGTTCGAGCCCCGCGTCGGGCTCTGTGCTGACTGCCAGCTCAGAGCCTGGAGCCCTTCAGTCTGTGACTCCCTCTCTCTCTGACCCTCCCCTGCTCACGCTGTCTCTCTCTCTCCTAAAAATAAATAAAACATTTAAAAAAAAAAAATAGAAGATCTGAGTGCCTTTGACTTTATGTGGAGTGGTTCTCCCCTTCGGTGTGCACTCTAGCTGCTAGATAGTTTCAGAGGTTTTGGTGTTCTTGGGTCTTCCTTATCCACTGGAGTACAGGTTGGGATGGCCTGGGAGACTTTCAATTGCTCCTGGGTACTGGCTTTCCTTTAGTCACACAGGTCCGTTCTATGTAAGCCTGGATATGGGAGAGAGAGAGAGAGGCAAAGGAGCTCTTTCTGGCTTCTGGCTCTTTCTACAGCTAGGGGAAGGAGTAAAGGAAATTGGACAGATGAAAAGCTTCCAGAGGTTTTTCTGGACATTTCCACCTCTTCTGTCGGCAGGGGGTGGGAGGGCACTTCCCACCCCAGGAGAGAGGGGTTCAAAACCCAGCCTTTTTATTCCTTCTTTCTCCAGGTCATTCTCTTACCCTTTCTTCTACAGGAAGGAACAGACTGCAATTGCTTAACTTTTCTGTTTTCCATAAGCTTTCTGAATGCTAACTTCATAGGTACCACATGTCATTGAAACGTCACCTGGACTCCCTGAACCTCAGGACTTCAGAGAATTCTTGGAGCAGCTTTCTTTTTATTTTATTTTATTTTTTTATGTCTTTATTTTATTTTCAGAGACAGAGAGAGCGAGTGGGGAGGGGACAGAGAGAAAAGAGACTGGAGCAGCTTTCTTACCTTTCCTGCACTGCTCAATCTCCCCAACGCTGACTCCAGAAATTCAACTTCATGCACTAAAGTGACGGAAGTTAGAGTCACCTATATAGAACCCCTCTCTTTTTTTCTACTTAGACTCAAATACAGTGCAGTAAAATGATTATGCTTTCATTAAACATATTTCATGAACTTTTTACTGAGTTTTGTGTAATTTCAACACTGAAGTCTGTGTTTGGTTGCTGAGGAATTATACCTATACTTTACCTAGTGTGACTGGCCACTCACAACTTTAAAAACCCAAAGGGGATTCTGCTAATAATTGCAGATGATTTTCATTTGATCATTTGGTTTTGTGTTCTTGTCATGCCTTGCTGGTGCATCTTTCTCTTTCTTTGAAGAGTCCAGAAAATGACCCTTTTGTAAGGGTTTGTTAAGGACAACATGGAACAGATTATTTGGGCGTGAGAATAGTAAGTCAGTAAGTGGGGATGCCGTCTTAACTATGACTGGTTTGCTTATGTTGTATTAATTATTCTTGGTTTATTTGCCTTGCAGAATGTGCCTAAGCCTGGACACAAGAGAACAGACTCCACCCACAGCAGCAATGAGTCTGAATACACTTTTAGTTCTGAAATTGCAGAAACTGAAGATATGCCATTGAGGACAGAGGTACATTTTTGATACCCAGATGTGACATGATATTATTAACAGGGAACATTTCCATTGTGGAGCAGACTCCATTTACCCATAAGTGTAACAGTTGTTTCAAACTCTTTATACTTCATAAGTGACTAATGGGTGTTAATTAGCTTATTAATTATTTCATGTATTCTCTTATATGTACTTGTGTACTTACATATATTTTTTATCAATAGACGTGTTAATTTTTAATGTAATTTTGATGACCAGATTTTTTCTTTTACAATTCTCTTTTACATCTTAACATACCCTATTACAAAAAAACATAGCCTGTCATGAATTTATTTCAGACTCGGGTAAATTGTTTTGTCATTTAATATTATAAATAACCAATGTCTAAGAGTTTAGCAAAACTGCCGCCTCCGTTTGATGACGGGTTTTTAAAACTTTTTTTAATTTTTTATTTATTTCTGAGAGAAATAAGTAGCACAAGCAGGGGAGGGTCAGAAAGAGAGAGGGAGACAGAATCTGAAACAGGCTCCAGGCTCTGAGCTAGCTGTCACCACAGAGCCCAACACGGGGCTTGAACCCACGAACCGTGAGATCATGACCTGAGCTGAAGTCGGATGCTTAACCGACTGAGCCACCCAGGCACCCCTGATGACCATTTTTACCAATATAATTTTGATCCACAAAAATGCAAGAAAAATAGCTTATAAATCTGCCTTAGTGTTTTGTGTTATGGGATACGAAACCAAAATGGCACATTACTGTAACTCCAAGAGTCCAGTAACTTTAAGTTAGATTTTTCCCAAACGAATTCTCAGATCTTTTTTTCACATATCATATTAGTTTCACTAGTGTGTAATTCAGGCACAACTCTTCTATTTTTATATCATATTCTGAGAAAATGGCCAAGTCAGAAATAGTCTGCTTCTGGCAGAACAGCCAAAGAAAATTGAATGATTCTTTCCTTTTTTGTCTTAGTTTTACTCAGGATGAATAGTTTCTGCCATTTAATTCTGTTCATTTTAAGGAAAAATGTTATATGGTTGGAACCATACATACAAGAAGCCTAAGTTAACTGATCCAAGGTCACAACTTGTAAGTGGCAAAGCCAACATTCAAACTGAGGCTGGTCTGTTAGGAGCTCCATTCTTACTTCCTTCCATCCGGAGAGTTTACATTGCAGTCCCTAGTGCCATTTCTCTGTAGCTAACCCTAGGCTAGGGACCTTTGATACAGCAGTTTGGCCACCGTATAGCAGGATAGAGGTGGTTCCGGTTATTTGTTGCCGTGTAACAAGCCGTCCCAAGCTTCAGTGGTTTCAAACAATAGCAATTTATTATTATCCAAAACTCTTTGAATACTGATTGGGTGGTTCTTCTGCTTCTCATATGTTGGTTAGAGCACCTCCCTGCATCAGCTCGGATGCCTAGATTTTCTTCCTTGGGCATCTCCATGTGGTTTCTCTGTTCAGCAGCATGGCACATGGGTTGTAAGGATGTAAGAGCAAAAGATGCCAGGGCTCTTACGGCCAGGCCCAGAACCAGCATAATGTCAATTCTGCCACACTGTATGGTCGCAGCAAATTACAAGACCAGCTCAGACTCAGGGGAAGGAGAATAAACTTCATCTCTTTTAATTTTTTAAAACTTTTTATTTATTTATTTATTAAATTTTAGAGAGAGGGAGCTTGACGGGGCAGGGGCACAGGAAGACAGAGAGAGAGAGAGAGAGAATCTTAAGCAGCTTCCATGTTTAGAGTGGATCCCATGACCCTGGGATCATGACCTGAGCCAAAATCAAGAGTTGGATGCTTAACCAATTGAGCCACCCAGATGCTCTAGACTTCATCTCTTGAGAGAGAAAAAGACATTTGTGTTGGGAGGAATCATTGGTAGCTATCTTTGGAGACAATCACAAAGTTAGATTTTGATGATTTCAAAATTACAGCCTCTCTGCCTCTAGTGGATTTGAAGGTTTTAGGACTGCATCCAGTTGGTCTTAATGGGAGTACTCATTTCCAGCATCTGAGGGAAGTACGTTTACAAACTGTTGGCTTCAGCATAACAGCACTTGAATAGCTCCCGCAAGGGATTGGGAAAGCCACGACAAAAAGGCTGTTTTCACTGCACATTATTTTGTATTAAACTCAGGGCCAACAGGCATTTGTTGATAGTTTTGCTTGAGGACATTAGGTTTTTAAAAAAATTTTTTTAATTAAAAAAAATCTTTTTAATGTTTTATTTATTTTTGAGAGAGAGAGACAGAGACGGCGTGAGCAGGGGAGGGTCAGAAAGAGAGGGAGACAGAGAACCCAAAGCAGTCTCCAGGCTCTGAGCTAGTTGTCAGCACAGAGCCCGACACGGGGCTCGAACCCACAAACTGTGAGATCATGTCCTGAGCCAAAGTCAGACGCCTAACCAACTGAGCCACCCAGGCGCCCCTAAAAAAATTTTTTTAATGTTTATTTATTTTTGAGACAGAGACAGAGCATGAATGGGAGAGAGGGAGAGAGAGAGAGGGAGACACAGAATCCAAAGCAGGCTCCAGGCTCTGAGCTGTCAGCACAGAGCCCGGCGAGGGGCTTGAACTGACGAGCTATGAGAATATGACCTGAGCCTAAGTCAAAACTTGACCGACTAAGCCACCCAGGTGCCCCAAGGACATTATCTTTTCAAACTCAAGAAGTCTTCTGTGGTTTACCTAAGTTTTACTAGTAATGCTTTTTGTCAGAGTCTCTACTCTATTCAAGTTCTGTCCAAATTCTTAGAGATTTGAGGGGAGAGGTAGCCTTTTTGTTTATAATTCTCACCTATATTCTCCTGAATCTTTACTCAAATAAGAGTTATTTTAGGGGCACCTGGATGGCTAAGTTGGTTAAGCATCTGACTCTTGATTACTCCTCAGGTCATGATCTCATGGTGGTGAGCTGAGTGCAGAGCCCACCCTCTCCTTCCCTTCCCTTACTTGAGTACATATCCTTGCTCTCTCTCACTCCCTCAAAAAGTAAAAATAAATTTTAAGAAGAGTGATTTTAGAGTGGGATTTAGTACATTGCTCATCTCTTTTGAATAAAGTATGAATTGTGCTCCAGAAATCACAGACAGATCTGGAGTATTATGTATTGTCTTTCACATGCACTGACCATCAGCAGTAGGTCATGCATCTGGAAATCTTCTCTCAATAATAGGAAAGGCTTTTCACTGAACGAGTCATCTTGTTCCTTGTGACTAAGTGCATGCATTTGAAATGTAGCTGGCTCTGGTTAGAAGGGCTATCTTGACCGTTGAACAGACTACAGTAACTCTCCTCCCTGGAACTGAGTCTATAGCCTTAGCCACAAGTCTGTCTGTTCCTCAGTTTCCTCATCTATGAATTGATATGCTGTTATTATTATGTTACTTCATAGTAAATTGAAGATTCAGATAATTCTTAGAAAGCACTTGCATCATTGTTTGATACGTAGTAAGTGTTCGATAAATCCATGTTTTTGTTCTAATAAACGGGCTTCCAGTGAATATCCTACAATTTCGATTAGGTATGGTCAAGATCCGAAGGCTTGAAATCTGGGGGTGCCTAGGTAGCTCAGTTCATTGAGCGTCTGACTCAATTTCAGCTCAAGTCATGATCCCACACATGGTGTGTGGGTTTGAGCCCTGCATTGGGCTCCATGCTGTCAGTACAGATGGGCTGCTTAGGATTCTCTTTCTCCCTCTCTATCTACTCCTCCCTTGCTTATGTGCAATCTTTCCTTCTCTCACAATAAATGAATAAACTTAAAAAAAAATAAGAGATCTATAAAACTGGTAATAGAAAAGAGAGGTTGATTATCACCAAGGGAAATTGAGGAGGGAAGTATCAGACTAAGACTATGGCTATAAATTTGTCCTTCTGATTACTTTTGACTTCCAGGTTTGTGTTTCTTCCTGCATCTACCTCTGTAATGGCTAGTTTTACAAATTGCCCCTAACAAAGACCAGGAGAGCTTAGTACTTACCATGTATAGTATTCTCTTTTGCAACCTGGTGCCAGAAAAATAATGGGCCCACTCTTGCTTATGAATTGATTTTTTTTTTTAATTTGATGTGAAAAAGAATTAATGTCTTTCTATCTTTGCCAAACCTGTGATTTGTTGTTCATGAGTTAGGCTGTTACCTCCACTGTTGTTTCCCTCTGGAAAGCCCACCTCAGCTCCACTTCTGTGCAGCCTTCTCACACGCACATCTTCATGGTCAGGGGTTGCATTCTCTTGGAAACTTGGCTTCTCCTTTCTTAGTAGTCATTGACTCATTATCCCAGTTCTGCTTCTGCCCTCGAGCTTCCTCACATATGTCAAACCCAGGGAAGGATCACTATAACTTTTTCAGCTGTTAGCAATAATTCCAGAATGACTACAGAGCTACAGTGGTAATTTTATGAGCAAATTCTCTTGTCTTCCTGATTTTCCTCAGGTGAGAGACTGTTATTTTTTAGGTCACTTTCAAAGCTTCACTCTCTCAGAAAAGCCTTGGATGACAAAGTCCTTTCTGAGGAAGGAAAGCAAAGCAAAACCCCAGAAACTTCTCTGAGCCAGTTGGCCCAATCTTCTTGTTCATGTGTAGAGAAGACAAATGGTATCTCTTTAACTAGATATGTCATTAGGGATAAGATTGGACACCATGTGGACACTCTTAAATAATTACCAGTTATTATGCCTCAAGCAGTTTGGCAGTGTCAGATGTTAATTTTTGTGTTCTTCCATTTCCTATTTTAAATTTCCTGTCTATAGGATTTTGCTTTTATCTAGCAATCAACTAATCCTTTATGTATTATTTGGTAATATCTAAAGAGCTAACCCATCCCATTTTAATAAGAAGATTCCTTTTACTTATTTTTTTAATGTTTTTTTGTTTATTTTATTTGTTAATTTTTATTTTTTTATTTACATCCAAGTTAGCATGTAGTGCAACAGTGATTTCAGGAGTAGATTCCTCAATGTCCCTTACCCATTTAACCCATCCCCCCTCCCACAGCCTCTCCAGCAACCCTCTGTTTTTCCTCTATATTTAAGAGTCTCATGTTTTGTCTGCCTCTCTGTTTTTATATTATTTTTGCTTCCCTTCCCTTATGTTCATCTGTTTTGTATTTTAAAGTCCTCATATGAGTGAAGTCATATGATATTTGTCTTTTTCTGACTGACTTATTTCACTTAGCATATTTTTTTAGAGAGAGAAAGAGAGAGAGAGCACACATGAGTGGGTGGGAGGGGCAGAGAGAGAGAATGAGACACAGAATCTCAAGTAGGCTTCAGGCTCTGAGTTGTCAGCACAGAACCCAATACGGAGCTTAAACCCACGAACTGCGAGATCATGACCTGAGCTGAAGTTGGATGGCCAACTAACTGAGCCACACAGGTGCCCCAAGAAGATTCCTTTTAAATAAAAATGTCCATTCAAGGCTGAGAGGAATGATTCCCAAATGATGATATTTTAAGTAAAATGAAATATTCAATTCATTGTGAGGTGAAGTCTTCTATTATAGTGTAAAAAATGATTAAGTAACTAAAATTTTCAGGGACACATATGTCATTAATAGATGAACAAATATTAAAAACACATGAATGTTTACATTGTAAATAAGCTAAAATACAAGTATTTATGGGATGTATAGAATGAGACTATATACAAAAGTCTATAGTAATTTCATGTTTAGGCAGGATGTTATGTCTGTTCTGCTAAGTTAGGACAAACTTAATGGTGATTACCATATACCTAAACTTTTTCTTACTGTTGAACATTAACATTGTAAGAGTGGGACAGTACGCAAAAGTACAGGTCTAACTAGTTTGTGGGTAAATGACTTTGATAGCCTACATATAAATGCCTCACTTCTTAGTTTAATGAATACTTCTTAGATGTTTATTTACAACTGGAATAACACTGATTTTGACACTACTAAGAATTCACAAAAGACCAAAAAGATAGCTAATGAATATAAAAATTATTCAACATCATCAAAAAATGAAGAAATGTAAATTATAACTACAGTTAAATACCACTTTTGGTCTATCAATTGAACATATTTTTGGTTTTAAATCCTAACAGTCATTGTTGTTTAAGGTGGTAGTTGCTTGATAGAAGTGTAAACTGGTCCAACCAAGTTAGCTGACTTTAAAACATTAATATTTGGATATTTATGTACTAGGATATTTATTTTAGTATATTTCAGTAGCAAACAATTAGAAACAATTTCAGTGCCCATCAGTAAGGTAAGAGATAAGCAAATGACAGTGTACATGTCAATATAGCTATTAAAAATGATCACATTGTAAATTTGAAAACCACTTGTGATGCAATGCTAAATTTAAAACACAATACAAAATTAGAGTGTAAATATTCCAATTATATAAATCTATAGAAAAAAGACTGGACAAAAATTGTAGGTTTTCTCTGGATATGTGATATTTTTATTCTTTATACTTATTTCCTAAGCTTTCTGTATAAGCTTATTTTGCCTTTACATCAGAAAAAAAATTTTTAATTGACAATTTGAAATATAAGATTTACTAACTAGTTAAGAATTACACTTTGATCATTTAATTAAGTTATTGTTACTGGTCTTTCTAACAAAAAGAGACTCTTCATCCTCTCCATTAAATCTAATGACACAATTCTTTCTCTTCTTACCCTATTAAAAATTCAAACCTGAAATAAACAAGGAAAAATACCTATGGCACAATCAAAACTTCCATAATGGTGGTAACTCTTTCCCTTTGCTAAGCTTTAATTAGTGTATCTTTATTTACACATAGTTTTCACTGTGATTCTGTTTTAGAACCAATTGATGTACTTTTCAAATGCTACCAGGTTATGTTTCACTTTATTAAGGACTTATATGTTTTAGTTTTTCATTTTTCTCTGTCTGATCTCAATATATTTATGCTTGTACTCATCTTTTCAAAAGTTATTTTTCCTGAATAGAAAAGCAGTCCATGCTCATTATAAACAATTTCAGTATAGAAATGTGTAAAGTAGAAAATGAAACTTTCCCATAGTACCTCCCATTCTCCAAGATAACCATTGATGACCTTAGATTTTTGTATGCCATGTGCTAGGTATATTTAAAAGTCACATGTATTTGTTTGTTTGTTTTTAACAAAAATAAGATCATAATATAAATTCTGCCCTGAGACTTGGGTATTTCACTTAATACTTTTATCTAGAACATATTTATCTACTTATGTATATCTATTTCATTTTTTTAACAACTATAAAATATTGTATAGTTCAGTTATAGTGTGATTTAAACAACTCTTCTACTGACATTCAGGGTCTTTTTTTCCATTTTTTACAATTACAAAAAATGTTGCAATGAACATCTTTTTCCATATATTTTTGTGCACTCATGTAAGCATCTCCATAGGATAAATTTTTAAACATATATTGCTAAGTTGAAGGGTATACACATTTAAATTTTAATAAGTGCAGTTACCTTGCCTTTTTAAAAGGCCTACTTATACTTCCACCAGTATTATATAAGACCCTGTTACTAACACACGGCATTCTCAATCTTTCTAGTCTTTGCCCATCTGACCAGAGAAAGTAGTGCCTCGTTGTTTAGTTTGCATTTCTGTATTCATTAGCTAGGTTGGACAGGTTATTCGTATACTCTTTGGCCATCTATATTTCTTCTGTAAGTTTGCCATTGTTTTAATGGCATTATTTTCTCACTGGCTTGTATGTCTGGATCATCTTGACCATCTTATGATTTCTGGGGTTTAGGAACCAAGCGAGAAGAAGGTACCTCTGGACATGTCATTGTTCCTCAAGCTCCAGAAACGGGTCACAGAGCTAGAGCAAGAGAAGCAGGTGATGCAGGATGAGCTGGACCGCAAGGAGGAGCAGGTTCTCCGCAGCAAGGCAAAGGTATGCCGTGCTCCCCCAGCCCAGGGCTAAGGACAAATTGAGCTCTGAGCCTGGGACTTAATGTGCAATTTTGCAATCTCTTCTTTAATGGAAACTCAGCCCAGAAGTACTTTATCCAAGCAGAAGTTGGTTCATGTAGTGAGGGCTCAACTCTCCTCACTATTTTCTGCAGAGAAAGGAAATAGTCTGGGTAAAAATGTGACAATTAAAATATAACTACTTATTTATAAAGTTTTTAACTTTACATTTTCCCTAGGAAGAAGAAAGACCACAAATTAGAGGCGCAGAACTGGAATATGAATCACTCAAGGTAAAGAGAAGTTTTTGCTCAAGGCTTTGAATAACTTGTTTTGGCAAGTAATCTGCTCAGAGCTTCTGTTTTTCTTAGAGAATGTCCTTAAGGGCACCAGAAGTCCTAGCTTCAGCCTTACTCAGACATTACTTCTAGCCTTGTGTTGTTTCTTTTTGTGGATTCTATTTCACATAAGCTAGAGTTGAGTCTGAGCAGAACAGGAGCAGTAGCTACCATTTGAGGCTATAGAAGGCAGTAACAGCATGATTCTAGTGTCAGACTGCCTGGGTTCAAATGCCAGATCTGCCACTGTATGGCTGTGTATAAGTGATGTATCTTTTCTGTGCCTCAGTTTTCTCCTCTATAAAATGGAGGTAATGGCAGTATTTATAAGACTGTTGTGAAGATTATATGAAGTAATCCATGTAAATGGCTTAGAATAGTGCCCAGCTTATAGCAAGTACCCAGCAAATATTGATTGCTATCGTTATCATCATCATTTTTAAATGCTTTTGCTTTACATATTAGCTCCAATTCTTAAAATCATCTTAGAGCTAATATGTACTTTAATATGCAAAGCTAATATGTACCTATTGAAGTACATATTAACTCTAATTCTCAATAATCCTGCAAGTGAGTATTTTAGTTCCCATTTCACAGATGAGGAAATTGAGGCTAAGAGATATAAATAACTTCCCTAAGATCACCCCACTAGAAACCAATGGGAACAGGATTTGAACATGGGTATCTTTGGTTCCAAATTCTGTACTCTAACCACCAAACCCTGTTGAAACTATGTATTTGTAGAGAAAGATAGCTAGGTATTAATTTGTTAAGTATTAAAGTAGAAACATACTCTTTTTTATTTTTTAGAAACTGTTGGGAGGAGGAAATAAAGATAAAGAATTGTCTTCTTAATGATTAAAGGCAATGTCTACCTTTCAGGCACTGTGTGTCCCAGAGCAGTTGAACACAAAGATAAGGCTCTGGTTAAGAGGGAACAGGGTTCTTAAAATACACAGCATCTTGGGTAACCCGACTTGAGATTTAAAACAAACAAGAGCCCATTCCTTCGTAAAGGAGAGATTGTACTTGGAGAGCCTGGCTGGCTTAGTCGGCAAAGCATGGGACTCTTGATCTCAGGGTTGTAAGTTCGAGCCCCATGGTGGGCATAAAGTTTAATTAATTAAAATTAGTTAAATTAAATTAAAATGAGAATAGGTTGTGCTTTACTCCGCTCCTTCCTTTGCTTTCCAGAATCAGAAACTTGTCAGCCCTGTGAAGTTTGGCCTGTTAGACTGTCAGCTATCAAAACACCCCTACCTTAAAAAATTTTCTACGTTATTAATCAGACTATTAATCTTAAATTTTGTTCTCAGACATTTTCTGCCTATGTTTATTTTTTACTATTTTCTCCTTTTGTGAACTCTATTTTAGAATAGCTAGAAAACTATAGCAAAGTTTGATTATAACCAAAGCTAAACATTAGAAAAGCCACAAAATAGCATAAGGAAACACATTATTTTAAAGACTTTATGTGTATTTTGAGAATTCCTAAGGTCTTCCTAAACTGTCATGAGGATTTTTACATCTTTTTTTTTTTTTTTTTTTTTTTTAGTAATATTACTTCAAGTCTGGTCCTGATATATTATTTCCTAATACTGTGATGTGGACCATAATTTACATGAGTAGGACCTGTCCTCTGGATTTACAACTTCCCACAGCCCAGAACTGCTGGCTACTGCTTCCTTTTGAGGCTGCACATCTAGGTGTAGAGAATCCCTGCCCAGCCTACAGTTCCTTTAGCAACCCTCCCCTTGAAGGCAGTTAGAATTCTTTCACTGACCTTTAATAAACACTTGACTGATAAGACCTTGTATTTGCTTTCCAGTTTGAAAAGTTTTACGTACACCTTTTTTAGTAATTGTCACAACTTCTCAGATAAGGTATTTCCTTTTTAAAGGATGCTTAGAACAGTTAAGAGATTTCCTATCAGGTGGATAGCATCTGATCTTGAATCTAGGTCTCCAGACAGTAGGAAACTTTCTGAACACCCTAGGTTCCTATCATCATTTGTTTGAAAATTAGTTCTTACCAAAAGAATGTAGTATTTTAAAATACCCTAAAGAACCCTTTTGCCCTTTCTAAATTATAACATGAATAAATCTATTACTCCTTCAATGCCAGTACTACTTGTGATAGTACTTATGTTTGCAGAGAGAGAAAAGTGTGGCAGCGAAGAGTCATCTCTATTATTCTGACTCTCTTTTGCCTTTTGTACCCTTTGCTTAGAGGACTAACTCACAATATCACTTCTATAAGACAAGGATCAGATGGGATGGGATGGCACAGACCCATGGAATGTAGGACTGTCATCTCCATATCACACAAAAATGGACAAATAAAGACATTCTTTGTAGTATGTTAAAAATGGAGCCCAGATCACAAAGTTCCCAGGGACTAGCTCCGTATTTCTCAAAATGTGCTCCCTGGGCCAGCAGCATCAACATCACCTGGTAACTTGTTGAAGAGGCATATTTGTGGATCACACACCAGACCTTTTGAATCAGAAACCCCAGGGGTGAGGCCACACAGTCTGTTTTCCAGGTGATTCTAATGTACTATAAAGTTTGAGAAACAGCATCGGAGCTTAGTGTCCAAGTAAAGACATTCATATTTTCTGTTGCTGAAAGGAGCAGTATGAATCTAATTACCAGGTGACGGGAGATAGGGTAGGAGGCTCATTCATTTTCACTTAAGAACAGATTATTTCCTGAAAGAAAGCATTATATGTTCTATACTAGGGAAAAAAGACTACAAATTATTTTACTATAACATGTTGACAGGTTTGATATGGTGCTATGAACCCAAGGTGGCTTCTCTGGAAGAAACAATAAAATATTTTATTTTTTACACAGAAGTGTCTTACTTCCACTATCATAAGGTCTTATGTAAGGTGCTAATCAAGGCAACATGGTGCTTTCAGATTCTTATCTGCTTTATTCTTTCCCAGCCAGTATCCTGAGACATTTGTATTTTAGTGTCAGGACTCTACTCTGGGCTCCCATTGCCATTGTTTGAGTGGTGTGTACAGAGGGCGGTGCTAACTGGTAACATGGGGTGGGCTGTATGTGTGGTGGTATGTGAAAGTAGGGAGTGGGTAAAGGATGAGTATGGCCATCTGGATGATGGAATGAAGAGGTGACCCATCCTTTCCTCCCACCGCCAGGGCTTCTATTAGCAACTTCACAAGCCTGTCACACACATGTCAACAAAGGTTGACAAATATACTGTTTCTTGTCATCAAAACACTGAATGGAATTTTGTTAGTTTAAATGATGTAATTTTTTTATTAGAAGTTGAAAGTCTAAGATTTCAGTGGTCTTTCCATTCTACTTTACAAAGGAAATAAGAGGTTGCTACTTAAGATTTCAGGGTTCTGTTCATCTGAGCCTTCCATGAGCAGGAGCACAAACCAGAGCAGGGCCAGCCCAGGCCCCTGAAGGCTCTGTGGCACTCACCCAAATATGATAAAGTCCCAGGTCAATACCCAGCTGCAGGAGCCCAGCCCTGTCTCTGGCACAGAGCCTGCCCACTTCCTGTAGGCACACTCCCACTGCAGCCCTGGGCTCCCACTACCCCATGTCCCATGTCCCCAGTCCTCAGCTAATTCTACCAGGCCCCAATTTATTGGAAATAACCTAACCAGCTGAACCCTCATACCTGCAGACAAAACCTGGGCTCTGAGAGGACAGGGCTAAACTCACCCCTTGGGAGTCCACAATCTCTACAGGCCTGTGAACACACCCTAGGCAGGCCTGGAATAAATGTGACTCCGGAATTTGGGTTGATGAACCAAGCTACCATTCACCTTGCTCAATTCCACTTGATGTCAACTTTGTTATTTTGCAGAACAGAGTTCCCAGTAGAGCCTGGGAAGCCATTCACTAGTGTAGCTCTTACAGTCTTTTCCAGCACAATTCTGCCATCTTGGGGGAAGAGAGAATTCCAGGGTAAACCTGAGGATAACAACGATGAACTATTCTTTGTCTCTTCATACAGCGCCAAGAGCTTGAATCAGAAAACAAAAAACTGAAAAATGAGCTAAATGAGTTACGCAAGGCACTTAGTGAGAAAAGTGCCCCAGAGGTGACCGCTCCAGGTGCACCAGCCTACCGTGTCCTCATGGAGCAGCTGACCTCTGTGAGTGAGGAGCTGGATGTCCGCAAGGAGGAAGTCCTCATCTTGAGATCTCAGCTGGTGAGCCAGAAGGAGGCTATCCAACCCAAGGTAAGCACGAGCAAGTAACCAAAGTGGATGTCTGGGGACAAGCCTCTTTCTTTCTCTCCTTTTCCTCCAGTTTATAACGAAGCAAACACTTAGGAACATTTTTAGTCTAATTAGCATTTAGTCTAAAGGATATTGTCATTTAAAAAAAAATCTAAATGTTGCTTTAAAACTGTTGTAAATGCCAATTAAAGTGAGCAAAAAATAAATGATATCCCATATGATCTTCCAGGTTTCGCTTCTCACTCATAAGCAAAGGACTTTTTTTTTTTAATTTTTTTTATGTCTTTATTTTATTTTGAGAGACAGAGACAGAGAGCCAGCAGGGGAGGGTCATAGAGAGAGGGAGACACAGAATCTGAAGCAGGCTCCAGGCTCTGAGCTGTCAGCATAGAGCCTGATGCGGGGCTCAAACCCACGGACTGTGAAATCATGACCTGAGCCGAAGTCAGATGCTTAACCGAGTGAGCGACCCAGACGCCCCAGCAAAGGACTTTTAAAATTAATCTTGAAGTAGTAATCTCGCCATTATATTTTGACCAAAAGTAAAATTTGGGGTGCCTGGCTGGCTCAGTCAGAAGAGCCTGTGACTCTTGATTTCAGGTTTGTGAGTTTAAGCCCCACGCTGGGTATACAGATTACTTAAATGAATAAATAGGAAATAGATTTTACTTTTTTTTTTAAGTACAGAAGTCCATAAATTGTGTTGCTGTGGGAAGGTATTAAATATGACTTTAAAATTACTTGTTGAAAGTAACCCATTTAACTGGAAAGATAACATATAAAAGGATTAGAAATGATCAGTGAGTAGAAATTCCATGGAGATGATTTTTGCTCACTTTAGAGAGTTCTGTCTAATAGGGTAAGCTGGGGGTCAGGGGTGGGTGGTGGGTGAGAGGAGCAGTGTGTATCGATTCCACTGAAAGGACCCATGCCAGAGAGTATGTGTGGCCCTTCAAAGTCCTTCCTGTGAAGCCTCAGGTAATTTGAGGCCCATCGCTCTCATGTACTGGTGAAAAATGGGCCTTTTTGTCATTTGCCATCAGAGGGACTCTGGGTAAACATAATCGTCTTAAAACCTAGCCTGTGTCCCTGCCCATGTTCATACAGCAAACAAAATGTTACCAAGAATTAGACAATCAAGTATTCCAGCTGCAACATACCATGTAATAAAAAACGACTATGATGTAAATGAACTAGAAAATCTAAAAGTAATGGTAGTTCTGCATGTGGTTAAAATACTGACTCTGGCACATGACATTTGGATTTGAGAAAGGCAGGTCATACCTGAGATCAACGCTGATCCAACAAATATCAATTCTCAAAACAAGATATTTGTGACTAAATAATCTTGGCAGGGGAAAAAAATCCCAGCCATAAAGAGTTATATAAAGAAATGGGCTTTCTTATTTTAAAACAAATCACAAACCCATTCAGTCTGAAATGAGAGAATCCTGGCAGGTGACTCTTTCCTTTGACCTGGCCCTATACATCTCACCTTCCCTGAGTCTGACTCAGTTTGGTTCCCATGACTATACCACTGTAGCTGGGCCTTGAGATACAAGTCCCTCTCTGCACACTAGCTGGAGCAGAATCCAAAATCACGATTCCTCTTTCTAGTTCTGTGGTGACAAAGTGTTAGTCTCATAAGAAACTTTAGTGAAAATCAAGGGAAAGGAAAAGAAAAATGAACCAAAGAGCATGAAAACAACCTAGCTAACAGCTTATATGGCATCACACACCCTTACTTACCCAGCTCATGACTACTCTCTAGCCCTGTCTCCAGCTCTCAGGCCCCTGCTCTCTAATTCCCGGCCGATACATGGCAGCAGCATTCTTTGCTTAGAAGAATGCCCGTGACACAGATAGAGACTTTTCAAACCCATGGTCGTCTGTTCCATTCAGTTTCCAGTCGGAGAGACTCATCATTTCACAACTCCTTCGCAGAGCAGAAGTGAGTGACCCTCAGTGAGCTAGGTGATAATCCAGCCAGCCATGTCTAGTTTATCTGCTCCACCTCCGAGTATTCTGGAAGGCTTCACTTGGACAGATGACCTCCTATCAGACCACTACTGTAACTCTCACAGACCTAAGATAAGAATTTCACCCATATACATTAACAGGAGGGTAATGTTCTCACATACTCACAAATGCCTTATAATTAGAAAAAACAAAACAACTCAAAAAGAATTTCAAGCACTTTTTCCTGAGAATTAAGAACTATCACATAAATATATACTAATGTTCACCTCATGCCAGTTCCATGAGTACTAATTTATTTACAGAGTTGATTTTAGGAGAAACAACTCATGGGTTTATTTTACAGTTAGCTTTGCTCTGATAAGATGGTGCTCAATGATGGGGGGTTTACTTATGGAACTAAGGGCTTATTGTTTTCTCATTTGTTTTTTTGTGCTTGCTGGCTTGTGATTTTCAGGATGACAAGGTAATTATAAAATTTTAAAAAATTCTAATAAATATTTAATCCTAAATTTTATTTCCCCAATATATGCAATATATGCAATTGATGCTTCCGGCCACCAAGTCTGTTTTGATATGTACAAATTAATTTCCTCTTTGACCCTTCCCTGTGTGAAGTCAGTGGAAAAAATAATAGATGTAATAGGCTCCAGTCTGGACCACAGAGAGGTCTCCATGGCTTCTAATTCAGGGTCAGCTCTCTGACTCACTATGGTAGTTATGACAGGCCATCCACAAGCATGGGGGCATGAGTCCCTCAACTTGGAGCCCACCGAAGAGCTCATTCCATCCCACACTTGTCTAGAACCTCTGGATTTGTTGGCCAAGGGTGAGAAAGAGCCTCAGGAATGGAGTACACCCTTCCTGGGAAGGGTAGAGTTTTCCTACATGGTACAATCCTTTACAAATTTCTGGTCACTAGCTTGGGGGGAGACAAACTTTGAGCAGTGAGTCAGGAATTTCCTGATGCTGATGGTCCAAGTCTGATCCCATGCTCCAACCACCAGTTCTTAGCTAAGACGGGCCAGCCCAGGGAAGGACTGACTGCTTACTACCAGGAAAGCACCTATCAAGAAGCTTATCTTCCCTTTAGATTGGTTAATAGGCCCCAAGTTACCTAATTTACTGAAAGTTCAACACTATCATATAGGTGTTTAGATATCAAAGAATAAATATAGCATTATTGCATATAGGGATTGGGTCTTTGAGATTTATTACTTAAATGTAAAAAATCTGAGTACAGTCCCTTGTAAAATAGAAAAATTTTCTTTCAGGGAAAGAGAAAAAAGTTTTCTATGAAATGTGTACTAAAATATTTAGAAATAATAGCTAAAGAAATGCTCTATGTGGTGTTTATGGGAAAGATTTTTAAAATTCTATAAAACATAAACTCTTGTTAAAGCTCTAATCAGATTACAATTGGTCTTCTCTGAGAATGCATTTATAAACTTACAAAAAACCCAGCATTAGGAGAAAAATGGGATTTTTTTTGAAGTATATTTCTTCTCAAGATCTGGTCTTGAACTTACAACTGGTCTCTAAGATCATGGTATTTGAAATGTATTCTATTAAGTCCCCTTCATTGTGAGACCTGGCTTTACAGCAAACGTTGACTCATGGATTATATGCTATTTAGACAAATAGCATGTGCCCCTGGGTTCTAAAGTCTATTATTCTCTAGAAGCTATAAAGCAATAGTTCTTCATCTATTCTTTCCCTCATTTAGGAGAAACAGAGAGTAGCTAAGTAGAAGCAAGATTAGAAATTTCATTGGTTGTCAGACAGATTAGACCAAAAAGGAAAAATAAAAAAAGGAAGTAAAAATGTTGGCAGTAAAGTACGTTTTATACAAAATCATTAGTAATGCTGACCTGCCAGATCTGTATTTCAAAAACTTAGGTACCATGCTATAACGTAACAGACGAAAAAAGAGTCAGTTGAATAACAGCAGATGGTAGATATTTACAAGGAGCTAAATTCTTCCCATTTATATATATTTAAATATGTGAGAAAAAACTTCTAATTTTACTAAAGCATATCATCCACCTTTTTTGCACTGAGCTTTTAATGGAAAGATGAGCTTTATGTCAAACTTTACAGTGTTTTACTGGGGCATTTATTTTATTATAACTAGATGGCAAGTAGTGGAAAGAATAGTTTTGTTCTTTGTTTCAGTGTTTCTTGGTGTTTTTACCTAGTTATTCTAATACTTTATATATACTTGGAAATAAATCTATATTTTTATGTATTAAGTATATATGTATATATATATATATATATAGTTTGAAATATATCTTTACATTATTGTGTAGCATTAGAACAGTTATCAGGCAAGGACACTAAAGAGCTATTTAATAGAATGTATATATATATATATATATATATATTTCACATAATGTAAAATACACACAGCCCATCAGTGATTTTATTTACAGGACGCTAGTTCTCTAGAATCTCACCACTTTGTAGTAGAGCAATAGGGATTTTCAAGAGAGGGACCGAGGTATCTCTTGCCCTTAACTGCCTGTGCCTGACCCTCCTCTCTAGTTGCACAGGTCTAGGCCTGGCACTCTGGTGGGACCAAGAGCTCTGGTGGAATGCTTATATCCCCTACTCTGGAGGAAAGAGCAATGTTGTGTGTAGTCTGAAGATTTTGAGTTGACTGTTAATATGGAAATCTGTCATTTTCCCCTTCAGAATACAATGACAGATTCCACCATACTTTTGGAAGATGTGCAAAAAATGAAAGATAAAGGTGAAATAGCACAAGCATACATTGGTTTGAAAGAAACAAACAGGTAAGTCCATTTCATTTTCATTCATTTTGGTTTAATCAGAATCATGTATATCATTGTCTTTAAGCCAGTCTTTTGTACAGTAACTCAGAGTGTTTATATACTGCTTTATTACACATCATCTGACCTTCAGAGGGAATTCAAGATTTCTAATATATTCCTCATTAAAATCTTATTTACAATATTGAGGCAGCATTATTGATGAGGGGGGTGCCAAGCGGAATGTTCTTTACATCCAGGGATTATATGTGTGTATTATTTAGGGTCTTAGCCTTGAGAGGAAAACCAGTTGCTCACTATTGGATTGTCTTGGATAGTCACTTTCATATTTTGTTCAGGATGGTTGGTTATTTGTGAAGATTTGTAGGGGCAACTTTAGCTTTCAGTAATTGACATTTAGAGTGGAGAGAAGTGAGGAAGTATCTGGAATCAGATCAGTGTTGGCCATATCATTCTGTAAGAGTACACATACCCTTGGATGGGACTCTGATATTTAAGACCAAGTATTTGTCACATTTCGTAAGATGTTTTGAGAAAATCCTAACTCTGGTTTTATCTCATTAACCACAAACACGAGTGAAGTTACACATGGCACTTAGCACCCAAGACCTGGGTAGTCTGACTGAAGGTGCAGGATTTGCACAGCCACTAAATGATCAAACTTTACTAAGGACTTTCCCTGTAACTGAAATTATCACAGAATGAAGGCTCATCTCTGCAATTCCTTCAGCCTTCCTACCACTCCCACTTTCCAACAGAGCCTCTGTGCCTTTGAACTATGAACTTATAGGATACATGCTTAAGAGAACATGGCCAATGATGATCACAGAGAAAGATGATTATGGGGATTTGTGTTACAGGTGTGCAGTCTAAGTCTCCTGCTGTGGAGTATCAAGGCTGCTATACAGAATACTTTACAAACTAAAGAATATTTTTTTTTTTATAAATAGTTTGTCAAGTTGGTTTCCATATAACACCCAGTGCTCATCCCCACAAGTGCCCTCCTCCATGCCCATTACCCCCCTTCCCCTCCCCCCGATACCCATCAGTCCTCAATTTGTTCTCAACATTCAAGAGTCTCTCATGGTTTGCCTCCCTCCCTCTCCCCCACTATTTCCCCCCTTTTTCTCCCCCACGGTCCTCCGTTAAGTTCCTCCTAATCCTCCTATACGTGCAAACATATGGTAGCTGTCCTTCTCTGACTGACTTGTTTCCCTCAGCATAACACCCTCAAGTTCCATCCATGTTGCTACACATGACCAGATTTCATTCTTTCTCATTGCCACATAGTATTCCATTGTATAGATAAACCACATCTTCTTGATCCATTCATCTATTGATGGACACTTAGGCTCCTTCCATGTTTTGGCTATTGTTGAGAGTGCTGCTATGAAAATTGGGGTACATGTGCCCCTATTCATCAGCACTTTTACAAACTAAAGAATATTGCCATGCAAAATGTAAGGTACTTATCATCTTGTTTTATGAGTGAGAGTGGAAAATGCTTAAAAAGTATTCGATTAAACTTAAATTTTAATTTATGACATAAATTGTAAGCATATTTCCTATCTAAGAATGTGTTAGTATAGAAAGAGCTATAATACACTGTCCACCCATCCACACTTCTATTCAATCACCAGATATGTATTGCATATCTGTTTCATGTTAGGCCTTGTGTCACTCACTGGGAATATAGCAATAAGGAAGGTAAATGCAGTTCTTACTTCCACAGAGTTTGTAGGCTGTTGGGGAGACAGCCAAGACAATTTGGACATCACTCCAATGACCGTCAAAGTTGTTGACATGTTTTAAGGAGGAGAATGATATGATATTGGAATTTTAGAAAGCTAGCCCTGGCTTTTATGTAAGAGAATAGATTATAGTGAATGAGATTGAAGGCATAAAGACTAGTTAAGAAGCAATTACTTTGATTAAATGACTGATTACAGTGACTTTGACGTGATTGGTGGCAGTTGAGATTGAAAGGGGACAGTTTGAAAGACACATAAGATATATAAGATGTCAGTAAGTCTTATGGCTTGGATGTGTGGGCGAGGGATAGGGAATTATGCAGGGTGGCTGTCAAGTGTCTGCTGTGGATACTTGTTTGGATGTGGTGAAGCCATTTCATGATCCTGGGTCTGTGGTGTAGGGAAGTGCAGAGTGGAAATGATCAGCAGATTTATAAATAATGAATTTAAGGAGCTAAGAAGACATCTAAGGAGAGAAATCCATAGGCAATTGAAAATATAGATCTCAAATAGGAGAGGTATATAAGCTGAGATACAAATTTTCAGCATATAATACTATAATTGTGACCATGAAAATGGATCAGCTCTCCAAGGGGAGATGGTAAACAGAAGAGCATTCTGTGACATGTGCTTTATGTACACATCATAGCAACAGAAGTCTAGTAGGAAGAGTAAAAAATCTGGACTCTGGAGTCAGGTAGCGCTGGGCTCTGCTACTTGCCAGCTGTGTAACCTCCACAGGTATCTTATTTCCAAGCCTCAGTGTCTTCCTTTGCATTGTGGCAAATGATACATGGTGGGATACTAGAAGAACTAAATGAAATGATACATGTGGAAGGATGTAGGATTGTGTCTGATTGCAAACACCCCAAAATATTATTTTTATATCCCGGGGAAAAAAAACAAACAAACCTGTAATTGGCTTTGTCATTTTTTTATTATTTATACATACTTTTAATAAAATGTGTCACATGTCTAATATAAAAGCAGTTTCCCCAGATCTTAACATTAATTTTTGACACAAAAAAATCTTTATTTTTTCTTTTTTATTTCTTTTTTTTTCTTAAAAAAATTTATCGTCACGTTGGTTTCCATATAACACCCAGTGCTCATCCCAACAAGTGACAAAAAATCTTTTTAAATATGTCATAAAAACTGAAAACTGTGGACATAAACTTATTTAATAAGTTACTCCTATAAGAATTTCTTCAGATGGTTTTAAAAATAGGAAAGCAGATTTTATTAAGTGAAAACAACTTTCTACTTAGAAGACTTAAAACTTCATTTATTTTGAAATGGATTGTGAAGATTGCCCCATGAAGACAATAGCTGGAGTTTTCGTTCTATATGTGTGTTATTGTCATGCTTGGTCTCTAATATAGTATGTGACATGTAAGATCACTCTCCTAGCTGAATAAAATGTTAAAAATAGAACCTCTTTCTCACCTTTTCAGTCATTTCTGATTTTTCAGAAAAAGTACCTCTCCCTCCTTGATTATTGTTTTACTTTCTACCCATTAACATGTGATATTACATGTTACCCATTTTTTAAAAAATTAACCAAAAATAATTTTTGTGATAATGTCTTAAAGTCATCTGTACTTAATTTTAAAAAGTCTCATTGACTTAACGAAGTATTGGAATACCATGTGCTGCTCTTGACCATCATCATCTCATGACCATCCTGTATCCCTTTGTGTTTTGCATTGTTGTTCCTTTTGCATGGAAGATCACCTGCTATGGATTGCCATGAGTTGAATGAGGATGGAGAGCTGTGGCTGGTTTATGAAGGGTTAAAACAAGCCAACAGGTTATATTTGTCTTCTCAAAATGGAATGTTACTAATTTGTTGTTTCTCTTACTAACAGTGCCTTCCTGACTTTAACTTCTGTGTTTCTTCTGCATTAATTGTCTTCCTGGGCAAATTTCAGCAAAACTTAGAACATTCAGACAACACCTCCTCTACTAAGGGATGCATGTAAAGCTGAAATGGATTGATAGTGAATATAGGAGTTGCAGCCCATAAGTGAAGGATCTTTCCTTTACACATTAAAATTTGTGAATCTCTCACTAGAAGTTGGGGAAAAAAGACAAAACCATAAAACTAGAGCCCAAATTACTGTGGGAGTACCTATTACTTAGTACCTATTACTTAGTGGTTTCTTGTTTGGAATAATGACCAATCTAAAGGATATAAGTGCCTTCGGCAGTGAGACTGAGTTCTTATATATTGGTACCATGCTGCCTAACAGCAGTGTTGAGTGCATAATTTGGCCTTGTATATGATTCTTGTGAAATTCACATGTGTGAAACCACATATCAGGAGGGTCTTCTGCTTTGCTACAGTTAAAAATAATTACCTAAACTCAACACATCACATGTGTTTAGGAGAAAGCAAATAAAATTGAAACAACAGCTTTGTAACACATACTCATCTGCTCTAGGGATATTTGTATCTTTAAAGTCTCATAAAATACCATGTTAGTGATTACATTTTTAAAATACTTAACTATTTGTTCTAGGGGCTCCTGCTTATTCTTCTTTGTTCTAATAACAAGCCATCATTATTAACTTTGTGGTCTTATTAGTTCAGATTCCTTTGAAATTTTATAATTCCTAGATATTTTTGTTCTTTTATTAACAGTTGCTTGCCATGGCATCACTAAGTTTTGCCCAGCAGTTGATAACAAAGGGGATTAGGATAAAAGAATGTCATTTCTTTCTTTGTGTTAGTTAATTCTTAACCATAACTTTGTTTTGTGTTTGGAAAAGAGGTGACTGTGGGAGTGCGGGTGCATGGTAAATGGGGGGTGCTGATATTCTCACCGCCAGCGCCCTGGTCTACTTACAGGCACAGCTGACTTGAGTGCTTGCTCAGAGAAGCAGTAACCACTTTGTTCATCCTATTAACATCTCTCTTCTAAAACCACGTCTTGTTAGGATTCTGTTATTGATACGGAAGTGTATGGGGGAGAGAGAAGATGACAAATTTAAAATACGTGTATGTGAAATTTCAGAACAATCTGGATTTGGGAATATCTTTATATATTTCAGAGTCACACTCCAGCCTTTCAGTCATTCAGAGATAAGAGTAGAAAGTAGAAATGGGACCCTGGTCAAACTCTCTGCCTGGAATTAGTAACACTGAAATTCTTAAAGGCATATTTAATTAGATTGGGAGTTTATACTCTTGCCCTCTACCATGCAGTTATTCTGTGACAAAGGTACTGTCTTTGCCGACTTAAATGCTCGTTTGTAAACATTGTACACCAGATTAAAGCTATGTCTTGTAATTATTTTAGTCACCATTTGTTAGAAACTTTTCAAAAGAGCTTAAACTGTTCTATTTCTTTGAGCCTTTGAAAATGTTGTATTTGTAGCAGGGTCCACAATTCAGAAAGACACAAATGTGAGAGCTGGCCCTTGCTTGAGCTTCTTGACTATAATGAAGTCAGAGGTTACATAGACACTAAAGATTCCCCACTCTTCCTGCCCTTGCAAGTGAGCACAAAGCCTCGCACCTACCAAGCAGAGACTCAGGTGTCCCCTCTGTTTTCAACCTGTGTGGCTTCTCCTCAGGCTCCTGGAATCCCAGCTCCAGTCACAGAAGAGGAGCCACGAGAACGAGGCTGAAGCCCTGCGGGGGGAGATCCAGAGCTTGAAGGAGGAGAACAACCGGCAGCAGCAGCTGCTGGCCCAGAACCTGCAGCTGCCCCCGGAGGCCCGCATCGAGGCCAGCCTGCAACATGAGATCACCAGGCTGACCAACGAAAACTTGGTAAGGAGAGGCATGCAGGTTCATGCATTCCTCAGTAGGCAGTGCCTGGCCCTCCAACACAGTCCTAGTTTCCTTTTGATTAAACACATCCTTTTTGGCTGGGAGAGACTTGCTGCCTCATACTTGATACCCTCTTTCTCTAGCAGAGATGGAGTAAGGAAAATGTGATTCTATTGGTAGAAATGAAAAAGGCACGTGCACAGGTTGTGTTTCTGACAGAAGGCTCTGGCATGTCTGAGACCTAGCTTGGAAGGTTTGGGAGGCCTTGACTGTGTGCTGGGCTTTTGCTCTCCATGAGAACTCAGGTGACCTGCTTTCTCCACTTCAGCTGCGGATTCTGCCATTTCAAGGAGGTTTGTTAGGTGGTTGTCACAGTAGAGACTAGGGACAAGTTCTGGTGACCTTTGGTCCCCAGGCAACCATGAAGGCCATTCTTGCTTCCATCTGTAGCAGACAGGTGGGAGTTGGAGTTACAGTCAGGGAAGAGGGTTGGCAGAACCAAGCAAGGGCTTTTGGTTAACATTGGCAAGAGCTCCCCAGGTCAGGATGCAGGGACATCAGGATTCAAGCTTATACATTTTTTATTCTAACAGAAGTGGAATGAATGAGATTTTTTTTTCTCTTGCCAGATTCTGAGTGCTGGCACGGAGTCCAAGTTATTTCTTATTCGTTCTTTTTCTCTTTCTTTTTTTACAGGAAATATTTTCTAAAATATTTCTGTCACAAAATAACTTTTATTACAGATTTTTAAATCTACTTACATTTAATAAATATATGTATTAAATTAAAAGTCATTGAAAAGTTATGACACTACATTTCTATATAAAATCTATATTGTAGTGTCAGCCTAGTTTTGAGACAAGTTATTAAGAATTGGTAGTGACCTGTCTTTTTTTTTTTTAATTCAGGGTTTAATGACTTTAATAAAAAGTTTGGATTTTCTCTACAGATTTAACACTCTGAATTACCACTCCATAACTCATTAGTGATCATTTACATTACAAATAGTTTTCTAGTATCACCTATTCAACCATGTTTTGTTAATTAGACACAAAACCTAAAAGTATTCTTATCACTCTGTGTCCCTCTGAGGACAGCTTGCTGCGTGAGGCTCTGTTGTGGGAATGGGAGAGGCACGTGAAAGCAGGTGTTGGACTCTTTCCAAAGTGACTGAAATATCACTAATTCGTTGGGGGAAATGTTCTGAATCATGGAATATTTTTAAAATGTCATTTTATCACTCTCAAGTGTATTGTTGCTTAACTAACAGTGCTTGAATGCCTAAGAAGTGATAAATATGCTAAATTATAATGATTGATCAGTGTATAAATTCTGTGCTTATTAATGATTATCTTACAATACAAGGTGAAACCGTGAAATTAGGATGCTTCTGGATGGCAAATTTCCAAAGGTTTTTTTTTTTTTTTTTTACTAAGTTGAGTAATCATTTCTTTTACAACCTTGCCTGCAGGATGTATTTTCTTTGCAGTTTTTCATAGCTAATAGAATAATAAATTAAGCTCTCAAATTCTAAGGGGAAGAGTCTAGTTAATGAGTTTCTCTGAGTTTTAGAAAAGCCTCCACAGGCCAGCTGCTTCTGGAAAATGGTTTCAAACTTAGGTGTAGGGAATAATGCACTTTTCAAAACCATTATAGAGTTTCTCATTCATAATTGTGCATTTCTTTAGGAAACGCTTGAGTGGAATAGTAAAGCAGCAGTGGACCTAGGCTTAGTGTTCTTAGAGACTCTACCCTGCATAACCCTCTTAACTACCTGCCTCCCAACACAAACACAAAGATGGCCTTTTGCCCTCCCCTTGGGAGCGTGCTCTGCAGGCCTTCCCCATGCCGCCTCTCAGGGCAGGAAGGCACACAGCATCTCACCAGCCTCTCCAACTTTAGACAAGAGTGCTGCCTTGCCATGATCCTTGCTTTCATCTTATTTGCCTTCTTGCCCTTGTCACTGCTGCTGGCAGCAAGGAAAAAAAAATACAACTTGTGAGCAGGTCTGAGTAGTGAAATAACAGCTTTATCTGAGGAATATGGGCTACTTTTCTGTTTACCTGCTAAATGATGCTGCCTGAGCCATAGCCTGTGTTCTCTGAGCATGTGAAAATATAGGTGTATGTATGTATGCATACAAAATTAGAATCATCTATACTGGAAAGATCAGAAGGCAATGACAGGTGACAAAGCAGAGCCTTTCAAGAATACATAGTTTCATTATTTGGGTTTTAAAATATTTTTAAATTGATTTTGCTGAGAGGTCACATTCCCGTCAAAGACACAGAAAAAAACAAATATCCATTGTGCCTGTTTTTTCAGTATTTTGAGGAATTATATGCAGATGATCCTAAGAAGTATCAATCATATCGGATTTCACTTTACAAGCGGATGATTGTATGTAAACTCAGAGTGCATTTCTGTTGTCTCCCTTGCTACTTGTAGCCTCTGTTACCGAACAGCACACTGCTGCCTGCCACTCCTCAGGAATCTCTTCACAAACCTTCACGAAACCTGTTTCTTCCCACAGCTGTCTCCTAGCCAGTGGTGTCACCCCTATCAGTGTCTTGCGTCCATTGTCACGTTGGATTTGTTATTAACACTAGGCTTACAGTGTGATGGAAGCAAAATGTGATTGAAAGATAAAGTGCAATCCAAGAAACACAACGAACACTTTGAAATGTTAGCACCTGTTCCCTTTGAATCAGTGGTCTAGTAGCTAAATCTGCACTGCCTTCAACTGGAAAGGAAATGAGTATCTGTGTTTGTAAATGCTTTTCTTCACCATAACCTGAATAATAACCACAGATAGCACTGATTGACTTCTCTCCTAAGCTTTGAGTCTGCTGTTACCAACTTTCTTCTTACTGATCTCTTTTTTTTTTTTTTTAATTTTTTTTTTAATGTTTTATTTATTTCTAGGAGAGAGAGAGACAGCGTGAGCAGGGGAGGGTCAGAGAGAGAGGGAGTCACAGACTGAAACAGGCTCCAGGCTCTGAGCTGGCAGTCAGCACAGAGCCTGACGCGGGGCCCGAACCCACGAACCGCGAGATCATGACCTAAGCGAAAGTCGGACGCTTAACTGACTAAGCCACCCAGGCGCCCCGCTTCTTACTGATCTCTTAACTATGCCTGTGATTTGAAAATTCTTGATTAACTAGCCGGTCATCACAGAGTTCTTTTTTTTACCTCTTCTCCTTGAATGTTTGTTTTCTTTTCTTGTCTTGTCTTTCCTTTTTGTTTCTTTTTTTTTGGGGGGGGGATAAAGCATTTGCAAGTGTCCCCTTTTTTCTCTATAAGCAAAATTATATCACCTGTGAAATTTAAGGGTATGTTATGCCACTCTTTATCCTTTCTCTATGGTTATTTTTTCAACTGACCTTTTAATTCCCCAAACTTATTAAGTTATAGGACTTATTTTACCATCTCCAAAGGGTAGGTCTCATGGAGACAGTGCTTGTTACACACAGGTGTCCATCAAAAGCCCTGACCTATGTTTAGCCATCCTTATAACTTCCCACAAAACTTTTTGAGCATTTGTCAAAATTTATTTTGCCTCTTCCCCCTCAAAAGAAAACATTCTACTGGAAAAGCAGTGCATTTTTTTGAGCATTTAGTTGTTTTACCCACATGGAGTCTGCTGGAAAAGACTCTGCAGGGAGCCTGCTCTCCATCATGCTGTAAAGGATCTTATTGCAGTGTGTATTTTAACATTTGGCTTTTCTTGTAGCTGCCTTTCCCATGCCTGTGAGTTTTAGCCAGGTGGTGGCTCCACCATTGAGCTTTTCTGGAGCTTTTATGTAAAACTAACAGTGCTGTTCCTGTGATTTTTGTGTCTGCTTTCCTTCTATGCCTTTTCAAAGGCTCATTTTGATTTTTCTATTATATTTCTCATTTTAATCTTTAGGATCTGATGGAACAGCTTGAAAAACAAGATAAGACTGTTCGGAAACTGAAAAAACAACTGAAAGTATTTGCCAAAAAAATTGGTGAATTAGAAGGTATTTAAACATGTTTTTATAACAATTGCCAAATCTTGATTTTGTATTTGTTATACTAGTGGTCTAACAGGTTTGCTTGCAGATATTAAGGATGATATTAGACCAGCAGACCTGGCCTCTGTGGAGTGGAAATTTCCATAGCCGGGAGGGAAAAATGTTCTTTTCATGGTCGTGGTAATTTGCAAAGAGAGAGAATTCATTCAACAAGCATCTAATGACCGTATTCTATGTGCCAGACACTGAGCTTAGCAGTATAACATAGAGGTTAAGCGCATGGATTCTGTAGCCAAGCTTCTTGGCTGCAGCTCCCAGCTCTTTTATTAGTTATGCTATTGAACCTCTCTATGCCTTAGTTTTCCCACTCAGTAGATGGGAATGATCACGGTGGCCTATGTGACAGTTTGTGAAGATGAAATAAATTAATGTGCATAATGTATTTAGTGTAATTCCTGATAAATAATAAATGCTATATACAACTTAACTATTATTATTATTGTTACTTCTAGTATTAGGGATACTAAGATGAGTAAAACTAAGTCTGCATCTTCAAAGAGATGGAGAAAATAAGAGAAGTAAATAAGAAAAAATGAATTATGATTATAAAGAAATAATTTTTTTTAACATTTTATGGTTTGTATATGATGGGAAAACACCTTGAAAAAAGTGATCAAGTATCAATTGTTATTATATACAAATGAATCTTGTCTCTTGGATCAGTATGCTTGTTCCTTCACTAAGTATGTAACTAGGTACCAGAGATATAGCAGTAAATGGAGACAAAGCCAGGTTCTAAGTATATTCAACAATGTTCTCATTGTTCAAGAGATTTAGAAACTCTATTTGGAATTACCTTCAAACCTATGTGATTTTGACCAGAAATGATACTGTGCAGTCTGACTACCCGTCTCTTCTCCCAGTGTCACTCTGCATAGTGTCTGCTAGGCCCAAAGAACGAAGAGTCCCCATCACTGGGAATGCTCAGAAGAGTCTACCATGTTAACTCTGTATGTTTTTCATTCTTCCAGCATTCCAGGCCTGTCCTAACTGTCCTTTCTGTTGGGTCTTCCTACTTCTCTTGGTCAAGTCCTGCTCATCCTTTGAGACCAGAGTCATATGTCACATCCTCAAGCACAGCCAGCCTCTCCTGATCACCAAGATGGGCTTTATGACTCTGCCCTCTGTGCACAACAGTGGCTCACATTTTTTGTGGTTTTCACTGTCATGCTTTTAGCAGTTTTTCTGTTTGAATTACTGGCTTTCTCAATGGATGTAAGCTTCCCGAGCATAGGGACCACCTCTTATTTCCCCTTGTTTTCACACCATTTAGCATAGTGTCTGACCCATGATAATCATTCCTTCAGTGTTTGTTGAACAAATAAATAAGTTACAGAAATATGTAGAATGGCAACATAGATGTTTACTTTGAAGAGGATAACACTTTTTGGGCATACAAATGCTGAAATATTTGTTTAGAAATCATATAGGTTACTTTGCAGTCATAATTTATTTATAATCCTTTAGCATTACATGATTCATATATTACATTAAAACTCTGAGCCTCCACATCACACACATGTGGACTGTAATGTCTATCGACAGAACTTTTAAAAAAATTTTATTTGGAGGACCCTTTCTGTACTTAATTCTGCTCTAATTATATCATGAGATGATAATTAGACAGCAGAGTGTCTGAAATAACTGATTTTAAGGATATTAGCTAGTCAATTATTTTTAACTTCTAATGATTTCTTTGTAGTACATTAGTAAAATTTCATAAATAACAAAGCCCCTTATTATTTTAAGTTTTTACTCAGCTTTTTTTGACGTATATGCTTTAAATTGAGACAGGTCAGAATATTTCAAGATGTCAGCAACTTTAAGCCATTATTAATAAAAAATCAATCTCATCAGTTAAACTGTCTTGCCAGCTGTGTTCTCAAACCTATAAGTAGCATTTGAGAAAGCACTTCATAGATTAAACAAAGTTATCATATTCTTAAGAAAAATTGTATTTTGAGTTAAATGATTAGTATCTAAAGAATAAAACAAAATAGATGTATGTGACTTGGGCATGTGCTGAGTGCATTGTCCCTCCCCCTCCCCCAAATTAGAGAGTAAAGGTAGCAAGCTCTTCTAATACTTTTCTCTTCCAATTTCTTATCCCGCATTATGCAAAAAATACAGGCAACTTTTTATAACAAAGCATCTTTTAACAACTAGAAGTTTTCTTATATTTTTCTCTAAATATAATATACTTAAATTCTTCTGGCTTAAAATAGCAAGACTCTTGCCTCCTCCTATGGGCTACCCTTAATTAAGGAGACTTTTTTAGAAGCCATTGTGGCCTTTTTTAAAAACGCCAACATATATAATTTTTAGCAGAAATTATAAAGCTAAATTGAGAGTGTTTCAAAATTTGATTTGCTTTGTGCTATATTTTAATCCAAGAGTGGGTGTTCCTTCTCAACTTTCATGGAGTCAGGGAATTTATACCTAAAAGAATTCTAGAAATCAGTTAATTATTTCATGGGAGTAAAAAAACAGATTCAGAAACCATAAGTGACTGCCAAGGTCTCAGCGGTTAGTAGCCAAACTGGAACTAGAACCCAAGCCTTTCAGGACCACTGACTTCTCTCTTTATTTCATATTTTCCAAAATAACCTCTCTTCCTTTAGGAATTTATTTGACTGTCTCTTTTAAGCCTGAAATCAAGATCTTTCTGGTACCAAAGTGAGGAAAAGTTAACTTTTAAAAAATTATCCAGTTTCCTTTTCTAGAACAAAAAAGGTTCAGGAATATTTTTTTCCCTCAAGTATAAAGAATCTAGAAAATGAAAATAGAGATTGCTTCAGGTCTTTCTAGAAGAAAGTCCATATTAGAAGGAACGTTGGACCAAACAACCCCAAGATCTTTTGAGTCTTTGAAAACTAAGATGTGGTCCTGGCTTTATTCTTTCTGGCCTTATATTTTTCTGATAGTAGATAAAGCTTGACATTTTATTTTAATTGGATAGCTTGCTAAATAAATCAAGGTTGTGTTGAGCTGACATCTATATATTATCTGTGAATTTTTGTAAAGACTCAAATCTCTGAGGGGAATTCAAAGGCAGAGAGAAAATTTTAATGAAAGTATGGCAAATTTTGTCTCTGACATTTTTGTACAGAACCAAAAATATCTTGGTTAGAGGTTTTGCAAAAAAAAAAAAAAAATGAAGCTTTCTTTTGAAACATGAAATCCAATAAAAATATTTACCATAGTTCATAATTTCTGATATATACAGATTTTTACATTTTAACATCTCAAATTAGGTTACGTCTTTCAAAAACTCTTGATGGGTTTAATTTTAATTAAACTGTTTAATTAAACAGTTTAATTGGCACTGTTTTTCCTTCTTTAGTGTTATATAAAATAATGGTATATCTCATCTTCAGTGGATGAAATCAGCAGGTTTAAAACATTCTTTCTAGGTTATATAGAGTCCAAATATGTACCTTTACTGATAAACTTATAATATGTTGAATATGTTTCCTCCCAATTTCCCCTCTAAGAGTTGTTTCTGTGCCTCAAAGCATCTAGTAACATAGATGACAGGGATTTCACTCTTTTGTACTTTACATGCAGCATATACATAAGCTGTGAAGGCCACTGTGTGCTGATTGCTTGTGGTGTTGTGTTTAAAGTGATTCTAAAAGTAATTCGTGTAAAACTAAATAGGCTGAAGCGCCTGTCTCCTGCATAGAGACCTACAATTTGCCATGCTTATGAAACACTAGATGCCACAGTCCTGACTTGTCCCATCACAATATGATCACTCTTTAGATATCATAGTGTTGATGGACGGTGGTGATTGTCAGCGCTGGTAATCCTGGTGTGTGATGCTGCAGCATGAGGTGGACGGGGTGTCACTTAGGCTGGCTCTCTGCCACGTAAGCAGGAACACTGGCAGGTATTGGTGTTCTCCGTGATAACCTTGTCCTGTGGAACTGGCTTCCCAGAACTAACACAGGAAATTGCCCAGAATGACAGGGGAAGCTCTACTGATACCTTGTAGAATCAGCAGCATTAAATTTTCTAATGCTTCTGAGCTGCATTTTGTTTGTTTGACGACAGGTTCAACTTAATATGCCTAAATAGATTTCTTAACTGCCCCCTCCTATAGATAAGAGAAGAAAAAAACCTGCTTATTAGCACATATTTCCACAAATACCACCATAACTCTGTATTCCCTTTCCTTCCCTGGCATTTCTCATTTAATTCTCAATTTTGAGATGAAACTGGAGACATTTTTTTTAATCCTTAGCATAATCCTTCTGTAGCACCTGCCATTAACAGTAGTGACCATGTTTAACATCTAAAAGGGTTGTTAACCAGCAGTTGTACTTTAAATGGTTACAACTTCATGTTAAGATGTTTAGCACTGGACTAAAAAGAAATAAGCAAAAACCAGAATAATATTTAGGAAATCATATTAAATAGGAGTGTTTAATCTGCTCGTAATTTGGGGATGAGGGGTAGCAGGAAGAAGTTGGGTCTTTGCCTTATAAGGCCTTTGTGAAAAATGATACATTACACATCAGCCAGTATGAACAAATACTATTCTGCCAGTTGTCTTGATGTGGTTTTAACTGATTACAATGATACAGTGAAAGTATATGTTCTTTTTCTTTAATGACTGGATTCATAGAGCTAAATGTGACAGGGAATCTTTAATATTGCTGCTTCTTCCTAGAATATTATTTTTTTCTTCTGTGATTAAAGTTTAAATGTCTTTAACCATTATGATGGTACTGATTAATTAACCAAGAAGTTAAACCACTTACTTCAGGGACATTTAATCTTACTACAAAGTAAACTTTATTACAAAACAAAAATGTTTTTAAATCAAGTAAGGGTCTTTGATGTTGATGGTAGCCAAGTGTTAGTGGATGTTAGGGTGATATCACCATATAATTTTGCCATCTATCCACTCAATTTTCACAGAAAAAGATATTTAAAGAGAGAACAATTAAAGGCAAATATGGCAAACTTCTGTTGTTACAGAGTTCATTTAAAATAATTGGACCTCGGAACCCTCTTAGCTTTTCTACCTGGAAAATATTTTCTTCTCGTTTTTGTTTCTCATGAAGTGGGCCAGATGGAGAACATATCCCCAGGACAGATCATTGATGAACCCATCCGTCCAGTCAACATTCCTAGGAAAGAAAAGGATTTCCAAGGAATGCTGGAATACAAGAAGGAAGATGAGCAAAAGCTTGTTAAGAACCTGATTCTGGGCAAGTATCTTCTGCATGGAATAAAAGGTCTCTCTAGCACATTTGTCAGCAGTGGGAAAGACTAGTTACTAATGTTTGAAATATTGAACACTGGTTTCTTCGTCTTCAGTGTCCGTGATCCTGCTGCAAGAGCATCCTGACCGTGTCACACTGCGGTCAACCTGCAGAGAGCCTGGCCTAGAATCCACCCATCAGGATTCTTTGAGTCCAAGTCTTCTCGGCTCTGGCTGCAGATTAGATTGCCGGGGGAAGCTTTTGAGAAGTAGTAATATATAGCCCCCGTCACAGACTCATTACACCACAATCTCTAGAGGGAAGAGCCTAGCCACGTCTAGTATTTTTTTTTTCAGTCTTTCAAAGGATTCTGAAGTGTAGCCACAGTTGAACACCACTGCTCTTGGCCACTGAAATTCCTGAATCTCATTTTTTCCTTGCTTCCTTGACAACTAAGTATGTTCAAAACAACAGTTTGGTAATAGAGAAGAAACAAAAGAATGAAGGAAAAGATCCCAGCAATGGAAGGACAGATGAAATGGACATAAAGGAAGCATCTCAGAGCAGCATAGGGTTAAGATTGGATGTAAGCCTCCTGGCTCTGCACAAACACGCTTTTGGGGACAGTGGGAGGTGAGAGGACAGTGGGAAGTGAGTAGGGACAGTGGGAAGTAAGGGAACAGTGGGAAGTGAGGGGACAGCAGGAGGTGAGTAGGGAGTACACACAGCCTGAAAGTGGTGAGCCAAAAAAGGGAAGCACCTCTCAGCTTTGGCATAGCATTCCTCCCCACAGGTGTGGGGTGACAGCAATGTGATTGGCAATTATACCTGACTTAATGTTCCCAGTGTTCATGGCATGAGTACTATATATAGGGGCAGAGGCACTTAAGTTTCAGCATGATCTTTATTTAGCAAAAATGTTAAGAAGCCTCTGGTTTTTAATCATAGAGTTAACAAAGATTCCTCAATTCAGTAAACATTTAGTGAGCTCCTACTACATGCTAAGTATTTTCTAGGTACTGGGTAATGAACAAAGTCAGGTCCCTATTCTCCTAGATCTTACATTGGGGAATGGGGGAACAGAGAAAAAATAGACATATAATGGGGTAAAAGGATAAAGAGTAAAGGCAAATATATTAGTTTATATAAAGCTGTCAGGAAAGTTGTCTTCAGTAAGGTGATCTTTGGACAGAGGTCAAAGGAGGTAAGGAGGCAAGTCATGCTGATATCTGAGGAAAGAACATTCTAGGCAGAAAATAGTATGTAGGTCCTGGGGTGGGAGCATGCCTGGCATGTTCAACCAACAACAAAGAGATTCATGTTACTGGAGCACAGTGAGCTGGGGAAGGGAACAGGGCCAGAGCACACTGACCATAGTGAAGATTTTTTATTTTATAAATGGATGAGAAATAACTTGGAAGATTTTCAGAACAAGAGTGACAGGATCTGACCTACATCTTTGTATAGAGGCACTCTGGTCATTGTGTGAAAAATGTACCACTGGGGAGCAGCAAATGAATCAGGGAGACTAGTCTGGAAGCCATCACTACAGTCCAGGAGAAGAACATGCTGGTCCATTCTAAGGTAGTCAGGAGAGTAAGTAATTGGATTTTGAATGTGTTTTATAGGTAGAAGCCAACAGGATTTATTATTGGATTAGACATATGATGTGAGAAAACAAAGGAGTCAAAGATACTGACCAAGCTTATGACTTGAGAAACCAGAAGTCTGGAATTGCCATTTAACTGAGAAGGAAACAGCTCCTGGGAGAGCAGGTTCCATAGGGAACCAGTGGCTTGGTTTGGAATGAACTCAGTTTGATAAGCCTGAGCAGAGGTGTCAAGAAGGCAGTTGATAAGTGACACTGGAATTCAAGGGAAAAGTCAGGGCAAGAGGTATAAACTTGGGAGTTGTCATTATATAGACAACTAAGATTCATAAGTCCCAACTAAGACAATCTCTCCACTTAATGAGTTATTAAATATGCTTCTTTTCTTAGTGTGACCTCTTAACCCTGAAGATTGAATTCTTTCACAAGAACTGTGCTTTTGTATTACAAAACATTCCTCCTGAAGACTTTGAGTGTTATGTAAGATTATTTTTCCTCATTTCCTTTCAGAACTGAAGCCACGTGGTGTGGCAGTCAATTTGATTCCAGGGTTACCAGCATATATCCTGTTTATGTGTGTTCGACATGCTGACTACCTGAATGATGATCAGAAAGTAAGGTCATTGCTAACATCAACAATTAACAGCATCAAAAAAGTATTAAAGGTCAGTTCATATTCAACAAAATTCTCATAATGAACCTTAATGATGACAGAATCTGCCCCAAGGTACTTTTCCTTCCTTAAGCTGGAGCTAAGTTGCCAGATATGAACACTTTCCAGTCCTAACTGATAACTTCCACTATAGAAAGTATTCTTTCTTGCAGCACGTCTGTATGCCTTCTTTTATAGTGTGGCTCGGGTTGAACAGTAATCATAATTAATTTGATATAATTTTACTTAATTGCAGAGTAAATTAAATTTCTCCATAAATAGAAATAGTCTGCTTTGAGGTCTTACAAGTAAATTAAAAATATTTAGTGTGGTCCATATATCTAGGAAGTATGGTGCTCTAGTTAAAAAGGTATTAAATAAGCTCAATACCATATGTCTCATTCATATAAAAAGATGACTGATAAAAACATTATAATTTTTCTTCCAACTTTTCTTCCTCTTATTCTCCAGCTCACCCCATAATTTCCCTTGTTACCTGAAATGGCCGGTTCCAAGTGAGAAGCAACACATAAATAGTAACAAAGAGGAAAGATTTGGAAAAAACAGCAGAATTATGTAATAGAGTAGAAAGCCCTGCATAACTCAGTGATCACTGAATCACCTTGCATAATACTCCTCTTGCCTCTCTAGAAAAACAATGAACATTATACTTAGCTTTAACTCACGTGTTTCTATGAGGAGCTAAGAGAATGTTCTCCAAGCACTTTGCTTTCTGATTATCTAACTGAAGTTAGATGAGAACTTTTAGGATGGAGATAAGTAGATAGTTAATATGCCCAGTGGATGCTTTCAAATCTAAGATGTCTTTCATGCACTGTTTTTTAAGTTGTAGTAAAATATATATAACAGAATTTACCGCATAACCATTTCTCAATGCATAGTTCTGTGCCGTTAGCACATTCACATTGTTGTGCCACTGCTGTCACTGTCCACCTCCAGAACTGTTTCATCTCCCCCTCAACCGAACCTCTGTCACCATTGAACACACCTTCCCTGCAGCCCCTGCGAGTGAACCTTTGACAAATGCTGGTTCTCCATCCCTGCTGTGCAGATCTTCTCTGTAGTTGTATGGTGGTCACTAAAACAGGGACTTTCTGAAAATTTAACATTTAAAAATTGATGAATGTCTTTTGATAAAACTCATTTCATTTTTGGTGTATTGATGCTATATTGCACCTGGCCTGCAAGTTTTACTAATTTTCAAGTCAACTCCTGCAAAGACCGCAAAACCAAATCATGTTTTCTCCCTCTCATCTTATGTAGTTTAACTAATTATGAAACCAAATTGTTTAAAAATTAAAAAGGGATAGGTACTAGAATATAACACCCTTTTGAAACCATTTAAAATTGATGTGAGTTTGTCTCATATCCCAGTTTTGAATTGAAGTGTATTTGCCTTGAGTCCCTGTTTTGGTTTAGCAGCTGGTTGTTTGCCATGTGCACCAGTTCTGATGAGGAGCCATTCAGCTTCCCCTGTCTCTTCTGCGCAGGACTTCCTCCATCTCCTGCTCATCCTCTGCTCAGGAGTTGACCAGATTTGTAACCTAATCTGGGTTTTAGCATTTCATAGTCTGTGATTCCCTTTTATGCTTTTAGTCCTTTCTGATCCCCTTAGTAATCCTGAGGGAAGTGAGTTGGAGTAAGCTGTGGCTTGATGCATTTTTTTTCTGCTGAAAGGGACCGCTAAACTGACATCAGCTGAATGACTGGACATCCTTTTCTAATGGCAAGAAAATAGATGCCAAACAAAGTAACAACCAGCAAACTCAGGGTTGAAATTGTCTAGCAATGATGTAAGACTTTGCAATGTGACTTATTTTTGTAATTCTTTATAATGTAACTGAGGCCTTCTTGTATCTGTTCAGTTTCTTTCAGGTTGTTATTTCCCTAAGGAAAAGTGAATTTAGCCTTTTTCTCTCTTTCAGAAAAAAGGTGATGATTTTGAAACCGTCTCCTTCTGGCTCTCTAACACATGCCGATTTTTGCACTGTTTGAAGCAGTATAGTGGAGAAGAGGTGAGAAAACCTTGATTAAAAAACCAGTGTGATATACTTTCTCTGACCTTTTTAGGGAAAAATTTTAAAGTATAAAACATTTAGCCATTTGTTAATTTAGAAACCTGAATTTCAGAGGTGGCTTGGAAGGTTATAGCTTTGTTTGATGTTCATTATTTATGAAACTGTGATTTAGAGAGCGGCTGGAGTAGTTTCTTCCCTCTGAGAGTGTGTATTTTGAGGAAGCATAGCAGAAATAAAACGAGCATTTGTCAATGCATTGTTACCAGCAGTGAAAGCTCTTATCAGTATGTGTAAGTGGGCTTTTCAAGGACTGTTATGAGAAATATTAAACTATTTAAAGAGATTTGTCAGTTTGGCCTTTCCAAATACATAAAAGATGATCAAGTTAAGTCGTGTCTCTTTAGACTGGTTCGAAAACCTGTTTTACTTTTATTTGTAGTGATATGTTCATCAGGTATTTACTAGACTTCAGAACTAGTATTTGAAAACTCTGCAATCTATTAATAACTATTGAGGTCTGCTCAGTATATATCAGACAGCACTTACTCTATGTTATTTAATTCTTACAACATCTCTGTGAGGTAGGAATTATAACCTAGTTTTACAGATGAGGAAACTGAAGTTTGATGAAGTTCATCAGTTTGCCCAGGTCCTCTTAGCCATAAGGAGCAGCACTGGAATTCCAGGCCTGCCCACTATGCCTCCATCTTTTGCCAGGGGGGCAGCCAGAGAAGCTGAGTGGTAGCATTTTCTGGGCCACCAGAGGCTAGTGGCAGGGAATTATCTGGGCAAATGATGAGAAACCTAAATATGAGTAAGATGTGCTCCCTGAGTAGGTGAGACAGACAGACCCTAGGGGCCATGAACTGTCCTGTCAGTCCCCAGTTCTGACCTTGTTGTTAGGTAGTTTGTAGGGAGGCACATGCTTGATTATGTGCAGAATCCATCAAACAGGCAAATTGCCTTTTGTCAGGCAACATCTCACAAAAGTACCTGCGTGTATAGTTGACTTCCCATTTTTACTAATACCACCAAAAGAGTACATTCTAAGCTTGGATTGAAAATCATGTATGGGGGTGCCTGGGTGGCTCAGTCGGTTAAGCGTCCGACTTCTGCTCAGGTCGTAATCTCTGGGTTCGTGGGTTCGAGCCCCACATCGGGCTCTGTGCTGACTGCCACCTCAGAGCTTAGAGCCTGTTTCAGATTCTGTGTCTCCCTCTCTCTCTGACCCTCCCCTGCTCACACTGTGTCTCTCTCTCTCTCTCTGTCAGAAATAAGTAAAACATTAAAAAAAAACTTCAAAAAAAAAAAAAAAAGGAAAATCATGTATGGTTACAGTGAAATATAATAAAGGGAAATTATTCACCAATCTCTGTAGAAGCTAGTCTGTTTTAAGAAGAGGATGTATGCCCTTCAGGTGCAATATTTATAAATAGGACTATTTATAATGTACTGAAGTTAAAGAGATTAGTACCTTAGATAATTTAGTGTTTGAAAGTAAATGTGTTGCTTCATAACTCATTCATTTTTTTTTTCAAATTAAAGTTCCCTCATCTTGTTTCATGGACTGCTAGCTTGCCAACTTTAGATATTATTCAAAAGCTAGTAAGCAGTGGAAGGGGAATATGATGGAAACAAACACACAGCATTTGAGAAACTGCCTGGCATTCAAGAGCCGAGCACATAAGAAACTCTTCAGAGGAAAGACAGCAGGGGGCATCTGATCAAACGGAGTTAGAAGAGACATTTTATTTCACGGGTGTCAGTAACTCTGCTTTATGGCTCTAGGGCTTTATGAAACACAACACATCTCGTCAGAATGAACACTGCCTCACCAATTTTGACCTGGCTGAGTACCGGCAGGTGCTAAGTGACTTGGCCATTCAGATCTACCAGCAGCTCGTGCGGGTGTTAGAGAACATCCTTCAGCCGATGATCGGTAAGGCGAGAGCATTGCAGACATCAAGGTCTGTCTACCTCACGTGCCCACCAGTGGCATTTGTTTCTTCATACGAAGAACATAAAGTAGTAAGACCCAGTCCTGAAATTAGCTGAGGAATCCCAGAACCCCAGCCATGACTAACTGGGATACATCAGAATCACTGCTGTCACATGATCGAAATGGCAGTATCTAGTTAATCTCCCCACTGCGTGAGACCTCTCCCTTGAGACTAGGTTATGCTTTATACCCAGTGATATACCTCATATCTTGTCCAGCTTTCAAAAATTAAAATGTTAAACTTTGGTCTAGGAAGCTGCTACACTGAGCCTCCTCGGGGCCTATCTAAGACTAAGGAGGCTGGGGAGAGTTTGCACTTTGCCTATTAGGTATAGTCAAAGGGCTGCGGAACACCATGGCAATATAGGTCTCAGACACTCCATGGTGGGCTGTACATCTCGTGGCCCCTACGAAGTTGTTAAAGGCAATTTGGTTTAAAGTAGCTTTCTCAGTGGTTGAGTGACTGGGGTGTGCACGCATGTGTGTTTCTATATATGTGTATTCACCTAGGCCTGTGAGTCCACGTACCTCTCTTTTATATGTGTATGCCCACTCTAGGTGTGTATTTATGTTCTGTACTACCTCTTTTCCTTCAGAATGTGTAGCATACATGAAATAGGAATTGGGAGGCATGTATAAATTGTAGGCTTCTAATTTTGAATGCATTGAATTAATTTTGTTTTAAGTTATCAAACTTTGTTATCTTCAGGCAAATTAGCAGCACCTTCTTAAGGCTACTCCCAGCAATGCTCTTTTCCTAACCGTTTGTCTTCCACATTCCCACAACTTACTCATTGCCCTTAGTATTCCGTCTCCCATCGTAGGCCCACAATTAACCAACTGGAAACCAAAAAGGCTGAGGAAGCCATGGGAGATAGCAGTGATTTCTTCAGGGGACAACTTCAGTCGTCAGTTCTTCACTTTTCCCCTAAAGTTGTATACTCAAGTGACCTAGGTCAACTATATTGTAAGAGGTGACACAGATGCAGAGGTCAACTTCAGCTAATATTTCTTTATTTTTGCCTATTTTTATTGGCTAAATAAGATGTTTACCTCTGAGATGTCCCACTTGAAACCACTTTCCCCATCTCCAGTGATGTGATAACAACCACCAGTGTTTTGTGTCAGCGTTTAGTGCTGTGGAAGCTGCATTTAGCACTGTGAGATATAAAATGAGTAGGAGATGTAAAAACTGAATCGTGAATGGCCCCTGGTGTCAAGGGGCTGTCAGTCCAGGCGGTGGTCATCCCACAACCATTCTAGAGGAGGCATAGGCCAAACACTGTGAAGGCACAGTGGAGGGAGCAACAGTGCCCCTGATTTGAGAAAATGGAGTTCTGGGAAGCTGAGGCTAACCCGAGGCCTCCCTGCTACTGTGGAAAGTTCAGGGCAAGGAATGGCCCATTTCTCCAGCCCCACATGACCATCTCCTCTCAAGACTCCTCCACAACTACTGCCCAATCTCCTGTTGTTCTTGCTACTTAATTTGTTTGCCTGGAGACCCCTGGAGACATCCCTGGAGAATATCTTATCTTTTCCCTAACTGCTACATCTTTCTCAAAAACCCTCCAGGATATCACACACTTGTACTGTTATAAGGCTGCTGCTTCCTGTTTTTGAAAATGCACTATTAAGTTTTCTTAGTTTCATGGTAAATTTTTGCATTTAACAATTATTCCTTCATTAAAGTTTAAAATCTGGATGCCCTTTTTTGGGACGATCCTTCTCCCTCTGTTTTGATACTCAGATCATTTTTCTCAATTGGATGTGTGACAGGATGTGTGTGCATGTGTGAGCATGTGTGTATGCGCATGGAACACACATCTTCTCTTCTAACACTTGAATACTCCCACAGTCTCTGGCATGCTGGAGCATGAAACCATTCAGGGCGTGTCTGGGGTGAAGCCCACAGGGCTAAGAAAACGAACCTCCAGCATCGCTGATGAGGGCACCTACACACTGGACTCCATCCTCCGGCAGCTCAACTCCTTCCACTCGGTCATGTGTCAGCACGGCATGGACCCCGAACTGATCAAGCAGGTGGTCAAGCAGATGTTCTACATCGTTGGGGCCATCACCCTGAACAACCTCCTCCTGCGGAAGGACATGTGCTCCTGGAGTAAAGGCATGCAGATCAGGTGAGCAAACACCAGAGCTGATGGCTTGTTTGAGGTCACTGCACCCGATATCTGCTGCCATGAGCCGGGCAGCACTGGAGGGCCAGGCATGGAGCTGCTTTCTCTTGGCTGGCTGCGCTTCTCCACTTTCATTCATTACCACTCCTGACCATGCCTTTCAACAGGCTCTACCCACCATGAGTTGGGAACCCTGCTCCCCTGTGACACTCATTTGTTTGAGGAAATGGAGAGATGATGGGAAATTCTTAAAGTTGAGATAGCTGCTTCCTCACCTTTTGTGTGTGTTTTAATTTTACATGACAAAATACCTCATTCTTTATAATGAAGATTTCTAATGTTTGACTTCTCTAATTTTATGCCCAACTACTCCTCAGCATAACCTCATAATCATAACAGAATTGATTTTTTTAGCAAATCATTTATTTTAAAATAGAATCTTTGCAAAGAGAAGAAAAAATGATTTCTCTTATAAAAGTTAATTTCAGGAAACCTTGGCATTCTTTTCAAATTTTCCGTTCTGACACACAGCCATTGTAGTTAAAGTTAGAAAGATAATGTCTTCCACTCAGATAGTAGAATTAATTTCTCTGTAAGCTTTGTTTATATGTGTGAAGCACTGTTGTAATATCATACTGCTTCCTATTTGCCTGACTGCAGTGTTGATCGTGTGTCCATTTAGCATTTTAGTATGAAAACCACTGTCACTTGTTGACCACCTCTTGTAACCTTGGCATCTGTGTAGTTTCCATGTCTTTCTCCATATTTGGGGTCTTTGTCTCTTCCAGCGACCCCACTTCCCCTTCTGTCCTTCTGCCCCTAAGCTTCCTCAGGCCCCTACCGCATCACCCAGGCTCTTCCCTAAAAGCGGCTGGAGCACGAGGTCTATGTGGGAGGACCTTGTTTTTGGTGACTAACTTGGAATTTGACTTGGATAAGGAGGAAGGGATACTCAAAGGTTATCAATTCTCCCCTCCGAAGTTGGAAGAGAAGCTAGAAAGCATTCTTCGGTCAACTGTTTAATAAGGAAGGACATAGCCATATTGTGTGTTCTATTTTGTCTTTCAGCAAGTCTTATTTCATAACTTTTGCTGTAATGGCTATATTTCTACCTTTCATTGAAGTTAATTATATTCTCTAGTCACTTACTCTTATATAATTATGATTATAAACTTCATGGCTATAATAAAGTTTTAAGCACAGCTGGTAAGATTTAAGAAAATTGAACAAAAGTACTGCCTGTCATTTTAACTGAGATTCCTGACGAAGCCATACATAAAAAATTAAGACATTTATGACAACATTGAGAGAATTTGCATTCTCTCCCTCTCTCTTTTTTTGGCACAGGTACAATGTCAGTCAACTGGAAGAGTGGCTGCGTGACAAGAATCTGATGAACAGTGGGGCTAAAGAAACCCTGGAACCTCTCATTCAGGCTGCGCAGCTTTTGCAAGTGAAAAAGAAGACAGATGATGATGCGGAAGCCATTTGTTCCATGTGCAGTGCTTTAACCACGGCCCAGGTAAAGCACCTTGCCCTGCTGTGCAGTAAGGCAGCCTTCCTTAAGCGCGGTGCTCAGGGAAGTGAGGAGGTCCCCTAGCCACTTCTCGGGTCTTTGTGCTGACTGCATGTGTGTCAGAGAAGACATATACCTATACAGACCTTAACAGAGGTTTCACTAGAACCTAAGACATTTCAGTGCAAGTCAGTATCCACAGTCAAATAAATATTTGAGTGTTTATAATGTTCTCCGTAATATCCGAGGCACTGAGATACAACCAAGAACAAAACAATGTCCCTGCTCTCACGTGATGTAGCTTTAGACTAGCTCCCTCTCCCCTTATCCTAACCCAGCCCTGAGTAGAATTATAAACTGTATGCACAGATCCTTTTAGTTTTCCAGATTATAAGCACCCAGTGTGTATTTGATCATATGCTGAAAACTTTGATCATTTCATTTCTCACAGATTGTCAAGGTATTGAATTTATATACTCCAGTTAATGAGTTTGAAGAAAGAGTCTCTGTATCATTTATTCGTACTATACAGGTAAGATCTCCCAGGCTTTCTTTTTTCTTGATTCACCAACACAGTCTTTTGAATGGAAATTTTATAGTTTATTGAAGGAAAGTTTGGTTTTGTTATTGTATTATCTCATTTTGACGGTGCATTAACTTCTGGTAACCGCTTATTAGAAAAATGCAGTGATTTTAAAACAAATATAAGCATTCTTTATTAGTTGAAGACTTTTTGGTAGATTTTTGGTAGAAAAAAAATCTTTGTAGATTCAAAGAACTAATGCTTTGTTTTTTGTTTTTTAATCTCAGATGCGTTTACGAGACAGGAAAGACTCTCCTCAGCTGCTCATGGATGCTAAACACATCTTTCCTGTCACCTTTCCTTTTAACCCATCCTCCCTCGCACTAGAAACCATCCAAATTCCAGCCAGCCTGGGCCTGGGATTCATATCACGGGTCTGAAAGTGATGTGATGTCAAGGCAAACAGTGACAGTAAATTTCTTGCCTGAAATAAGAACCCATTATTTCCAGTGAGCTACTGAAAATATGCTTCTCAAGAGAAAGTACTGAGTATCTTTCAAACAAGAGGTTATTAACTGGAAATCTCCCTAAATACTTTCATCGCCTTGGAAAGGAAGATAGCCTTCTTTGTACTGTGTTACCTTTAATTAATGCAACACTCACCCTTGATCAGTTAGGTATCCTGAGTTACATGCAGGTAAATGACAGAAGGAAGGGGAAGAAGTATCTCCAGCTGCCAGCATTTATTTTAAATCCTTAGCCCTGCATCCTAATGGTATGGTAAAAATGTAAATTCCAGCAATGTGCTGTTGTTAGGAAGGTACCAACAAAGAACCTCCTCTGTGCAAACCAGAAGAATTGAAAGAAAAATTGCCATTGAGTATATATAATATCAGTTCAGGAATCAGTTATGTTGATGTTGTCAAACTGGATCAAAGAAATAAACTGGCAATATGTAAAGTAATTGGTCAAGTAACTTCCTTATATGTGTCACTCTGATATAGAGATATTAAGAGAATGTTGGTTTACCATATAGCATAGAAGTCCATTTGTACTCTAGTTTACTGAGCATTTTACATTGCTGCTACATACTGTATACTTTAATATGTAGGCGATATTCTTACTAGGCACTACAACAGTAAGCTTCTCTTTTATTAACTCTGTTTACAATTCAATCAGATCATTTTAACTGGATTATGTGCAAATATATACAGATTCCCCTGCACGAGTAGTGGACACTGGGAAGTCATGTAGTAATATGACAAAATGTTTGACATTTAGGGATAGGATTAGAGAAAGTGACTATTATTGATGTCGTTATTTATTCAGAATGTATTACATTGATGTGCTCAATTATTTTCCCTGGGTGGATATCACATCAGGGTATAGTGTTCTGTGAAATGATTTATTTTTAATCCCCAGATCAGATTCCTGCACTGCATATTTTCCACCCTGCCAGGTTTTCTTACTTCTTCTTAATTTATTAAGAATTAATCTCAGTCACTATCTAGAGAAGATTGTCAGCAGTCATGATTCAGGTCTTGAATCCTTGATTATCCTGTAAATTAGGCACAAGAAGGTATATAATACTATGATTCCATTTTTTTAGGCTTTGCAACTTCTATAAATGTCCTCAGTACCACTAGATACTTTAAAGAGCATCATACTAGAAATACTTTAAGACTTATATAAGAAACATAAGAAGACTGCTGAATTTTAGAGGATTTGTTTCAGTAAGAGCCAGATCCTGTAAGTTTCATTCTGAAATTCTAATTAAACATATTCTCAATTTTTCCTGGACATCCTGTACAGTAAATCTTTCAGGTTGTGCAAAAGCAAGGTCTTAGTTTTCATTAGAAACTCTGGTTCTGAATTACAATCATAGATTTATATAACTTAACTGTTAGATGGTCTATGAAAAATGATATCTTACTAAAACATGTGCAATATTAATGGAAGTCAAATAGTTTCAAATCAGTGATAAAAATTGTTATTAAAAGATAAATACTGTCTGTTAACTTATTTGGGCCTCACATTCCTCGTTTAGATAGTAAGAGAATTGGACCCTTCCACGTGTAAAATCCTCTCCTTTTGGCACTTGGATCCTAGAGAAACTAGATGCAGTTATCCAGTGAGTTCACCCTCTAAACTGAAAGATCACTGTTTGGTGCCTGTTAATTCTGGGGGATTTAGAAAATGTAAAACCACAAATTGGCGTAGCTATAACCTTTCTTAAATGTACATGATTTACATATATGCTTTTAGAAAGTGAATTAGTTTCAGTAATTTTTATTCAATCACGTACTGCCATATTCAGTTTGGATACATTTATTTATTTGCAAAACCAACTAAAAATACTACTGATCCAATCAGGTTCTCTTAGTTTTCCCCAACTGTCAATGTGGCTTTCAGTGAACAACGAACTCTTACAACGTCTTGGTTAGTACCGGATGTGCCAGAGTACTGAGTCATTGCATAGGGGAGACACTAAAAAATGTAACAGTGATGCAGGCTGTCCACCTCCTGGGCTTGTAAATTTCCAGGGCCTGGAAATCCTCCTGGGCCCTTCCCCAACTTAGTCCCTGTATAACATGTCCCGTGCATACCCTGAATCTTGTCAGGTCTTCAAGAGCACGCTCCTGCTGCTGTTGCAGCCCTTTATCTGACCCCAGACAGCTCGTATACTGAAACGTCTCTCTTGTCTCCTGCCTTTGTGCTGGAAAGTGCTGGAGCCTCTGTTCCACATCTGGGCCAGAATCTCTCCTGTTTAGTGATGGCCACACAAGGACTCTACTCTCCAGGCTCCAGCTTCCTACAAGGCCTACCAAGAACCCCAGATGGGGATCTGAATCAACTTCTCTTAGTGACATAAAGGTCTTTAGTTATAATGAGGCTACAACCTTACAACCAGGGAACCCCAAGACCTGGTAAATGACTCTGTGTGCTACTTTCTTGAGGATGCAACAGTAATCTGTTTACTAGGGGTTTCCTTGAGCCCCTCATAGGACAGCCCACCCTCTGTCCAACCACATTTCCCCACCCAACTTCAAACATACTTTCCCCAGCCTTCCAACCGCGCATTCCATTGTTCACTCTTTCATCAGCTGGACCATAGACCACTCGCCTGTCTGCTCAGCTGCTCTGACTGTGTTGAAGGCCGTAGACAGAGTCCGTCCTCAGATCCCCCAAATTAGATCACTAATTTGCTTTTTCATAATTCCCCTGTGACACACAGTAGGGATTCACAGAAAGATCTTGAAAGAACACAGTTCTATCTTCATAACCCCTTCTCAGTAGTCTCCCCACTCACCTTACATACCGACTCAGCTCATACCTTGGAATGCAAGAAAAATTAGGAGCAGTTTCCCTTGTAGCTTTTCTTGGCTTAAGGTCTTGGTCTGCCTGACCTGAGCATTACTATAAAGAAAGGGAGAAGTAAGATCCATAAATTGATTCCTTTGCAAGTTGTGAGAAGTCTCCATGTACCTGACACTTCTTTTGTCGACTGCAGAAGTATAAAAAGATATATTCCAAAGCCCACCAAACAGGAAATTTGAGAATTCTGGTCAATTTGTATGATTTGTTTTATTCCCTTTGTTTCAGTGGATAATTGGGAGTTGGCTCTTTCTGGATGAGCAATTATGTGTAATACAGATCAGATCTTTTAATAACATGAGAGGGAGACTATGAAAATATTGGGATTTTCAGTGTAATGATTGTTTTAAAAAATTACTGTCCTGGTAACCCTAGGTCAAGGGGCACCTGTGATATCCTGAGAAATGCTCACATATTTATGCACCTGCCTGCCCTTCCCCCCACCCCCATCTGTCTCTCTCTCTCTCTCTCTCTCTCTCTCTCTCTCTCACACACACACATACACACACACACACACACAGTCACTAGAATGTAGAGTTCTCCAGGAGGCATAATCAAGGATCCTCTGGGTAACTTCAATTGTTTAGGATAAAATAGAAGGCAAAAATTAGTGTGTAATCCTCAAATCTCCTGCTGAAAGTAGTACAGAACAGGACCTTGTATCTGGCTGTGCTTTTCTTCAGCGCACGTCCTCCATTACCTCACTGTGTCCTCACAACAGCACTGGAAGGCAGAAAGGGTAGCTACTACAGGACACAGAAGGTCAGTGACTTGCTGAGGTCACACAACCCTCCCTCCATGCTGCTTTCCTTCATGCAGCAGTGTCGGGGGGGGGGGCGGGGGCGCAGGAAGCTAGAAGGTCTCGAGGTGACATTTGGTTTCTCCTGGTACCCATGGGGTACCCTGGGTTGGCAAGAGGTGCCCTTTTTTTTCTTTTCAAAATTGGCAACTGGCATATGGGAACTGAGCAAGCGCCAAGGACCAGGTTGTCTGTGCTCACAAATTGAAGTGCCCAGAGCCTGGTGGCTTTCTTTTTGTCAGTCACCTGCTCTAACTAGGTTTGATTTTTGTAATGAGTCTGAGCTCCCTTGAAGGATGCAACACTCTGTGCTTTAATTAGTGGCAGGCTGTCTCGGACTGACTGGATGTAGTGAAAGCCTCCCAAATGTTAAGGTCACTCTCCATGCACACTCCTCAGAGCCAGCATTAGAGCCACCAGGTGAGCTGTGCAGCCGGCAGTCAAGCCCCTGGGTACCTTCTGAGCCTGTCTGTGGGCAAGCTGTATCCACATGAGTGTGTTTGAACATTTCAGTGTGTGCATGCCACCAGTGTTTACTTGGGAGCTAGGAGGTGTGCAATGTGCATGCGTGTCAGAGAGGCTCTATGTATTGCTGTGGCCTCCGTTCATGGATAAGTGCGTTGTAATTTCTTCTCAGGCTGTGCTTTGAGGACCGCCTTAACCCCTGCTCCCTTCCCTCTGAGAGCTGCCTTAAGTTCTCTGGAACTTTTCCTCTGTAGGGGACTGACTTACCTGGAGAGGATATCTTGCCCTGTTTCTCAAGGTTTTGTGAGGGTTTTGGTTGGGAGTGGCCTCCAACCGCTAATTCTTTCTTCCCTTCCTGCATGACTCCCCTCTTGTTACTTCGCCTTCCTTTTCTTTTCTGTTATTTCCAAACAGGTATTGAAGCTCAGGCAACACCAGTCTTAGAGCCAGTGAATGTGAGCTGAGACAGTGTTCCTGAGTTTGGGGGGCTTGGAGTCACAAGTAAGCAAATGAACATATGGAAGAAATAGATCACTTCACTTCTTGGTAATGCTTAAAGTGCTTGTTTTCTCCTAATCTTTTCTTAATACAGGTAAAGGGTACAACTGTAAAACCTTCCGTGGACATTCTTTAAAAAAATTTTTAAGAACCCTGTACTATACATAAAATTTGGAATGAAAATAGGGAAGAGTGCTGTAAGTTCTAATCCATCATATTACCCTAAATTAAATCAACCTGGAGTTACAGTAGATTTCTCAATAGATCCGGAGCCAAAAAGTAATCTGTAAGATACCTGTCAAAATGCATTTTATACATTTTTTAATTTTATAATTTGGTCTAGCAAAAATGTTCATTAGCTTAACTTAGTGTCTATTAGCTTCCTAAAATGACTGAAAACGATTAACATTTCCTTAGTATTGTGATATAGCTTGAAATATTTGAAAGAAAAGTGTTTCTGGAGTGGACACTGGTATGTATAATTTAATGCTTGGTAGGTCAGTACATTTTCATGCATTTTTCAGTCAATAGTTTCAAATACATTATTGTTACCACATGTTATAAAACTTTAGCCTATACTTCAGGCTTTCTAAATCATCTGAGTCATTTAATATTTTCCAACAAATGGTGAATTTTTCCTTTAAATGTGGATATGTATGTTGTATTTATGATTCCTAGTTATGTATTTTTGTGGACTCTTGGAGTAATGTTCACTTTTTTGTGTCCTTGGAAAAATTTAAATTGCTCTAACAGTATTACACCAGAATGAGCTCATGACATTTAACATATTGTATTTTAATTATTAACTTTAATTACTAATTAACTGTGAAGTGGATTTGCCTTTTAACTACAATGAAATTGAACGTTGCAGTTTTTCAAATATTTTTCCCTGTTGGGTCTGGAAAAGGAATTCTATTTTGATCTACGTAGAAAAACATGATATGGTTTATCTTTGAAAAGTTCTTAGGTAAAATACTTATCCATTAGAAAGGAAGCAGAAATACTGAGAAGTGAAAGGCACTATCAACCACCTCTGGTTTTAAACTGAAACCATCCCAGCATATCTCATATGGAATTTTAAAAAATAATAATTCTCTTCATATCAACAAAAGCCTTTGAAACAAGGGTTTTCAGTAGATACCACCTAGTGCTAAGATGAAAACCAAAACAATATCAGACTGACATTTACGCTCTAAATTTGTAGTTGTCTAATGTTGTCCTTAGTAAATGTGCGTCATTAATGCTGTATTCTCCTAGCTCTTATAGAACATTGTTCAAATAAAGATATGGAAATAAAGAATTTTTGTTAGTGTCTTATAAATAAACTCACAGCACATGGAACATGAGACACACACCAATGTAGAGAACATTCTGGGCTGTAAAACACATCTTTAATATTTAAGAGGATAGAAATCATAATGTCTGCATTCAGATGATACTGGAATTAAACCAGGTATCAATGATGGAAAAATAGCTGGAAAATCCCTAAATACTTGAAGATTAAACAACACACCTCTAACATATGGATCAAATCTCCAGAGAATTTTAAAAATATTTGAACTAAATGAAAATGAAAATATAGCATCAAAATTTGTCCAGTGCAATGAAAGCAGTGCTTAACGGGAAATTTATAGCATTGATGCATGCATTAGAAAAGAAGAAATACCCATAATCAACCATTAAAGCTTCTACTTTAGGAAGCTTAAAAAGAATAAAACACTAAATTCAAAGTAAGCAGAAGAAAAGAAATAATATAAATCATCAGAAATCAAAGACATTGAGGATAGAAAATCAATGAAGCCAAAAGCTGGTTCCTTAAAAAGATCAATAAAATTGATAAGCCTCTAGCCAGGCTGACCAATTAAAAGAGAGATGACATACAGTAGATTACTGGTTACTTAGGGCTGGGAGGAGTTGGGTCAAGGGGGAATCAAGGGGACGGAGTAGTAACTGAGGGGCATGGAATTTCTTTTTGATATGATGAAACTTTTTTTGATTTTTTTTTAATGTTTATTTATTTTTGAGAGAGAGAGCATGAGCAGGGGAGGGACAGAGAGAAGGAAAGAGAATCCAAATCAGGCTCCACACTTCCAGCACAAAGCCCAGGGTGGGGGTCAACCCCACAAACAGTGAGATCATGACCTGAGCCAAAGTCAGCTGCTCAACCAACTGAGCCACCCCGGCACTGCGATGATGAAGCTTAAAATTAACTGTGGTGATAGTGTAATCTGTGAACCTACTAAAAACCACTGAATTGTATACTTTAAATGGATGAAGTGTATGGTATAGAAATTATATCTTTAAAAAAATTTTTTTTTATTTCTTTTTTTTTTTAATGTTTTATTTCTAGGAGACAAAGAGAGACACAGCGTGAGCAGAGGAGGGTCAGAGAGAGAGGGAGTCACAGACTGAAACAGGCTCCAGGCTCTGAACTGGCTGTCAGCACAGACCCCGATGTGGGGCTCGAACCCACAAACCATGGAATCATGACCTGAGCCGAAGTCAGATGCTTAACTGACTGAGCCACCCAGGCGCCCCCAAAATTATATCTTAATAAAAACATTTTTAAGTAGACTTTTGACTTCTGGTATGGCAGACTGAGAGGCTCAGCAAATTCTCTCCTCAAAAAAAGCAGCAACAACAATGGACAAAAGTGTCAAAAACAATTTCAGGGCTCCTAAACAGCATTGACCAACAGCATACAACAAATTAGTGGTGTTTATTTGTTAAAAGCTACTGACATCTGAGTAAGAACAGCATTTGTCTGACAATCTTACCTGGGGCTGCTCCCATCACCCTCCCCTCACCCAGGTCTGGTAGCATGGTACTTCTCCCAGAGTCAGGCAAGCTATGAAAACCAGCAGCTTTTCCTTGGGAGGGGCTCACCTGATTTGGAATGGAGTGCAGTAAAATCCCTTACCTAGCAATAATGCTAGTGATTTCGCAACTGTGAGGGAATACATTTCTGTTGTTACCCCATCTGCGGTACTTTGTTACAGCAGCCATAGAAAAGTAACACAGTATTAACCTGAAGTATCTGTGATGAATTTAGATGTATGTTTCCATCCCAAGAGGAACCATTAAAAAAATTAATTCAAGAAATACTGTTATTTTCAAGGTGGGAATTAAAATGATGTACACACACAAAAAAGCAAAACCAAAAATCCCACCATCACCAAAACATAAGGAGAACCAGGAACAAAAAAGACACGAGCCATACAGAAAACAAAATGACAGTCATAATTCCAACCATATCAACAATCACATTAAATGTGAATGGATTAAGCACTTCTTTCACAGGGCAGAGATGTGAGGGATATTACAACATACTCCTCTGAGAAATTAAAAACCTGACAATACCAAATGTTGATGAAGATATAAAGCAACTGAAACTCATACATTGTTTATAGAAATAAGTTGATGCCAGGTGTTTGGATGGCTCAGTCTGTTAAGCAACCGACTTTGGCCCAGGTGCTGATCTCGAGGTTCCTGAGTTCAAGCCCCACATCGGGCTCCGTGCTCTCAGTGCAGAGCCTGCATAAGGTCTTCCCTCTCCCCCTCTCTGCCCCTACCTTGTGTGTTCACGTGCTCACTCTTTCTCAAACATTCCAAAAAAAAAAAGTAAATTGAGGCAATTTTTTAAAAGTAACAGTATCTAGGGGTCAGCTCAGTCAGTAGAGCATGTGCCTCTTGATCTTGGGATTGCAAGTTCAAGCTCCACATTGGGTGTAGAGATTACTTAAAAATAAAAAACAAAAACAAAAAAATCCTTATAAATATATATTTAAAAAAACCATTTACTAACAATATTAAGCATTGCATACCTAATGATTCAGCAGTTCTCCTTTTATATATCAATTTTAATATATGTGTTGCCAAAGCAAGCACTCCTTTTATATATCAAACAGGATGCATATATTTGTGCATTGAAAGACCTATGTAAAAATGTTTATAGCAGTGTTATTCATAATAGCCACAAAGTGAAATAACCCAAATATTTATCAATAGGAGAATGAATAAACAATAGAATATTTATATAATGGAATACTATATAGGAACAAAAAGTAGCAAACGTTAGCTATGTACAGCAGCATTGTTACATGTCATGTAAAAAGCCAAATGCAAAGATGTTACATAAATTATTTCATTTATAAGAAAACATCCAAAATAGGTAAAACTAACTTATGGTGATAGAAGTCATAACAGTGGTTACCATCAAGGGGTAACTGAAAGGGACATCAGAGGTTTGGGGATGTTAGAAATGTTCTATATCTGGATCTGGGTGGTGGTTACTTGGATGTGTTGATATGTTCTGTGTGTAAGAATATAGTAAGCTATACACTTATTATTTGCATACTTTATGTTATTTTATTCAAAACAAACTTTTATTTAAAAGGGCTCCTGGCTCCGCGTTGGGCTCTGTGCTGACAGCTCAGAGCCTGGAGCCTGCTTTGGATTCTTCTGTGTCTCCCTCTCTCTCTGCTCCTCCCCCAATCAAGCTCTGTCTCTTTTTCAAAAATAAATGTTAAAAAACTTTTTAAAAAGAAATGAAGCTGCTAGAAACATTTTGTACAAATTGTTCATTTTTCTTGAGTAAACCTCTAGGAGTGGAATGGCAGGGTCCTATGTGTATTTCACCGCCAAACTGTTTTCCAAAGTGACTGTGCCATTTTATTTCATTACCATCAGTCTGTCAGTATCCCAGTTACTCCGCGTCCTCACCAATACTTGATGTGATAACATGTTCATTTTAGCTCTTTTAATGTGCATGTAATGTTATTTAATTGTGGTTTTACTTTGTATTCCCCTAATGATTGATAATCCTGAGCATCTTTTCATGTGCTTTGCTGTCTGTCCTTTATGGTGACGTGTCCCTTCATGTCTTTTCCATATTTTAGTTTGGTTATTTATCCTTGTATTGATCAATAAGAGTTTTTTATAAACCAGATAAAAAAAAAAAAAAAAGGGCTCTTGGCTGGCTCAGTCGGTAGAGCATATGACTCGATCTTGGGTTGGGGGTTCAAGCCCCACGTTGGGGATAGAGATTACTTAATAAAAAATAAATAAAAATCTTAAATAAAAATTTTTATTTAAAGAAAAGAAGCAGTTATACCTCTAGACCCGTCTTAACGCTGAGCAACCAGGTAACTGTTCCTACCCACATTATGCCTTTTCTTCTTTATGTTATTATTTTGGACAAGAGGTACAACATTGAATTCATCATAGTCCTCTTTTTGTGGCACCTACCACCGTTGGTCTGTGCCAGGGTCTTTAAAATTTTGTTGGTTCCTCTTTTTTCCTTTTTAAGTTTATTCATTTATTTTGAGAGAGAGAGAGAGACTACACGCACGCAAGTGGGAAAGGGGCAGAGAGAGAATCCCAACCAGGCTCTGCTGCCAGTGTGGAACCCAATTTGGGGCTTGAACTCACGAACCACTAGATCACAAACAACGCCAAAACTGGTCACTTAATTGACTGAACTACTCAGGTGCCCCATGTTCCTCTTTTTTCTTTATTCTCAACCTCATTTCCTTCAACTTCATAGATATTCACTCCCACATATTTAGTGACTCTGTAATTGTAATTTATCATCCATACTTTCATTTACATATACTTTTATCCATGAACAATATATTATTGTAGTTTTTGCTAGTTTTAAAATATATATAAAGACTTGTGCTATACGTCCATTCAACATGGCTTTTTACATCTCTCTGAGTCAATATAAGTAGGTCACATCCATTCTTGCTAGCAGCTATAGAGTATTATACCATATGTATATACTATTTATTCATTCTCTTATTGATGGATATTGATGAATAGCTCCTTTGATATATAACTGTGTTGTGATGAAAATCTACTTAACTTTTTTATGTTTATGTGATAATTTATCTGCCTAAACCTATTTTTTATTTTTATAACTTTTTAATGTTTGTTTATTTTTGAGAGAGAGCTGGAGAGGGGCAGAGAGAGAGGGAGACACAGAATCTGAAGCAGGTTCCAGGCTCTGAGCTGTCAGCACACAGCCTGACACAGGGCTCGAACCCAAAACTGAGATCATGACCTGAGCTGAAGTTGGATGCCCAATCAACTGAGCCACCCAAGCGCTCCATGCCCAAACCTATTTTTAATAAATATTCTCAAATTGCTCTCTTAAATGGTATATTCGTATAGCTCCCATCAGTAGTGTGAGCAAAAAGTTATTTTCTCACATCCTACTTGATGTTTTTCAAACCAAATATTTTTGCCAATCCAGTAAGTATAAAGTGTTATCTCTTTGTTTTCATCTGTATTTCT